CATTAATCGATTTTATAATAGCTGACTGTGCAGGCGGTGATTTTTACAAAGTCGGATGGCTACTAAATAAAGTACCGATGAATGCCTAGCCTTGACCAAGACTATCAGCTTGTTAATTCCCATACGAGCTTGTTCCCGCTACAATACCGCACACCGCTCGCGCCGCGACACACTATTTGTAATATGCCGTTAGCCTCAACGACCCTTGCGTGTGCTTTGTGTGTGCATGTACGTACGCCCACACACTTCCGCAAACACACCTACAGTAAGTCGAGGCGGAGGACTTACTGTACGGCTGTTTGCGGAAGTGTGTGTGGTGTGTACGTACATGCACACAAAGTCGTTGAGGCTAACGGCATCGTACAACTAGTGTGTCGCGGCGCGCGCTGTGTGCAGTAGCGGGAACAAGCTGGTATGGGAACAAGCTGATAGCCTAGGGCTACTGACAGCAACGCGAGGCCAGCGAACGATGGCCGTAAAAAGGGCAATTGTCATGGAAAACCACAACCGATCCAAACAAACAAAGTTGTTTTAGGTAGTTAAAAACCTACTTCATACATCCATCAAGGTATTTAAAAAAAAAAAAAAGGATTACGATACATTTTGACAATATTATTTCACGGACAAATCGACTAAAAATTAAGTCATGAAATTTGGGGGGTTTATTTCGAGAACGACGAAAGTCTCCCAAACGTTGAAGAAAGAATGAACCTTCAACTACAAAAAAATCTGGTGAATGTGATGTCGTTAATGTTTCCAACAACTTCCATTTTTTCACAACGCGAAAAGTTCGTCGCCATTGTAAAAGCATAGAGCGAGGAACCCAAACACGGTATGACCTTGTGACCCATACGCCCACTGATTGGTCGAGCTCGAGATGGCCTGCTTAATATTCATTAGTCATTCATTGCACGTTCGCACGTGCTATTCACAATCAACGTACGTCGGCGTACTTACGTTCGTTTACACGCGTACATGTGCCATTGCAAATCACGAAATCTCGCAAAAGTCTCCATTTTTCAACGGGCGATTTGGACCAAACATCAGAAGTCTCCTGCACGTGTTTCACATGAAAATGAAGCGTATACTTTCTTCAATCTACTGAGCCTTGCCGTTTCTTTCGGCCTTTTTTTTAAGAATCGAATGTACACCTAAAAACTATCGGCCCTCGCTTTTGTTGATAAAAAAATATGATTTTGTTTGACAGGCCGTAACAACACTTCATATTTGTCAAAAGCAGTTATTTTTGGTATCAAGATAAAGAACACGACTTTAATTTTTCACTTATTTAGCCATCTTGGCCAAACAGTGCATGTATCCAGGCACTTTTTGTGTTTTTCTGTAGTCTCGAATAAATCTCGTAAAATCTCGCGTACGCTTTTGGGCCATGCGTGCGTGACCTCGGGACAAGAAACTGAAGGTCAACAGGGCTGTGTTTGTCAGTGACACAGCCACTGACTGTTCCTTGCTCACTCAAATTTGGTCGACAAGATCATAATCCGATACTTGACAATTCACTTTTGTGAGCAATTGAATTGCAGTTAAGAGTTCATAGACAGCGAGAGAATAGAGCAGATTGTACCAGTTTTGTGGCAGGCCTTGAAACACAATGCTGTGACGTGTACTCGGTGGGTGTTTCTGGGTTACCTTTTCACTGCATTGAATGATAATAACAGTAATGTTTTTCAATGGAAAAACCTCTGAGGGGAAACACTTCTGTAACCTGCTCGTGCGTGAAAGTAGCGTTTATGCATACTCGATCAAGATGTAAGTGTTTCGAATTGTACATTTGAACACGTTTTTGTGAACAGCCAGAAAACCCGCTCAACAACCATTACAATACGCCGTGAAATTGTCCATATAATAATATACATGTAGTATACATAATAATGGTAAGTTTTGAAGAGCGCCCCAATTTGAAAGATGGGACCCCCCTTTCATGTGAAATGTGTAATGAGGGCGCATTCTTGTCGAAACTGCTCCTTTAAGTTCTATGGAAGCGTCCTTTCCTAATAATAACCGCGGTGTGCAGGGCTGTCAGCGTAATTTTTTATTCCTAAGAGGGTTAGGGGCAATGTCATGAATAATTCATGTTTATCCATGAGAACGGACTATGACATCAACAGCCTTGTTGTTAGTTACTCAACTAGTTACAATACATTAAAGCATTTTAAAGAACGGTTGTCGTCGAACTACCACACAGTAGCCCAGTGGATAGCGAGATGAGCTTATGGATACAAAGATCCCTGGTTCGAATCCACGTCGTCGCTGCTCATTTTAATCAGCTATTTTTCTTCTCCAAATTTATCACTGAGATAATTTTAAATTAGGGGGAAAATAGAACGAGAACCTAAGTCTTGCAATGATTCAAATGAAAAACTGAATTATTCATGACATTGCCCCTAACCCTCCTAGGAAAAAAATACGCGGGCTGTCACGCAGTGATAAGCCCATTTCATCAGGTCGGTAGATAGAGAGCACTATCTGGCGGAAAGAACACATACGGTGCCATTGAAAACCACCTCCATGGTTCAAGCAAGCTATATCTTGTAATACCACAGGAATGCGTGTCACGGTTTTTAGGGCGTTACTGGGTTATGCTGTGAACGTAATTGCTGTCTTTGTGTACAAACAAAACAACGTGTTTGCATTGATCGGGGACAAATGGCGCGCAACGAGTTGTAAGATTTGCTCGCCTACGCTGGACAGCTTTGAAGCCGGCTATTCGAGTGCCGAGTAAATCTACAAGTGTCGAATGTTAGAAGCAATTCCATTGAGATTCCAATCCGTTATAACATAATTGAGATTCCAATCCGTTATAACATATAGTAGCTTTTTCCATTATTTTAACACTCATATCACACAAATTCCTTCCGACACTTTAATTTCGTCCCCTAACATGGTCGAGCTCTCAATTTCAATTTCAAAAAAACCCACCAATATTCACTGGTGCAGTAATTTCGGTAAATTCGTCTCATGTGCCGATCGCCAGCGTTATTTATACTATAATCTGTGTTGTTCACAAACCCCTATCATCTTAACGTTAGCGTGAGTCTTGACTCAAGTCGGATTTAATTCGATATCTAGACCCGCTGCCATAACAAGCCAGCTCTGATGGTATTTTCCTTCAATTAGCCTTTCCAACGGTACTTCACTTGATTCAGAATTAACTTTCCAAGACGATGAAAAATCCCAAGAAAATGAGAACGTTAATTTGGTTCCGATTGTACGGAGCCCCTAAAGGGACAGGCATGATGAAGTTTTTTTATTATTTCGCTCCCTCGAAATATTATTTCGTTCCCTCGAAATATTATTTCGTTCCCTAGAAATGTTATTTCGTTACCTCGAAATATTTTTTTGTTACCTCGAAATCATTTCGTTCCCTCAAAATATTGTTTCGTTCCCTCGAAATATATATTTCGTTCGTTCCCTCGAAATATTGTTTAGTTCCCTCGAAATATATTTCGTTCCCTCGAAATAATATTTCGTTCCCTCGAAATAACATTTCGTTCCCCCAAAATCATTTCTTTCCCTCGAAATATTATTTTGTTCCCTCGAAATAATTATTTCGTTCCCTCAAAATAATCATACGGAAGCTCAAAGTGACCATCCGCATTTCAGGCGCGTAGCAAAAGGTTGTTTGTCCGTCGTGAACGTCTTGTTTTGCCATCTAACATGAACTAATATAATGAGTGTAAACAAAGGATTTCCAAACTTACCAAATGATGAATACTGATTTCGTAATTGAACATCAACGGATTGAAAACCGTTTTGCATCGGACAAGCAGACGTTTCGCTACTAGGGGAGCGGCATAGGGACAGAATTGTGCATACGGGAAATGGGTCCTTTTTGGAGACATTTCCATAGACTTGAGCAAAATTTTTCAAACTTCAATGTGTCCTACGGTACGGTACAGGTACAGTTGATCTATTAAAGCACGGATTGATACTTGCCAAATGTTATGAATTTAGACCACCTGAAATGCGGATGATCACTCGAGGGAACGAAGTAACATTTCGAGGGAACGAAATAATATTTTGAGGGACCAAATAATATTTCGAGGTTACAAAATAATTTGTTTCGAGGGAACGAAATAATATTTCGAGGGAACGAAATAAAATATTTTGAGGGAACGAAATAATATTTCGAGTGAACGAAATAATATTTCGAGGGAACAAAATGATTTTGAGGGAACGAAATAATATTTCGAGGGAACGAAATAATATTTCGAGGGAACGAAATAATATTTCGAGGGAACGAAATAATATTTCGAGGGAACGAAATAAAATAAAAACTTCATCATGCCTGTCCCTTAAGGGGCTCCGTACGATGGCACCAAAAAGGGCAAGACATATTTTTTTAAAAGGGCACTTGTTCAGAAAAAAGGGGCACTAATTTAAAAGAAGGGCACTCTTTACATTGGGGGAGCGCTAGTGAAAAAAAGGGCATTTGAATGAAAAAGGGCAGTCTTTACAAAATATTGGAGGGGGTAAATACCCACCTCCCCTTCCCCACCCCCTCCCCCACCCCCACCCCCTGGCTGGCTACACCTTTGTTTTGGGACAGACAATTTTTTGAATAAACTTGAAGGATTTATTTTCATTTACAAAAACATCTAAAATGACCGTTGATAAGAACTGTATGAAAACGTGATCCAAACCAGCGTGAATAAATCGAGAATCCATCGGATGTACGTATGTAAATCTTCTCGTCGTTATTATTATTTTCGTTCTCACGCAAGTACGCGATGTGAAAACACACGTGCTCCAACAAGGCGACCTTGGAATGAAAACAGGTCGCAGGAAAAATTCGTTTTTACCCATTTCCAACTGATTTATCATCTATTCTGAGGCAATTTTGTCACTGTTGTTAATAAATAGAACTAATAATTTAACACTTTAAAACAGTTAATAAAATTATGTAGTGTTATTTTGCCGTGAAGCAAAGGGGTATAGGCTTCAATAAAACTGGAACGAAAACATACACACTGACTCTTCTATGTGATTTACTTGTCGAGCTGATTTATTTTGCTTCTGTCCACCGAAAATCATGCCGAAACTTCCCTCATGTTTCCACATATCATTCTGCCACTCATTTTTCCTGTTGCGCGTACTCTTTTCCCGCGCCTCCAAATGTATACATTGTAACCATTTATTGTCTAGCGTATGACCCTGGCGATCTTGGTGGGTCTGCCCAGATACGGATACTTTTTATAGGTCTTGTCTGGCGCCCTCTCTTGATCGCAATAATAACAACATGCATGGCCTGACAAAAGATTATTTCGCTACAAACTCCCCTACTTGGGTGATCAACTCCTGGAGATCAAGGTTAAAAGTAATGCTTTCACAGGATCAAACAAAATCAAAATGTCGTTTCTTTACAGCATACATTATTTGCCTTACTACACATACTTATTATAAACAAGGAAAAACTGGAAATACAACAAGCTTGAATAACAATTGATAAAAATGAATACGTGTACTGCTATGTATCCATTCAGGCTGTCTTCTATATCCTCAAATAACAGTTATTTAAAAGTTACAATGATTGGCCCAAAATCTCGATAAACTCTATACACATTATACTCTGTTACATGATACAACTCCTCTTTTGAATTTACATGTATGAATACTCTAATCAGTTACAAATGTAGCTTAATAATCGTGTCCTTGAAGCTAAAACCAGATACGAGAGTCGAAAAACTTAAGTAACTTTCGTAGTGTCCTCTCATACTGTAGCATTCCTTCCGAATTAAGATGCACCCCATCTAAACTAAAACGCGGGTTCTTGAGACCCCGATGGCGCCAAACCCACCATCGATCTTCAAGGAACGTGGACTTTTCCAACAGCTCATTGAAATCTTTGACTCTCCTATTAAATGTCTGCAATGACACTTGGTAGCTTCTCAACCCCCCGGTTCGTGGCAAAACTGGTAAAAACACCAAAGTATCGGGGTATACGTCCCACTTATGAAGAGCAGACACCATATTACAAAGTGAGGTGTGAACCTGGCTAGGGGTTCGCTCAACCGAACACAGGTCGTTTGTTCCCAAATCAATAATTAATACTGTGGGTTGCAATTTCTGTAACTGTCGGAAATAACGGCCTTGGTTACACAGGACCCGGTCGAAAGTCAACCCACCTTCGCCAATACATGCGATAGGGATTTTGCTTCTCTGCAGTTCTACCTCATATGCAAAACCATGCCTGTTCCTCATTCTCTTTACGAAACTGTGACCAAAAAGTACAAAACCTCCCATAATTACTGGAGATGTTGGCTAGCCAAGTTGTCACTACAGGAAACTGGATTCCCCAAACCTTCCTTCGAAGTAGCAACAAGGCTTTCCACACACCTGAAAGAAAGTTATCAAAACAGGTTACTATTATACATACAGGTACTTACAAAATACTACATAACTCTGTAAAATTCTTGTATTTCCTGTCAAACACATGTTGATGCTGACAGATGGGTGATCACCAGGCGGAAACTGGATACCCCAGCCTTTCCTTTAGTAACTTCCCAACGTACAGCACGCAACAAGCGTTCAAACAAAGTAGATAGACATTACTTTATAACTGACTTGGGCAGTCGAAATGGGTTGCTGTTCATGCCCCGATTAATTCTCTGAGACCGTCTAGGCAGCTTAGAGCCACCTGGCTCCCCTACTTTATCACTGCCAACACCATGTTGTTTTTGACCCAACACTTGTTCTACGGGTTGCTCTATTACATCCCAATCTGAATCTGAACTGGATTCCTCACTACCCTCAGAATCAATTTCCGCCATAGGGTCAAGTCGTAAATATTTCCTATTTACGATTCGCTCTGGTCCACCTCTAATAGGACGGATTCGGAAAACATCCCCATGTTCACTGGTCCAAATTACCTTATATGGGACCTTTTCATATTTATCTGCTAATTTGTGACGACCTTTAAATGCTAGTCTTCTCATAAGCACCTGTGAACCACAGTGTATGGGTTTATCGACACGCTTACTATCGTGACGCTGCTTATTTTGGATATTTCGCTTAGTTACTCTCTCTTTTACAATCTCCCTAGCACGATCTAGCAATTCTCCCTGTTCAGCAACAAAGTCCTGCTCCCAATTACTATCATTCCTTCCTAGCATCTGATCCAAAGGGATCAGAGGTTCCCGCCCAAACATTAAAGTGTACGGAGGGACCCCAGTCGTACAATGAGGTGTTGCATTGTACACAAAAACTAAATGCGATAGTAAATCTGGCCATTTGCGCCTGTCACGCTCATCCAGAGAGCGAATCAACCCAAACAAGGTCCGATTAAAGCGTTCGGCTTGGCCGTTCCCTTCAGGGTGGTACGGGGTGGTTCTCGTCTTTTTAATTCCATACAAGGTGCAAAGCTCCCTTACAATTTCCCCCTCAAAATTTCTCCCTTGATCGCTGTGGAGTCTATTCGGGATACCAAACTTTGTGAACCAATGGTCCCTTAACACTTTAGCAACTGTGACTGCGTGTTGATCCTTACAAGGTACTGCTTGCGAAAACTTTGTGTATACATCTGTCATTATAAGAACATCTTCAAATCCCCTGCAACCCTTGTCAAGTTTAACAAAGTCTACCGCTAGAATTTCCAAAGGCCGAAATGCCAGCAGATGACGCATGGGAACCTTTGTCTGCGGTTGAGCCACCTTGGAAGTAATACACCTCTGGCAATGGTCAATATAATGACGAACGGTTGCCGTCATTTGTGGCCAGTAAACCCGTCTCCTTAATAATGAACTTGTCCGGACAACTCCCTGGTGCCCCCATCCGTCATGGCAACCTTGCAATACTCTCTGTCGAAGACTTTTCGGCAAGAGTATCTGGAATAATTCTCCATGTATAGGATCAATTACCCGCCGGCAAAGAACCCCGTCACGATCAACAATACGTGACCACTGATCAAGCCATAATTTAATCTTAGGTGATTGGCCATGTTCATCAGACACTACCTCCCCTGGTGTCCACCTCCGGTTCCAACACTCCCAGACACAACCCAACTCTGTATCACGCTTTTGCAAGGAAGAAAGTTGCTCCGTCGACCAAGACGGAAACACACCAGGAGGTCCAGCCCCCTCTGTGGGTACTTCATTATGTGCCTGTTTAACCTTCACTTTATCAACTACTGCTGTCTTGGGAAGTAAAGTCGAGTGCAACTTATCCTGCATAAGACCTTCAACCTCTGACGAATCACTTGCATGCCCAGGATACCTACTAAGTGCATCTGCACATCTGTTGCTTCTCCCTGAACGGAACTGTACTTCAAAATTGAACGCGGCTAATTGCGAAACCCAACGCATCTCAGTAGCACCTAACTTTGCTGATTTGAGGTAAGCAAGCGGGTTATTGTCAGTAAGGACAATAAAGGTTGCCCCCAAAAGGTGATCTCTAAACTTATCAACTACCGCCCACTTGAGCGCCAAAAGTTCCAATTTAAAGGAACTATAATCCGGGTATTTAGCTTCAACACCCCTAAGACCGCGGCTGGCATACGCTACCGGATGCCTTCTACCATTCTCGTCATCCTGACACAGACAAGCTCCTAAACCCTGCAGGGATGCATCCACCTCCAGGACAAATGGTTGGGCAAAATTGGGATAGGCCAAAACTGGTGCATGTGTTAAAGCATGCTTCAATGCATCGAATGCTAACTGCGCATCTGAGTCCCAGACAAAACTAGGTAACTTGCCTCTCGCATTGCCCTTAGCCTGTGAGGGTATAAGAGCATGCAGTGGCGCCGCTATTCTGGAGAAGTTTTGCACAAAGCGCCTATAATATCCAGCTAGGCCCAGGAATGATCTAAGCTGCGCGGCATTCTCAGGAATCGGCCAATCCTTAATTTTCTGTATTTTGTCTTCATCCACAGCCACACCCTCTGGCCCAACCACATGCCCCAGGTAGGATACATGTTCACTAAACAAGTGGCACTTTGAGCCCTTCACCTTTAATCCAAACTGAGCAAGCCTAGACAAAACCCTGTCCAACCTGTTGATATGTTCTTGAACAGTAGACGAAAACACCAAAATATCGTCAAGATAAATCAGTAACTCACACAGGTTCATGTCACCGAGACACATCTCCATGACCCTCTGAAAGGTTCCTGGTGCATTTACTAGCCCGAAAGGCATTCTGGTGTATTCGTACAAGCCAAAGGGAACCCGAAACGCAGTTTTACTGACAGAGTCAGGGTCCATCGCTACCTGATGATATCCGTGTGCGAGATCCAAAGATGAAAAATACTTAGCCCCCCGGAGTGCCTCCAGTGACTCCTCAATTCGAGGCAAAGGAAAGGAGTCACGCACCGTTTTGGCATTCAGCCGCCTGTAATCGACACAAATTCTTAAGGACCCATCCTTCTTTTGTACAAGCACTATAGGGCTCGCATATGGACTACTACTCTTTTGCACAATGCCCTGGTCCAGGAATTTTTCAATTAACTCCCTAACTTCTTTAAGGTGGTGTGGAGGGATACGCCGATACGGTTGGTTTATCGGATGGTCATCGGTTGTCTGAATCTTGTGAGGCACTTGGTCACAAAACCCAAGGTCCAGTGAATCTTTTGAAAACACTGAGTCATGTTTTTGAATCAAGTGCACTATCTGATCCCGATCCTCCCTGCTCAATTCTACACCCAAGTCAAGACTTAACCCAATGGGTAACTGGTACTCCGAACCATCCTCGAAAACGTACAACTCGCCGTTCGGCGACGACTCCCCATCACCTATTTCAATATCATGGTCCACGGGTTTGCCTAAATCAGTCTGGGGCAACTCCTGATACCCCAAAGATTCACAAAGGATATTACCCACTGAAACATGAATCCCATCTGACCCTTCCTCAAGTTCAACATTGGGCCTGGTAGTGATCTTTGTGACGCTGGCAAGTTTAAAGTGTGAAGGTATTTCAAGTACATGGGCTCCCACATTTGCCACCAACACATTGACAATTCTACCCCTGGTTATCTCACATGAATCATAAACCTTAAAGTTGGCACCCAAAGTACATGTACCAGAGTCGATTTGTTCCCCTGTTCTATTACTGAGCCCCATTTCGTTCACTCCAGGCAGACCCTCAACCAAAACCGTACACCCCTCTAAGGTGTCAGTCGGTGCTCTTAAGTAACACGGTATGCTGCGCACCTCTCTTGGCAATATCATGGTTGGGTTTCTGCCTGTACGCGCAGCAACTGGTCCCTTACCAGATGTCTCGTTGACTATATTTTCAGTTTCAGTTTGGTCCAATCCCCTTGAAAACCCATACCACTGTAATGCCAATGACCATGCACCAGCGTCTTCATGCTCGGGTTCTATTGTAAGATCTTTCAGTAAGTGCAGTACGTTGCATCCAAGCAACACTGGACAAGGTCTATGTTTTGGGTCAGCCTCCACAGAATCCTTCACTACTAAAAAATGGCCTACAACTGTGTAGTTGTAAACACTCAAAGGGACTTCAACATACCCCTCAATGGGTAGTTCAACGCAACTTGCTCCAAAAACTCGCAAATGCGTCCCTATCTGTTTCAATCCGGCCATCTTTTTAGCTAGATTCTCCCTGTAGAAAGATGCAGAAATCAGAGACGCCTCCGCTCCGGTGTCAAGTACACATGTGGTTTTGACGCCTGCCAAAGTCACACAAGCCTTTGGACTTTCTCGCACCAACTTAGAGAGCACCTCATCAATGGAAGACTCTGACTGCACCCTTCCACATTGGGAATCTCCTTTTTGTGAGGCCTTTTTGACCTTGTCCTCCACCACTCGGCCTACAGTTGTGGAGCGTGGGGGTTTAACCCCTCCCCGACTACTTTACCCTGCACATTACTACTTAACTGTGGTTCGCGTGATGGCTGAGCTGTTGTCGCTGCCTCCTTAGCTATTCTGCGCTTGCAATGAGCCTTGATATGCCCTGGTTTCTTACAGTAAAAACAAACCAGAGGTGGCCTGTACCCGGCAGTATCCGATACCCACGGAATTTTCGCATCTTGCCCTACATGTACATGTTTCAACAATGTATTCAACTGCTCCTGTTGCTTTAACAACATACCCTGTTGTGACTGGAGACATCGCAACAGCTCTTGCTGTTGTGCTAACACCTGTTGCAACTGGTCATTATTCCTATTAACTGAAATTTCATTGACCTTGACCCCCGGTGTACTATCTTCAGCCTCAGGTGATACACTTTCAGCTGACACCTGGTGCACTTGACTCCGTTTGGGGCGTGACCCCCCTTCAATGTCACGGAAAAGTTCCCGTGCTGCATCGCGCATCTCACTGAAACTTTGGGAAGGTTTGGCTAACTCAAGCCTGCGCAGCTCCAGCCTAACAGATTGAATTCTAGCACCAGCGACAAACTGGCTGATTAATACCCTGTCGCGTAACCCCTTAAGGGCGCCCTTCTCGCCTTCTGTCGCGACTTCAAGGATTCGATCATGAAGTCGCATAAGCGATCTAGAAAAATCCATCAGTGATTCTTCCTCCCTTTGAGTGCGCTCATAGAGGGCTTTTTGAAGAGACTGAACAGTCTCGTCCGCACCAAAACTCCTCTTAAGCAGTTTCTTTAGGGAAGCAATATTGTTTTTAATTTCATCCCCATGGCACTTAATCTCCTCCCGGGCTACCCCTGTTAAATGCTGAATAACAACCTTTGCTTGCTCATCCTCCGGGATACTGCATTGCTGAATGTACACATCTACTTCATCTAACCATTCTATTATAGTGGGGTCCCCTGCCCTTGTGGGTTTACCCGAAAACTTTGAAAGCTTAATTGGGCGCTGTGATACAGCCCGAGGCTTATCCTGCTTTAGGGCATTTGTCAGCCCTGTCACCAACTGGGTTATCAAATCTGTTTCTGAGTTAGCCATAATATTTGCTTCTGTGCCAAACAAAAATCCCTCAAGCACTCTCAATCAAACTTTCATAACTTGGGACACACTATTGCATATGTACACAGGTAAATGAGATAATGAGCAAACTACATGTATTAGGCAGACTTCAAACACACCTCGACAATACAACAACTGGGTATTTTGTGTTTTCAGGGCAACCCTTAATGAAATTATAGCCTACGTACTGTTCAACATACAATTAAAGGTGAAAGTTCATTAATCAGTCCTGCAGTTACAATACCATGAGCTGTTTCACCAGTCGATCCAGGCCGGAGACTTGTCAATCCTCAGTTCATCCACCGCAGCGTTGAACCGTCACTCCAGTCCAGGTGTAGCCGACTTGACTGTTGCCCTCTCGAGCTCCCCACACCAGTAGGCCCAGTCCAAGCGAGTCTCGGACATCAAGCTTCACGCCTCTGTCATCCAAATAGTGCTATCCGTCACACTAACACCCCCGTTGTTCGAAGTGCAATAATTCAACGTCCAGCGAAGGCGTTTGTGTAGTTGCGGACCCCGTCTCCTCGCAGCGAAGACCGTACGTCCGCTGCCCACGGGTCTCGGTGCACTCCGCAGCGGATCAAACGGCAGCTGTCACGGCACAGCGGACTTCTCAGACAGTCCGCTTTTCAGCAAGATAGGCTCGATTGGGAAGGCCTGCAGCTCAGGTCTCGGTTGCATGCATGGATCGACGAAATCTAAAACCGTTCGCCGTATTTCGTCCCGTCTTGAAGCTAGCTAAGCAGCAGCCCAGGCAAAATCTCTCGACGATACGCTTCAAAATTCTGTTTTTGTCGTCGTCCAGTTCACGTTTCAAACACGTTACCCACACCCCATCCGTGTTACCAATTTGTAGTGTTATTTTGCCGTGAAGCAAAGGGGTATAGGCTTCAATAAAACTGGAACGAAAACATACACACTGACTCTTCTATGTGATTTACTTGTCGAGCTGATTTATTTTGCTTCTGTCCACCGAAAATCATGCCGAAACTTCCCTCATGTTTCCACATATCATTCTGCCACTCATTTTTCCTGTTGCGCGTACTCTTTTCCCGCGCCTCCAAATGTATACATTGTAACCATTTATTGTCTAGCGTATGACCCTGGCGATCTTGGTGGGTCTGCCCAGATACGGATACTTTTTATAGGTCTTGTCTGGCGCCCTCTCTCTTCACGGCAAAATAACACTACAATTATATACAAATCTATACAGGGTTGCTTTCTACGGAAGACGGATAGTGCCACTCAATGAGTGTGAATATATTTGTTTGGTGTGTGTGAAAATATTTTTTTGTACAGCGGCCGTCACTTATTATGTGGCGGCCGCCAGATAATAAGTGGCGGCCGCCACATGAGTTTTCATAATAAGTGGCGTCCGCTGTACAAAAAAATATTTTCACACGAACAAAAAAAAATATTCACACTTTTTTATGTGGCGGCCGCCAGATAATAAGTGGCGGCCGCCACATACAAAAGTGTGGAAATATTTTTTTGTACAGTGGCCGCCACTTTATGTGGCGGCTGCCAGATAATAAGTGGCGGCCGCCACATTAGTCGTCATAATAAGTGGCGGCCGCTGTACCAAAAAATATTTTCACACGTACAGAAAAGATATATTCACACTCATTGAGTGGCACTATCCGTCTTTCGTAGCTTTCTGAATTTCATGATTTATTTCTTGCCCTCTATTTGCCGTATCCCAATAGTAATGGTTTGACTACTGTGGGCTACCGCTAATTTCGAACCCTGCTCCAGCTCTGCACAAAATACACGTACGTACGTACGCACACACGTACGTACACGTGGACCATTGATCTCCATATGTACACTTGGCTCGAGACGTCAGTGACAGCTCACCCGGATCGACTCGGGTATTAAAAGGCAGACCATCTGTACTGTTCCTTGCTCAGACAGCAGCGCAGCCACGACTAATCGGGTGCTAGTGTAAACTGCGGGCCGTACAAGACGATCAGTCGATCGGGCGCTATTAAGCCTTCTCTTTTCGAGTCGTCTCGAACCATTGAAGAAACACTACTACAAAATGTACATGTATTTCGACTGGACTATTGGCCACATTTATTATGGGGCTAGCCCAGGTGGACTCCCTTTCCTCCCTACGTAACGGAGGGTTAGTCGTAATGCAATGAAGACTTCGTCCAACCTGGGCTATTATTATGGGGCTAGGTTTTGAACAGCTTCCAATGCATCAATGTAAGTTTGGTGTACTCCTAGAACTATAAGGCTCCACGTAGTGGACGTGGAGCCTCATAGTTCTAGGAGTAAGTTTGGTGATGAGGATATTCCAGATGGTTGAACCATGGAGTGTGTTTATAGCTCCATGGTTGAACAATACTCTAACTGTAGTCTGACGAGAGTCTTGTAAGTTGTATTCCGTTGCGTTTAGGCCAAAAAAAAAAATATTCGGTCTCTGGTCAGACCAAAGTTCCGGAATTGACGCGGCCACGCGGCTTTTTTTTTTTTTTTTTTGCTTTTTTTTTTTTTCTTCAAGCTTGGATTGCACAGACAAGGTGGGTACTATTTTGCTTTTTTGGTGTCTTCATGTACATTAGTGTCCTCCATAATTTGCCTTGGTGCTTTCAATCATTTGCCTTGGTGCAATTTCCCTTTCCTTGGTGCTCTGTGGTAAAAAAAATTGAGGAGGTGCGGAAATAGAGGGCGCTGTTGGAGCTACCGCGGAACATTTTGAAAAAAAAAAAGATCGACGCGCATGGTTAAAATCGACGCGCGCGCTGACCAGAGACCAACTTATTTTTTTTTTTGGCCTTACTCCTGAAATTTACGTCGTAGAAGACCTAAGGTTTTGCTGGCTTCTGTGACAGGTTTGACAACATGGTTGTTCCAGTTTAATAAGCTTACACTTTACAGTTTAAGCATGGAGGAATAAAAACACATCTCCATGGTTTAAGTGACCCCTCCACCACTGAAGTATGTAGTCATGACTCATGAGTGGTCTTTTCTTGTGGGTGATGTGCATAACATTAACAGCTCATTTCTTGATGTTGAATTGCATCAGCCATTGATTTTGCCAGACACAGAGTGAGTAAATATGCCCTTTTGTAGGATGATTGGGTCTTCTGCCAAAGCAATCTTTCTTGGGAGATCATACAGAAGAAACATCGCTGGGCCTATTTTTATGGTGTACCATTGACCATAGGTTACGTCTCGATAGTCCGAAGTACCATTGGTCCGAAGTACCATTGGTCCGAATGGTCCGAAGTCCCATTGGTCCGAATGGTCCGAAGTCCCATTGGTCCGAAACATAATGTGTAGTTCCACTTGTTCAGGTTGACTGACCCTAACCCTAACCCTAATCCTATGGGGCGTCGGGCCAATTGGACTTCGGACCAATGGGACTTCGGACAAATGGGACTTCGAACCAATGGACTTCTGACCACGTAGGACCAATGAGACGTCGGACCAATGGTACGTTTATACCAATGGAACGTATAGAGCAATGGGCCGTCGGACCAATACTTCGGACCAATGGGACTTGGGACCAATGGGATGTCGGACCAATGGGACTTCAGACCAATGGGACTTCAGACCAATGGGACTTCGGACCAATGGGACTTCGGACCAATGGGACTTCAGACCAATGGGACTTCAGATCAATGGGACTTCGGACCAATGGGACCGGACTGTAGAGACGTCCCCGTACCATAAAGGTCACTAATGCGGCGTGATGGCTGTCCTTAACCGGCGCGATGAGTGTCCGGCGGTGTGATGTCCGTCCTTAACCAGGGCGATGTGAGTGCATTGCATTAGTGACCTTTATGGTACACCTTACCATAATACAGCCCTGTCACCACTCTTGAATAACGGAACAATTTGCATGATGCCAGTCTGAGGCAGGGTACCAGTATCAAGCGATTTTTGAAATATGAGTCTAAGTATGGGTGTTATGCATGGGGCACACTGATAATTTCAAAATATGAGGTGATAGCAGGCCTATGCCATCAGGACCAGGAGCTTTTTGTGGTTCCACATTACGTTTATAGCAGTTTTTCAACTCCCTCTGTACCTCGATAGTTGACAGTTCAACAATATTACCTGCACCAAGGTCAGAGATGTTGAGGTTATCTTCAACGGTAGAGACTGATTTAAATTGCCTGTTTAGCACCTCAACTTTTGTTTAGATGTTGTTGCAATGCCCTGTGCTGTAATTTCAGAATTCTCACTCCAAACGTTTCTTGTTTCCGAGACTTCACAAAATATTCAAAGCTAAATCGAATGGCATGGGCCTGGGTAAGCTAAACGAACCATAGACATAAAATAAAACCTAGACACGACATTTACTGCTTTTACGTTGTGAATAGGCCTGAGACTATGACGTCACGCTTTGTTTACATGTGTGCTTTCCTATGTGGTAGACATTCCCTACTTTGTCGGGCGTCCTGACTTCGCACCCATAGGAAAGTGCATTGTAAACAAAGCCATTACGTCATTAGGTCTATTGTGTGAGCAGACAAGGCTGGGTCACGCGGCATGTGACGATATGTTAAGCGATGCGCGAATGTCATTTGGCTTCGAATCATGCTGATCGGCTGCGTGCTTACAATCTAATCAATGCGACGATCAGCTTATTTTAATTGATCGAAACATTGATTCCAATACAACATGAAACAGCCGTCGATCAATCGGGCGAAAGAAGAACTGTCTAATTGGTTGCACGCATGCGTTCTGCAGAGCTTAATTACCGGTACTCGAACCAGTGTGATCATGAAAAGTTGCAAACGTTCGGACCCGCCTCCATAATTCTCTCTAGTCCAAAAAGTTTTATTTATTTGGAATGCTGACTGTTATGTTGATTGGAATATTCACTGTGTTATTCACGTGTAAGTATCATACTAGGTCAAATGTCATCTATGTAGAAAACTTTGAACACGTTGAAAGTTTTTATTACACAGTTACGCATGGCGTTGTTATTGACACCACGTTCACGGGTCTAGTTCAAAGACAAAGTGCTTCGATACAGAATACGCCCATATGGAATGTGTAGGTATGGGGAAAAAATATATCTATAGTGGCTATCTGAATCTGAGTGGTATGGTTGGCAAAGGAGAAAGTCTGATTTTCAACAGCCAAAGATCGTGACGCTGAATACCAGTACTAGTAGTCAGGGAACCAGACAGTTCCTTAACGATAGCAGTTGAAATTCACGTTACAGCTGCCGTAACGATAGCCACTGCGAAAAAATAGAGAGGTTTCGCATGCAAACGGATACGTTTAGTGCGACGGATACGTCATCAGTTATGACGTCATACGCCACTCACTATCCGCTAAACGTGCAGACGACACGCATATATCTCGCTCGCTACACGTAAGTAAAAAAACAGATACGGATAGCTAATCATAAGTGTAAGCGTATCCGTTCGCTTGCGAAACCTCCCTTATATCACTGTAATTGGTCACATAATCAGTCAGAGGATGACGTACAGTCACGTGACGACAAAAATGGCAGCCGTCGATTTTGAATCATTTTACTTCCTTTGTGAATCAGATTGATTTTCAACATAAATATCACGTCTTGTGAATTCGGAGTGCTGCCCACACACCTCTCCGGTGACATCGGATCCGGTGACCTTGGATCCGGTGACCTCGGATGCGGAAAAATCAAACATGTTTGATTGGATCCGGCCGCCTGGTATTTGGTCAGATCAGTCCAAATTTTCGGCACACACCTCTGTAGTCTGATCATTTACCGATACGCATTGTTGAATGCCCTTTAAATACAAGGGATTAACCACAGAGATTTTCTTACCTCCATGAATGAAAGTAACCTTGCAAAGGAAAACAGACAAAAGCACCATCATCATTTCAGAAAAAAAAAATTGATTTGTTCTTCATAATACAAAACACAAAAACTGACAGTACATATAAGGTTGTCTTGACTCAAATTACTCAAATCCTGCTTGTATTTGAATGCATGTGTGTAATCTGTGGTTGTCACTTAGCTAAATAGCTTCAAAATAGCATTCCCATGGAAAGCTCTTTTAGTATTAAAAAAAATGCATAACTTCTTATAGCGTGGATCTTTTTTTTCACAAGAGTGGAAGAACATGCTCGTTTAATACATGCTTCATTGGTATACTATATCCAATTTAATTGTTATTTAAGGATAAAAATTATGAATCCAGGTTACTTTATTACCAATGCTGCAAACAGGATCATTTTAGAGGATACATGGTATTTTTAAAGGGGTATAAGAAACAACATTCAGAACACATTTTATATCGTTGGTCATTCCGTTGGGTACCAAAAAAATACCATGGAAAACCGTCACTGTAAGTATGTGTGTAGTATTTTTTTTTTCTTTCTCTCCATAGGAAAATACAGCTCCGCTAAATTTAAACTGAAAGCCTGAAGGAATAATGTTGAGTAATTAGCACCTATACAGAAAGTACTAATTACATGTGGTCAGTATCTGAAATGACTTAGTGTAAACACAAATTTTTTTTATATGGAATACCTTGATAAGATTTTAAAAAATTTTATGGAATGTTGTAATATTTTTTATAAAGTTTTAATTTCCTAAGGGGGTCATTAATTTTTGTCTACTGTCAATCTGTGAAATGAAATACTGTTAATAATACCACCCTTATTGCCTTACATTATACAGATTCAGCAGCTACCACAGAATCAACAATCACCTTCAATCAAACAACCAACTCCTCTACCGAGACATACACCTCAGACACAGCTTTCTACACTGTTACAACTGATTCCTCTGTTACAGTGAACTCTTCCGCTGCAACTGACCCCGCAGCCACCACGGACGCTGCAATTACTGATACTTCCACCACAGAATCCTCCCCCGCTTCACAGTCCTTTGTCACCACAGATATCTCTGCCATCACCGACTCTGTCACCACAATGGACTCCTCTCCAAACACTGATTTTGACTCGATTACGGTTACTTCTACCGACTTTAATGTAACCACAAACTCCTCTGCAAATATTGACTCTCTCGCTTCCACGGACTCTTCGATCACCACAGACTCCATGACCAACACAAACTCTACTGCCACCATGGACTCGGCGTCTTCTACTGACTTTGATGTTACCACAGACTTCTCTGAAACCACTGACTCTAACACCACCATTGATGTCGCTGCTACCACCTACTCTGTGGCCACCACAAACTTTTTGGCCACAAGTGATTATGCCACATCCTCTGCCACCACAGACTCTGCTACCTCTACGGACTCCTCTGCCACCACTGACTTAACTGCTACAACCATAGACTCAATTCCAACTACCAACTCCTCTACAACCTCTGACTCTACTGCAATTGCCACTACTGACTATGTCACAACCACTGACTCATCTGCATTCACTGACTCTGCTGCAACCACAGACTCCTCTGCTATCACTGACTCAGCTGCTACCACAGATTCTACGGCTACCGAGGACTCTGCTACCGCCATAATAGCCACTTCAGACTCTTCTGCAACCTCAGACACCTCTGCAAGTAGTGACTCTGCTGGAACCACAGACTACTCTGCTACCCAATATTCTGCGGCCACAACAGATTCTGCTACCAGCACGGACTCCTCTGCTACAACTGACTTGGCTGCTACCACAGATTCTGTGGCCACTGCTGACTCTGCTACCACCACAGAATCAATAGCCATTACAGACTCTGCTACAACCACGGACTTCACTGCTACCGAATATTCTGCGGCCACGGCAGATTCTGCTACCAGCACGAACTCCTCTGCTACAACTGACTCGGCTGCTACCACAGATTCTGTGGCCACATCAGAGCCTGCTACAACCACTGACTCCTCTGCCACCACGGACTCCTCAGCCACCACTGACCTAGCTGCTACCACAGATTTTGCTGCCACTGCTGACTCTGCTACCACCGCAGACTCAATAACCACTACAGACTCTGCTGCAACCACCAACTCCTCTGCTACTGAATATTCTGCAACCACGACACATTCTGCTAACAGCATAGATTCCACTGTCACCACTGACTCGGCTGTTACCACCATGGACTCAATAGCCACTACCGACTCTGCTGCAACCACTGACTTTTCTGCAACCTCAGACCCCTCTGCAACTACTGACTCTTCAGTCACCTCAGAATCAATTACCACTACTGACTCCTCTACAACCACTGACTCCTCTACAACCACTGATGACTCTGCAACCACTGATGACTCTGCAACCACTGATGACTCCTCTGCAACCACTGACTCAGCTGCAACCACTGACTCCTCTGCAACCACTGACTCCTCTGCAACCACTGACTCCTCTGCAACCACTGACTCCTCTGCAACATCTGACTCCTCTGCAACCACTGACTCCTCTGCAACCACTGACTCAGCTGCAACCACTGACTCAGCTGCCACCACAGACAACTCTGCTACCACAGACAACTCTGCTACCACAGACTACTCTGCTACCACAGATTCTGCGGCCACTACAAATTCTGCAGCAACCACAGGCTCCTCTGCAACATCTGAGTCTTCGGTCACAACAGAATTCATTCCAACCACTGACTCTGCCACAGCCACAGACCCCTCTGTAACCACTAACTCTGCAGAAACTACTAACTTCGCTGCTACCACAAATTCTGAGGCCACCTCAGACTCTACTACCACCACAGACTCAATAGCCACTACAGACTCTGCTACAACCACCGACTCCTCTGCAACCGCTGATTTGTCTACAACCCCAGACACCTCTGCAACTACTGACTCTTTAGTCACCTCAGAATCAATTGCCACTACTGACTCCTCTGCAACCACTGACTCCTCTGCAACCACTGACTCGGCTGCAACCACAGACAACTCTGCTACCACAGACTACTCTACTACCACAGATTCTGCAGCCACTACAAATTCTGCAGCGGCCATTACAAGTTCAGTAGGAACCACAAACTCCTCTGCAACATTTGAGTCTTCGGTCACAACAGAATTAATTCCTACCACTGACTCTGCCATAACCACCAACTTGGCTGCTTCCACAAATTCTGATGCCACCTCAGACTCTACTTCCACCATGGACCCCTCTGTCACCACTGACTCCTCTGCAGCCGCTGACTTTTCTGCAACCACAGACCCCTCTGCAACTACTGACTCCTCTGCAACTACTGACTCCTCTGCAACCACTGACTCAGCTGCAACCACAGACAACTCTGCTACCACAGACTACTCTACTACTGCTACAGATTCTGCGGCCACTACAGATTCTGAAGCAACCACAGACTCCTCTGCAACATCTGAGTCTTCGGTCACAACAGAATTAATTCCCACTACTGACTCTGCCACAACAACAGACCCTTCTGTAACCACTAACTCTGTAGTAACCACTGACTCAGCTGCAACCACAGACAACTCTGCTACCACAGACTACTCTGCTACCACAGATTCTGTGGCCACTACAAATTCTGCAACAACCACAGGCTCATCTGCAACATCTGAGTCTTCAGTCACAACAGAATTCATTCCAACCACTGACTCTGCAACAACCACAGACCCTTCTGTAACCACTAACTCTGCAGTAACCACTAACTTGGTTGCTACCACAAATTCTGAGGCCACATCAGACTCTACTACCACCATGGACTCCTCTGTCACCACGGAATCAATAGCCACTACAGACTCTGCTACAACCATCGACTCCTCTGCAACCGCTGATTTTTCTACTACCACAGACCCCTCTGCAACTACTGACTCTTCAGTCACCTCAGAATCAATTGCCACTACTGACTCCTCTACAACCACTGACTCCTCTGCAACCACTGACTCAGCTGCAACCACAGGCAATTCTGCAACCACAGACTACTCTACTACCACAGATTCTGCGGCTGCTACAAATTCTGCAGCGGCCACTACAAATTCTGCAGCAACCGCAGGCTACTCTGCAACATTTGAGTCTTCGGTCACAACAGAATTAATTCCCACCTCTGACTCTGCCATAACTACAGACCCTTCTGTAACCACTTACTCTGCAGTAACCACTAACTTGGCTGCTTCCACAAATTCTGAGGCCACCTCAGACTCTACTACCACAATGGACCTCTCTGTCACCACCGACTCCTCTACAGCTGATGACTTTTCTGCAACCACAGACAACTCTGCTACCACAGACTACTCTACTACCACAGATTCTGCGGCAGCTACAAATTCTGCAGCGGCAACAACCACAGGCTCGTCTGCAACATCTGAGTCTTCAGTCACAACAGAATTCATTCCCACCACCGACTCTGCCACAACCACAGACCCTTCTGTAACCACTAACTCTGCAGTTACCACTAACTTGGCTGCTACCACAAATTCTGAGGCCACCTCAGACTCTACTACCACCATGGACTCCTCTGTCACCACGGACCCTGCTACAAGCACCAACTCCTCTGCAACCACTGACTCCTCCACTACCACAGATTATGCGGCCACTACAAATTCTGCAGCAACCACAGACTCCTCTGCAACATCTGTGTCTTCGGTCACAACAGAATTAGTTCCCACCACTGACTCTGCCACAACCGCAGACCCTTCTGTAACCACTAACTCTGCAGTTACCACTAACTTGGCTGCTACCACAAATTCTGAGGCCACATCAGACTCTACTACCACCATGGACTCCTCTGTCACCACGGAATCAATAGCCACTACAGACTCTGCTACAACCATCGACTCCTCTGTAACCGCTGATAGTTCTACTACCACAGACCCCTCTGCAACTACTGACTCTTCAGTCACCTCGGAATCAATTGCCACTACTGACTCCTCTGCAACCACTGACTCCTCTGCAACCACTGACTCAGCTGCAACCACAGACAATTCTGCTACCACAGACTACTCTACTACCACAGATTCTGCGGCAGCTACAAATTCTGCAGCGGCCACTACAAATTCTGCAGCAACCGCAGGCTACTCTGCAACATTTGAGTCTTCTGTCACAACAGAATTAATTCCCACCTCTGACTCTGCCATAACTACAGACCCTTCTGTAACCTCTAACTCTGCAGTAACCACTAACTTGGCTGCTTCCACAAATTCTGAGGCCACCTCAGACTCTACTACCACTATGGACCTCTCTGTCACCACCGACTCCTCTACAGCCGATGACTTTTCTGCAACCACAGACAACTCTGCTACCACAGACTACTCTACTACCACAGATTCTGTGGCAGCTACAAATTCTGCAGCGTCAACAACCACAGGCTCGTCTGCAACATCTGAGTCTTCAGTCACAACAGAATTCATTCCCACCACCGACTCTGCCACAACCACAGACCCTTCTGTAACCACTAACTCTGCAGTTACCACTAACTTGGCTGCTACCACAAATTCTGAGGCCACCTCAGACTCTACTACCACCATGGACTCCTCTGTCACCACGGACCCTGCTACAAGCACCGACTCCTCTGCAACCACTGACTCCTCTACTACCACAGATTATGCGGCCACTACAAATTCTGCAGCAACCACAGACTCCTCTGCAACATCTGTGTCCTCGGTCACAACAGAATTAGTTCCCACCACTGACTCTGCCACAACCGCAGACCCTTCTGTAACCACTAACTCTGCAGTAACCACTGACTCGGCTGCAACCATAGACAACTCTGCTACCTCAGACTACTCTACTACCACAGATTCTGCGGCCACTACAAATTCTGCAGCTGCCACTACAAATTCTGCAGCGGCCACTACAAATTCTGCAGCAACCACAAGCTCTTCTGCAACATCTGAGTCTTCGGTCACAACAGAATTAATTCCCCCCACTGACTCTGCCACAACCACGCCCTCTTCTGTAACCACTAACTCTGTAGTAACCACTGACTTGGCTGCTTCCACAAATTCTGAGGCCACTTCAGACTCTACTACCACCACGGTCTCCTCTATCACCACGGACTCAATAGCCACTACAGACTCTGCTGCAACCACAGACTCATCTACTACCGAATATTCTGCCACCATGACAGATTCTGCCACATTGTTCCCCACAGAATCAATTGTCACAACTGCCTCTGCCGAGACTAATGACACCTCTGCAACCACTGACTCTGCTGCAACCAGTGACTTGTCTGCAACCACTAACTCAGACGTCACCACAGAATCAATTGCCACCACTGATTCTGCAACAACCACAGACTCTTATGCATCCATCGCCTCTGCTGCAGTCACAGTCTCTTCTGCTACCACAGATTCTGCTGCCAGCACAGGCTCTGCTACCACCATTTACTCATCTGCCACCACCGACTCGGCTGCTGCCTCTATGGACCCAATAGCCACTACCAATTCTGCTGCAACCACTGACTCCTCAGCTACTACAGATCCTGCTACCAGCATGGACTCCTCTGCCACAACGGAGTCTGCCACAGCCAGTGAATCTGCCACCGCTGATGGCTTTACTGCCACGTCAGACTTCCAAGCTACTACCGACTCTGCTGGCACAGTGGTTTCTATAGCCACCACTGGCTCTGCTGGTGTGCCAATGTCAACCACCACAGAGATACAGATCACTCCAATTGCTGCAGGTTTGAATTTAACATTTTGGAAGCTCTGTTTAAAACTTTTAGTAGAGATGGGTTTCAGCTGCATGATTTCAGACCCTTGGTTGGTGCTGCAACTGAACCGCCGAACCAAACTAAAAATAGACGAACTTGGCCTTCCGAACCAAACTGAACCGAAATGGTCGGTTTGGAAGTTCGGCAAGTTTTGCTTGCAACGAAAGGGCAAAATTAAAGTGCGCAGATGATTGAATTTACCGTGTTAACAAATCATTGCATTCATCTTCATTGTTTGCTGGTCTAAGCTCTACGATTGTTCGTCTCTCAGTGTGCATAATTCGACAACGTAGCATTGCTATAGTGTGGAGACCCTGTGTACATAATGCATACAGTATCGCTCGTAGTAAGTCAAAATTACTGCAATCAATCGATCAATAAGACGAACCCCAAAATGGACAGAGTGTATGCGTGCAGGCTAGAGTGGTTACTGGCATTGCTCACGATGCAGTATTATTGCATGTATTGGGAAAACCCCTTTTTGATTGCGCGCGCTCTGGTGGCAAATGTTCATGTATTTTGTTACCGTAACCGTAGTGCAGGAAGCCGATGCCAATACATGCCGATTTGCACAAAGGATTTTGAATAGTAACACACCGACTTGAGCGAAACGGCGACTTATAAAAGCTGACTTACGGCGCGATCCAGTAAACGTACATGTATGTATGTATATGCTTTTCAGTGTACAATGTACATTAAACATGTACTTCCGAACCCGAACCGAACCGATGTTCGGAAAAAAAAGAATAAAGACCGCAACCAAACCGAGCCGAATCGAACCGAACCGAACTGAACCGAACCTGGAGGATCAGTTTCAGCACTACCCTTGGCTATATTGGGACTCAAGGGAACTTATAAAAGAAAAATTGAAGGTAGGGCTGTGTATCGGAACCAGGTACCAGAGTACCCGACCGTTGTTGTCAGGAACCGGTTCCAAATTATTACTTAGTAACTTCTCCGACAATGAAAAAAAACAAGGTTTTAAAAGTCAATTGTGGAATTTTCAAAATGAAAATCAGGCCACATGGGGAAAACAAAACATGTTTCACGTTTACGATGCTTGCGAAAGTTGCAGTTTACACCATAAAGCTCACTGTACGCACTTGTATCTTGATGCACCGATGTACATGTAGTAATATCGTACAAACCTTTATGAACAATTAGAATCAAGCTGTTACAATTGGAAGCAAGGTTGGAAATAAAGTAGACATTGTTGTCATATAAGCTTTTGTTGTCATGCTACAGGTCTTTGAAAAAACCTCCTGAAACGAGGTTAGTCCATGGCGCTCTCAAAGGTGATAAACACTTAGCGTCCTCTCTTGTTCGCGCATGGGGCCCATACCTTGGAATGGTATGTTGTCCACGCCTATTCGGTACAGTGAGCTCGCATGGTGGGCAAACTACACCCGGCCAATTACCAACTTAATTTCAAGTCTTGAGTTTTATCCTTGCTTATTATGGTAACTTTGTGAATATGAAACAGATGTGGAAGGTCCAACAGTCACATGTCCTGCAGTAAGCATCGAGGTTTGCACAATGGGCAATAACGCTGTTGTTGATTGGATACTACAACCTTCTGCAGTGGACAAAATAGATGGTCCCATCAATGACATCACGTGTAGAGATCAGAACAATAACATAGTGATATCGGGTGGGGCATATGCAGTTGGAGTGACAACTATTACATGCACAGCACAAGACTCATCAGGGAACAAAGGGATGTGTACATTCACCATCACAGTCTATGGTAAGTAACATGTACAGTGTTGTCTTTTAAACTGGATACGAAGTGCAGAAATACATGCAAAACGAAATCAAGCCAACTGCACCTTAATGCATGTCCATAATTTTCACAAGGCACAGATTAAATCTTCAGTTTACCACCTGCCAAGTTTTGATTCTGTGTTAAAATTTTAATATGAAGGAAGAATTTTTTTTTAAATTTGACTGGTCAGTCTTTGAAAAAAAGGTAGTTCTACTTCCGCCCCAGTTACTGGGTCTAATTGTTTTCAGAGAATGAAGCCACTGATCTGAACATGAAGACTAAGATTAGGAAGTGCAGTGGTACACATCCAAAGTTTCAAAGTGTGGACCATATAATATGTGGCATGAATGTGGATGAAATGTGTCAAAATAAACACTTATACTAGATGCTTCTTTTGCCATACTTCAGTTGTGCAGTATCTAAAAATTGTCGGACTTAACACAAGTGGATTCGTGCGCCTGTCTATATTTTTGCGTGTTTTACTATCTCAAGTTTTGGGACACCGAAGAATGCGAAGCATATTGACTAGTACATAATTTTATGCTCACACTCTACACTTACCATAAGCTAATGAATGATGTAAGTTTTAATCTCTACTTAGTGACTAGCCCCATCAAGTAATGTGGCCACACAATGGGGCTACTTGTGACCTGTATCTTGGGTGTCAAGGATTTTAAGTGTATAAAGGGTGGTGCACTTGTTTAAAAGCTAAACCAATACCTTCAAAGCGTTGTTAAAGCTGTTTAGTGAGTGAGACCAGTCTTGTCATAGTTTAAAAACAAGCCATGCAAACTGAGGCTCCCTTAAGTGCAAATTTCCTGCAAAATAGCCATTTCTTGGATTAAGATGTCCGGCTGTCTGGACAGGTGTGATGGTGTTGAATACACCGGAAAGAATGTTGCATACTGATTTCATCATGTTTTTTCATCTCTTCTCACTTTTTTTATGCCCCGCGGCGAAGCCGAAGGGGCATACTGTTTCCGCCTTGTCCTTCCGTGGGTGGGTGTGTGGGTGTGTGAGCTTGTCTTACATACGCAGTGTGGACTTCCGAACAAAAGACGTCCACATAATGTAGGTAGCACCGACGTTGTGTGGACTTGCCCACGTCCACACAGTGTTTCCCCATTTCTGAAAAGCAGGTTTAGAGGCATTTTTGGGTTAGGTTTATCTGTAGCAGAATGAAGAGAAACACTAAAGGGAATCATAGAAAAAAAATTGGGTTGAAAGAGTTTTCACAGTTTGAGAAAAATGAGTTTTTTCACTGGTTTTTCTTAACTACACGAAAGCAATGGAAAGTCCACACTAGTCATGTGAAACAAGTAGGGGTGTGTGTGGGTGGGTGTGGGTGAGTTTGTCTTACATACGCAGTGTGGACTTCCGAACAAAAGACGTCCACATAATGTAGGTAGCACCGACGTTGTGTGGACTTGCCCCACGTCCACACAGTGTTTCCCCATTTCTGGAAAACAGGTTTAGAGGCATTTTTGGGTTAGGTTTATCCGTAGCAGAATGAAGAGAAACACTAAAGGGAATCATAGAAAAAAAATTGGGTTGAAAGAGTTTTCACAGTTTGAGAAAAATGAGTTTTTTCACTGGTTTTTCTTAACTACACGAAAGCAATGGAAAGTCCACACTAGTCATGTGAAACAAGTGTGGGTGTGGGTGTGTGTGTGTGTCCGGACAAATCTTGTCAGCGCGATAACTTGAGAAATACTTAACATATGAACTTCAAATTTGGTTTGTGGATTGTTCTTGGTAATCCTAAGAAGCCTTTTGCATTTGGGGCCAAAAGGCTAAAGGTCAAGTTCACAGTGGCTAAAACAATAGAAATCTTGTCAGCGCGATAACTTGAGAAATACTTAACATATGAACTTCAAATTTGGTTTGTGGATTGTTCTTGGTAATCCTAAGAAGCCTTTTGCATTTGGGGCCAAAAGGCCAAAGGTCAAGTTCACAGTGGCTAAAACAATAGAAATCTTGTCAGCGCGATAACTTGAGAAATACTTAACATATGAACTTCAAATTTGGTTTGTGGATTGTTCTTGGTAATCCTAAGAAGCCTATTGCATTTGGGGCCAAAAGGCCAAAGGTCAAGTTCACAGTGGCTAAAACAATAGAAATCTTGTCAGCGCGATAACTTGAGAAATACTTTACATGTGAACTTCAAATTTGGTTTGTGGATTGTTTTTGGCAATCCTAAGAAGCCTTTTGCATTTGGGGCCAAAAGGCCTAAGGTCAAGTTCACAGTGGCTAAAACAATAGAAATCTTGTCAGCGCGATAACTTGAGAAATACTTTACATGTGAACTTCAAATTTGGTTTGTGGATTGTTCTTGGCAATCCTAAGAAGCCTATTGCATTTGGGGCAAACACACCTGACTTGTTCATTATGTAATATTCTAGTGAAAGAAGGTCTGTCATTGCAGAAATGGTGTAAAGACATGAATCTGGGACTGAGAAGCATGTCCAATTATGTCAGAAAATACTTTGAAAATGCACTTAATTCTATATACTTTGTACACACCCAAAGAAGTAATGTCTGGATACTACATTCTCTCCAATACACCAAACAATAACATATAAAACACCATGAACCAAACCACGGGTGGGAAGTACTAGGATCAATGCAAATTCCACTGGGAATTAAGTCCTTGCCTATATACTGATTCCTCCAGAAGTATAGTTTAGATAGTAATAGCACCAAAAAAAAGTACCACCAGTACAGTGACCAATGGGGTTGCATTGTAAAGCAGCGGTAATGGTTATGTGGTAAGGAACATATTTTAGCGTACGTCTTTCAGAAGCATTAAAGTTTGACTTTCCTCATGATTTATTGCTGTTTAAACAGAGCCCAAGCTCGTTCCATTTGGAGTTGCAGTTGGCGATAGCATGCTTTCCAGTGTCAATCAACCAGTGAGTTTAAAATGTTGTTTTTTCAAAAAACAGTAAAAATGGTAGTGTTTTTTTGTGCAAATTTCTACTCCTCTTAAATGTATGAAAACAATTTGAAATCCTTTTTTGGTTAACGTTGTAGAAACTTCTTTAAACATTAAAAATTGTCCATGCTTTTCCAGACAACTGAGGGTGCTGTTGCTGTGATGTCTTTTCAAGAAGACACTGTTCAATTGAGGGGTTTTCTGTTCAAATTGTGAACCCAGAATTTGCTCATTGAAAAACTTTTGTGAGAAACATTTGCTCACTGGCCTAATGTTATGTACTGAAACAACAATGAATAAAAAAAAAAAAAAATTCACGCCAGAAAAATATCCAAAATTCTGGCAGATTTTTTGCGCTGAAATACATGTAGCAGTTTTCTGCCAGAAATGGCATCACACTTTGCTCACGAATTAAAAAAAATAGCTTAAAAACCCAAAAGGCACCAAAATAGTAAAACGAAAATTGAAAACAAGACTAAATGGGACATAAAGGTGCATTTACAAGGACTGCATTGATAAACTACATTACATGGGCCCTAACAAATTATTTTACAAATATTAGGAATGTGTTCTCTTTCTTTTCCTGACAGTTCTTTCTGCCACCTAAGGACCGGATTTCGCCAACGTTCAGACCGAAACATTTCTTCCCGTACTGTAGTGATCTCTACGAATTTTTGTATGTAAGTGTGAACAGTGCTTTCTAAACTCCTGTTTTAATCGTTGGTGCTTTTAAAAACATTGGTTGTTTTGGATAGATATAAAACAAAGGCATCGCAAATAACCCTGTGAATACATTTTGCACATGTATTAAAGTTGTGATTTAGACCAGTGTTGTAGTACTCGTACTCGGTACTCGTACTCGTACTCGAATGTCAAAGTACTCGTACTCGATATGACGATACTCGTACTCGAGCAGCAAAGTTCTCGTACTCGTACTCACACATGTCGAAATTGTACTCGATCATCAAAGTACTCGTACTCGAATAACAGTACTTGATAAAACAAAGTACTCGTACTCGAATAGCGGTACTCGATAAAAAAAAAATGCAGTATATCACTTACGTTACCACGGCCTTATTTTATCGATACTTTCAGTTTCAAATGGTCGATTGCAGAGAAATCGAAATTGTCTCTACTCTACGCTACGCACGTCCGGACAAACACAATTAACAGCTAGCTATGGCCGGGTCTGTATAAAGGTCTGACTGGGCCCGGGCCAATTACGCACAATGACCCATTTGCCGTACGTGGGCACAATGGCCAATCATTGTATGTACACACTGTACGCTGAGGTGTTCCTCAAAATGGTCGTACGGTTAACTTGGGCGATTGGAGCAAAGCCGTTTTCTGAACCCCGGATTCGGTCCTATAATACGGGTCCAGCCCCATTGCCAACCTGCATGACTGGAGAAAGAGACACAGCCGAAGCTGAAGAACGGCCCCCAGTCTGGTTACGGCAGCAGGTCCACTGCGGCCTAGCCTTAAACAGAGGCCTATGAATGGGAAGCAGACTAAATGCGTAGACACCAAGAAACGCGAATCTGCCAGGTGTTTTTTTGGATGCATGTTGCATGTGTACTTTGTTCGTGTACGTGTATCGTCAACGTTTGCTTACGCTTGACTGTGTGATTGATTTTGTCTGAAAGAACACCTAAGCTCAGAATGTATGCTTGCATAGGATGGTTGAAGGAATTAAAAAGATTTTTGTAAGAACAACTTTTGTAAGAACACTAAGAACATAAGTAGAAATAAAGAAATCTTTTCTCAGCCATTTAAATGCTTGTTGTACTTGTGGTTTTTTTTTTTTAGTCTGAGGAATAAGGACCCAAATATAGAATAATAATAATGCACAGCATGGTTGATTAATTTTATTAAATGACAGTTGACCTAAACTTTCATGTCTGTATCTCAGCTGTGTGGCATTTCCTTGGAAAATACTTCCTGCTGTTGCCGATTTAAAAAAACAAATTAATTTCAAATAATTAAAAAAGCTTACAAAGATGAACCCTAGTTTGTATCACAAGTGATTAACAGTACACGTAATTTTAGGCTTCAAGCACAATAATGTACCCGGTGCCGTATTCGAAAATACAAGTACTCGTAATCGTACTCGGAAGTGGAAGTACTCGTACTCATACTTAATCGCTCAAGTACTCGTACTCGAAGACCTGTTCTTGTACTCGGAAGCACAAGTACTCGTACTCGTACTTAGCAACCTAGGTACTCGGCAGTACTCGGTACTCAGAAAAAAGTACTCGACTACAACACTGGTTTAGACTTCAAACCCTTACCCTCTAAAAACTAATGTTGCTCAAGAGATCAACACTGCTCCAAGATCCTTTCTGAAACCTAATAGTTACTGATTTCTCAATACATTTTGTGCTGTTGTAATAAAGATACTGGAACAAGTGATATAGTCGGTAATGTCTGTACGGGCCAATGTGGCTTGTCAGGCCAGAGTTTATCGCTGGTTTCAGTTAGCGTGAAACAACTGAGAATATTTTTGTTCCCCCCCCCCCCAAATGAAATGCTAAGTCCATCGCAGGTTACTTCCCAGTTAATGCCGGTAGCCATTTTTACTCCTGGCTGGAGAAAGGCAAGTACAAGTGGCTTGCCCAAGGACACAACATATGACCAACAGCTGAATTTATACCCCTGACCCTCTGATCACGAGTGATGAACCCTAACCACAAGGCCACACTCCTCACATGTAACATATGTATTTTGCATGTCTTTTTTTTCTTTTTTGGGGGTAGTTCACCGACAATGGCGTGATCATTCTGTCGAACAGGCCACGGGTACAATACACCAACTCCAAACAGGCCTTTCCCAGTGCTCAAAGCAACGTTTTCACTGGCAATGAGAGAATGATAGCCGCCTTCTGGGCAGATGTCAACGCTGATGCATTTGACTCAACAAGCAACGTGTTCTGGCAGGTGAGCTAGTTGGAGGGTTAACATAACTCCTTTCTGACAGACGATGAGTGAGAAAGTAGTACAATTTTTGTCACAATTTTGGAAGACATACAGTACTCAAAATATATGTATCGTTAATGTCAAATCTGGTTTTTCATTAGATACATTATGGCAATTTTTTTATTTTCCCATAGTTGGAGTCAAGTCCATCACAGATTTATCACAAGTGACATATAACAAGTAAAGGCCACAAGTATCTAGCTGAAAAGTGACAAACACAATTTATTCGAATGTCTCCCATGACTTGATTGGATGACTGGAGATTACGTGTAGTGACTTGTCTAGGATTTACCATCCTACAGAGCAGGTCTGCCAAGGAGTATGTATAGGCAATAATCAGCTGTTAAAGTAAACCATTTTGTTGGAAAGTCAATGTGCTTGGAAAAAGCTATGAAGTCATAGATCTCCAGGAAACTGGCTCAACTAGTGCGGACCATATGTCATCGTGTGCTTACCCATTGTTACTCTTCTATTGCATCGCCTGAAAAATAGAGGCAAAGAATGGTCATCACTATCAGGGGCTTGATGACGAAGCTTACATGGGTAGTGTTGCCAAACTCTTCATTCACCACTATAAATGAATTGTAGCCATACCCTTATTGTTCACTGTGCCATACAATTTGATAAATAAGAACGTGCTCCAGAAATATTGCTAGTACCTTCAACACTGAAATGCTGAATGAGTTCGAACTTGTGTTTTTCTTCATAAGGCCAAAAAAAAAAGTCTCCGGTTTCTGGTATGCGCGCGCGTCGCCGTAGCCATGTGCGTCGGCAAAATGAAAAAGTTTTTTTTTTTCAATGAAAGATGATGTCTCAAAACCGCCAAACTCACTGGTTTGACTGGAATCCTGCTGCTGCACAATTTTAACGTGTTTTTAGATGGGGTTATGATCTAGAATAAGCTTTATGTGGCCTCTCTGGACTCCCATATATTTGGACTAAGTTTAGTCGGGCACCATTTGCAGTCATCAGCCGACATTTGAAGCAAAAAAAACAGGTAAAAAAAAGAAAGCCACGTCGCCGCACCACTTTTGGGGCAAGCTCCATTCCAGAAACCGGAGACTTTTTTTTTTGGCCTAATAGGACAATTGGCATAATTGCCCATGTCATCTTGTTCTGTTACCAGCTTCTGCTGTAGCCTAAACTAAAATGAATATGTTTGCAATCTGTTATTCCAGATTTATGATGACCCGTCCACGGATAGTGCCATGCTGGCTACATTGAGTTCTATCGTGTCAGCACAATTCTCAGCCAATTGGGCTCTTGTAATCACGTGGAGTAATGTTCAGTCAGCCTCACAAATTTCTGTGAGTAGGCCTATACTTTTGTTTATCAAAGTGAACTGGTGTATAAAAGCGTATTGAGGCATTTTTAAAGCAATCGATTACGAACGTAAAGAAGGAGAGAATTGTTTTGAAACCAGATCAATCTCAAGATGTTTCAAACCAAATGTTTTAAATCAAAACAACTGCAAGTCTTAATTGTATACAAGGTGAGTCAAAAAGACAGTGACCTACTGTGAGAAAATAGTTGTAAAATATGTGGCTCGTTCAGTTTAATAAAAAATTAACGTGGCTAAAGTGCACATTAGGTCATTAGGGCTAAAGTGCATAGTACATGTATGTTAACAAGTTATGCCTATTTTAATACAAACATCATAAAATTCAACTGTCAACCAAATATACAATGAATTAAACAAGGGTGTTTACACGCCTTCAATCAGGAATGAAAAGCTGCACAGGAAAACAAGACAAAAATCACCAGCATTATTCCAAAAAACATTCCTCATATTCAAAACACAACGTCTGTTTGTGAAAATGGTTTTTTTCAGTCTTGACATTATAGTGATAAAAATCTCATTTGTATCTGAATCTCTGGTTCTCACTCAGTGCAATAGCTTCAATGGCATTCCAAAGACAGCTGTAATAGTAGATTGGGGGGGGGGGGAATATGCATAACTTCTCATAATATGGCTCAATTTCAGTAATTTCTGTTTTCCAATGCGTGGAAGAACATGCACATTTAATATATGCTTCGTTGGTGTGTCAATTTCTATTGCTTTTTACGGGCAAATTCATAAACCAGCATCCAATTTCACAAACCACTGCGATGCATTGCAACCCGAGTTACGAAGTGTAACATGTCGTAACTCACAATGCGTCGTAGGATTTCACGAAACTTGCGATGTGGTGAACACATCGTAAGTTCCTTGACAACAGCTTGAAACACGACGCAAGTTTCAATGTGTGTGGTCATTGCAAAATAAGAAGCGTCTTTTTCTTAGCCAGTTTTATGCCATAAAACGCACTCTAATACCGAGATAATGTGTGTAAAATTGTAAATAGAAATTGTATTGAATAATTATGAATTAGGCTGGAATATTGCAGCTGAAATTTCAAAGTAGCTGTACATCCACTGAGAGCTAGTCTTCCTTTAAAATTGTATTACACATCCAGCAGTTTGTTTTACGTTTTAAAAGTTTTCAAGAGGAGATCCATTGACTCTTTGTTGATATCAGACTATTTACTGTAGGCTGAATAAACACATAAAACAGTCACTGAGTTGTGCCATAAATACACCTATGATGCATCGCACGTAAGACATTTTTTGTTAAATGAATCGCAGGACGCGTCGCAGCTGCAACGCATCATAGGGATATGACCCGTCGCAGCGCTGCGATGCATCATAAGTTACGATTATTTTCATGAAATTAGGTGCAAGTCTTTTTCTTTTTGACTCGCCCTGTATAGGTCAGACAGTATGCTCTAAATCAGATTCTTGTTTGCTTGGTTTTTTTTATTACTACCTAAGATTTTGTACTAAATTTGTCAGTGTATTCAGTCACAATATGGTGATATGTAACATGCCGATGTGACATGTAGTCGTAGGCTATGAGCAAAAGTTGAAGCATGTGTGTGCAGAGTATTTCCCAAAAAAATGCTTGCCTCTAATTTGATGCCAGTGAAGATTTTGTGATCACTAGAGGATATCTTTTGATGAAAGCAAAAGCAGCTGGGAATTCTTGTTCACCTTTCGTTTTTGCCCATTTTTTTAGGGGACTAACACCTTTCAAGCTGTAATATTGACTGATGGAACACATGGTTATGTCATCTTTAACTACGATTCCTGCGGCATGAACTGGGACCCGACCTTGTTAGTCAATAGAAATGTCATCCAGGGTTTCACCTGTGGACGGATTGACCAGCAGGTCTACGTAGACTTACCACCAGGTACCTCACTGTTCCGTCCAGGTAGTGTCGTGGGCAACTCGGGAATACAAGGACGTTGGATCTACCAATTGGACACACTACCAGCTGACTTTGTGAATCCTCGTTTATTCTGCTGGAATTGGTACAACCGTCAGGGAAGTTTTTTGCTTTCGGATCCATACGCTTCTGCTGTCACTAACACTTGCCCGAGTAACTTGCTAATGGCTTGGATTGACTGGAGATGGCAATATTTCAGTGACGATTACATTCTACCTAGACGATTTCCAAGAAGAACTTGTGAGTGACGTGTTAAGATTTGTGTTCAGATTCCAGTGCAACTTGAATTCCAAAAGGAATCCCTATTGTCAAGTGCAACTGATACTCCTGTTGGGTTCAGTAGTCTTATATGCATGTATCTTGTTGGATAATGTACATGTATAGTTTTTAAGTGAATGGCTTTGATGATACATGTACAGAGACGTTAAAGGAAATGTTGGCATTAATATATTGCAAGGAAGCCATCAACTATCTTGTGTTTGCCACTTGTGAGATTTTTTTTACAAATACATGTACTCTATTGCTAATTTAATTTGTTCAGCATACAAAGAGGGCATAAAAATGAAATTTAACTTTTCCAAGAATACTACACCACATACGTTTTGTCTGACAGGTAGAGCATTTGTGACCGGTTCCATAAAAAAGGTATTAAGTCGCCCTGAGCATTATTGCATAATGGCCCTCTCAACATTGAGAGGGTGAAAATTTTGTCAAAATGTGATTTTCATTTTTTATTATGAATGACATCTTTAATACTACAGTTTTAGGTTTCGTTGGCAAAAAAAATGATTTTGATGAACAAAGTTGAAAAAACAACCATTTTGGTGAATGAAAAGGTAAGCTTGGAAAAGGTTAACAGAAAAAAAAGAAACAAAGAAAAAAGATTATACAGTGGAACGCTGCTATAATGAACACTGCGGGATCCACACAAATTGCTCGTAATAGCGATCATTCGGAATGGCGATTTTAAGGTGGCATTGCTCCGGTACTCACTTTTCAATAAATAGTGCCCTTCAGAACTTCACCCTGCATGCATCACCCGGTACATGTACATGTAGTTACTGAAAGACGACTCTGAACTCATGCCGACTATTGAATTATGTAATTACACAATTTTTTAGCTTACTACCTACGGCGATAGGTGGCTTTTTCAACAACAATGTTCAGTACATTGTGTACACAAAAATCGGGAGCCAAAGACGATGTTCGGTATAGCCGAATGTTCAGTGTAGCGGTGTTCAGTATAGCGACGTTCCACTGTAATATTAAAAAAGCAAAACTACCCTTACCCCAAACTCATTACATTCCTAATAAGTGACAATTAAGACCATGGACAAAATGAAAAGCAACATTATTTTTATATCGGCCATAAATCAATCTCAATTTTTCCAAATGGAAGGGTTTTTTGCCCATGGTTGAAAAGCTTATGAAATAAACTTGTCAAAGATGTATCAAGATTTGTGATGTATGTTTTTGAAAGCTATGAAAAAGAGGGTGGTTTGAGGGGTATTTTTTTTTTGGGGGGGGAACACCCTTTACATATAATTGAACAATGTAATTTTGTTTTATAGAAATAAAATCAAGTTAAAATGTGTACACTGAAACGCCTAAACCTCCAAGTGCACATATAAGAACAGTTTTGGCTTACCTGAATTTTGTTTGTCTATATCCTTTCCTTCTCAGTAACTAAATATATATACTTTGTTCTTCGTTTATGTAGTTGATTGCTTTGTGTACTGGTTCCAACCTCCATGGAGTCCAGGCCCAATTTGCTGCTACCGTACACGTAGATGTGATTTTGCTTGGGGGATCAGGAGTGCACGTGTTGCCTCAGTAATGGAGAGGTACCCTCCCATCACCTTGCCTTGGTTTTATACACCAGGACGTTCTCAGCTTCGGTATGGTAGGTGTAGGTATATATCATGAATGTACGTGGATGTGGACATAAATGTCAATGTGAATGTCTTGCAGTCAGTTGCTCTATGCTATCAGAACACAAATATATTCTTTGCTAATTAATGGGTCGCAGCATATTTTTGAACTCATATTTTACTGGACACAAATATTTTCACCTGTCGTATAAGTTTGACCGACTTCCACTTTTTGGTAGACTTCTGACTTGGTATTTGTGCCCTTAATTACTTACAGAGGAAGAAGTACTGCCTCGTTATTATTGCTGTGAGCAATCCACATTGTGTTACCTGTACAGACAGTGGAGACCAACCCAACACTGGTTAAGGTATCAACCACCATGGTGGGGTAAGTGCAATTGCATTGTCAGGTTGGAGGGCTCATGAGTGTAACCAATTTGCATTCGGTTCTTGTTCTCGGTTGTTTTATATGGTCACTGATTTTCATGAAGAGTGTATAGCAAGTGCAAAGTGCAATAGATCATTACCATACCGATGATGAACTTTAGTTGTCTTGCATTTTCTTTTTGCGTTTGTCTAATATCGGTATTCGTTGCATTAATTCAGTATGGTTTTGGGGCGACCCTCACATGAGAACGCTTGATGGTTTGGAGTACACCTTCAATGGTCAGGGTGAATACACTATGGCTCTCATTGAAGACGGTACAGGGCAGAGACTGTTTGAACTACAAGGCAGGACACAGCGAGCATTCAACTCTAAAACCCAGCAGCTATCCCAGGCAACATTCTTTGCAGGCTTTGCTGCTGAGTACATTGGTGATGCAAGGGTTTGTTATCACTTTCCCAACATTTTAATAATTGAGAAAAAAATGTTGGTTTATGAGATTTTCTTGACCTTAATTATGTTTTTCTTCAATGGTAGAGCCAGGTGGATATGGTTGAACCAGAATGCAGGCAGACAATAGATAATGAGGCTGTAGCCCCTGTGTACCTGTTGTTTGCCCTCAAATTAATCCACCCCTCATAATGCCGCTGATATATTAATATTGTTATGTTAGGAAACAAACACAAATCAAATCAAAAGCAAATATGAGGATTTCTGAGGTGATAAATAATACAAACTTTTTAAGAGTGAATACTCTAAAATTCAATTATAATTTACCCTTTTCCCTGCATTGGTTTCAGATTGAGATAAAAGTGAACAGTGAAGGTACAGATTTAGAAACAAAAGTCAATGGTGAAGCCGTCACTCCTACATCGCAAGGTGAGGCTAGTTCCCTGTATGTCATTTTATTTAACAAAATAGATAAACTTCACTGCAGCTTAATCTGAGTTGCACTTCTGCTACCATAAAAGCTATTACATAGCTGACAAGTCCATTTTAAAACCTACAGTTTTGTAGAAATCTGAGGAAGATTTCATTCAAGATGACTTTTCCTTCATTGATAATTGGGGTAGGGGTAATGGTGGGATAATAATGGTAGATTGTGGTCTTGATTTCACCAGATTATCAACATTCACTCTCATCTTTAAAAATGTATTGACTTGGACCAGTCCATAACTTAGTAGAAGTCAGTTGATCTCTTTCGTAACTTTTTTGAAGGTTTGCAGTTTGGGAATTTCACTGTGCAGAGAGAGGAAGATCCGATCAAAGTTATTGCAATGTATCCAGAGGATATCCGAATATCCGTCGGGATCAGCAACGGCTTTGCTGATGTTTCACTGCAACTAGGCCAAGACTACATGAACAAAACAGTGGGATTGCTGGGTAAGGCATACAATCAACGACAAGCTCAGATTGGTTATGGCCCTTAATCATTTGCATGAGGCCACTCTATATGTGCATGCTTTGTTTTGTGCTCTGCTTTTGAAAAGAAATAACTGCTGAATTAAATTTATTCATTTTTGTAGGCAAAATCATCAACATGGCAGAACAAAGACTCATGTCAGGAAAGATGGCAAAGAAATTTGAATGTTTATTAAGAAAAGTCCTTGTAAAGTTAAACCATCTATTGTGAATTAGAAACTTTAGTGCATTTGTTTTCACATTTTATAGGTGTATGGGATGGTAACCAAGGTAACGATATTCAGAAGCGGAATGGCATCTTTCAACAAGCTTCAGGCCTAGATGGAAACTTTGTGGAACAAGACTTCTTTAATTTTGGTGAAACATGTAAGTTACATTTTTAGGAATAACTATATTGTTTAGCTATCTTCTAAAAACAAGGACAACCGAAAGGAAGTACAACACAACTGTTGCCGAGTTGAGATCCAACCAATTCGGCCTGAAAAGATGTTAAAATGACAAATGGCAAATGGGCTATTTCTGTAAATGAAGGAATTATGATAAATTTGAGCAATCGGCTTTTGAAGTTGCCAACATTAAACAATTCATAAATACCCAGACAGTATACTCATTCCTATTGGTCAAGAGCCGTCACATGGGTGGTTTAAAATGGTTGAAAAAATACTCACTGGTTTAGAACACTGTTTTTCTGGTGTCACATGACATTTCAACTGCTATGAAATTGGGATGCCCATTGGTTGAACCCTCACACGCGACCAGTCGTCACTCTCCTAATTATCTTAGGACTTGGGCGTGCACAATAATACCAAAGAGTCCGTATTTCATAGAGTCCTAAATTCACGCTACACTGGCACCACTGCGTTCTGTGGCACATTGCGCAGTACACGCCATGCGCGTGCCAATCTCCTATAAGAACATAATTAAACAAGTGCATTTAAACAAGTGCATTTATAATCGGCTAGGGGCCTGGATGTGAATAATAACCCTCGCTTTCGGCTCGGGCTGTTATCCACGTCCAGGCTGTTAGTTTAAAATCGATCAAGCACATATTCATTCCCTTCTTGATAGCCTTCAGCCAAAATTATGTCCACTGAGGATTGTTTTCACATGTGCTTTCGTATATGAATATCCCAGTGTCCCACAAGAAAACAAATGTGTGTAAACTAAGCAAGAATTTGTTTTGTGTCAATGCTAATCAAGTGACTGATTACTTTTACAAGCACTCCCTCAAATCCTTCAATACTCATAATGACATTGTCCAGTGGGTTTTAGATACGGATTAGTTGTGTGTTGTCTATAGGGTTATTTGTAACAGGTCGCCTTAAATTGATAATACTCACATCTATTGAAACTCTCTTCAAAATGTCCACGTATCAGTGGTGACAAGTGCTGTGCAACTGGCCAGCAAAGTTTGACATTTACAATTTGGAATTCTGTTTTCCTTGTTCCATTATCATCATTTGTCAAAATGTATCCTGTCTTACCATAGACTGGTCTATGGAATATTCCCTTGCACAGTAAGGGTCTATGATATGCGAACAGATTTGGTGCTTAATTATGCAAAACAAAACTGGGTCATGACCTCCAGATTCCGACCATTCAGCAGGCACATTCAGGCACCAGTTGTATTACAAAAATAGAACTTGGCATCCAAATGGACCAATCAACAGCTTAGTCCACATTGATTAAAATGATGTCACAATGTAGTGCAGGTCGAAGGAAATTTGCATTGCTCACATATATCAGATGTTGGTTACCGAGAAGACTCCATTGGACAATGGGTGATACTCAGACTATAACTATAGACAGGTCCGATCCAGAATTTGAAGTTAATGCAATTAATTTGTGTTACTGATTTCATGTGAAATCTGACTGGACCATCACATTTTGACTTCATATGCAGGGCGAATCACTGAAAGTGATTCTCTGTTCTACTATGTACCTCCGGATGAGAACTGGTCAGATATGAACGATCTGAATTTCACACCAAAGTTCCTGGAAGATCTCATAAATGAAGCTGATGCGGCATCACTCCAAGCTGCTCAAGATGCCTGTGGAGAAAACAAAGTGTGTTTGTATGATGCCTTGGCAACGGGTAGTACAGATATTGGTCTGGCATCCATGAAACTGAACGAGGAGAACACTGCAAACCTTGTTGCAGCAAGTAAGCAATCTTTGGATTTCTTATACTATACTGATATAAAATTTGATGTATAAAAAGTGTTGAATGAAAACCTTGCTAATTAATGATTAGACACATAACCTGACCATGAAATGGGATGTTCGGTTTTTGCTCTAAAATCTTCTGTGCTGTAGAACTGGCAGATATGCTTCATTCAAAGTTATGCTTTCAAACTACAGACCTGAATTACTCTCAGTTTGGTTTGATGTTAAGGGACACATATATATTTTCTCCAATTAACTCATGTGCCACCAAATCAATTTCCCTATATTAGCAATCATGAATTCTATTATTTTTTCTAGCCAATTTTGCACCTATCTTCACACTTGTTGAGACAATCGAGGTTGTTGTTGGACAGCCCTTTACACTGCAGTTGGAGGTTATTGATCCTGATGGGGATGGTATTTCATTTGAGTTACTGGAGATAATACCGGGTGCATCCGTGACGTCACCAGGTTAGTACAGTCTAATTCAAGCTGCCTCACATCATTTCAAAATAAACTATAATCTATGAAGATGTGTTACATATTGCACACAATCAAAAGGTGGATAAAACTAAGCCCATATATGAGGAGCCTAATGCAAAAAAAACAATGACCACTTGGGTTATGGCCTCTCTTAATGATATATAGAACTCGAGAATAAAAGACTTCATGACCACATTTACTTTTGGAGTATAGGTTTTCCTGCTCAAGTACCTGAGAAGTACAATCAAATTCATATTTGAACAAACATATTCAAGCGATTTCGACCATACCTCTAATTCTTTGGTTGCTATTCATTTTCATGACGGTCAATTTCATTTATAGAAATTCGGATTTGCTTACCAACACATCCAAAGAAGAAATTAAATCATTCAGTTATAAAACGTCCAATCATTCAGTTTGGTGCACCTTAATTTAATGAGGGTTTGACCTTTGATTCCTGTTTACGGGCAATCAGTTTAGCACTTGTACATTCACATGTTCTTGGTTCAAGGTTTGGGCAAATTTGATTGATCTTTTTATGATTATTTCAATTTGAATGATTGTACTTTTATACTTGATTGCTCGAAAAAATTATTTGAACGTTCCTTTTTAGTTCATTGACCAATGCTCTTAAACTGCATGCAAATTAGTGCTAAAATGAATAACTCCTAAGTTAATTTGGGAGATAATGTGTTTAAAGTGAGCCTGTACTACTTTCTTTGTAAATTACTTTTGAAATTGTCCATATATCTTCAACCCCTCCACACATCTTCACGATTAAGTGTGAATCAAACTTAGGAATTCTGTGAACAATTATTTTATAGATCAACATGAAGTTGAACACACTAAATGTGTTAGTATAGGAAATGTGTTGTATACTTGCTTTACATACAATATTGATAACAAAAACTATATGAACAAGCTGTCATGCATCTCACCTTGCATGACAAGTGCAAACGATGAGATCTGTGATGAACTAACGTTTCAGAATATATGTATATTTATTCATAGGTGGCCTGTTTACATGGACACCGGCTGATAGGTCAAAGGTCAGCCTGGGTTTCTTAGCAACAGACGGCAATTCCAATGCTACATTGGAGCCAGTAGTGAAACTGTGTGACTGTGTGAATGATGGAACCTGTATGTATGATCAGTATGTGGGTGATACCAATGTCATCGCAGAGGACCGCTTTGGGGTGAGTTTCTGTCTATGCTAGAAACCCTGCCAAATGCAGCAACATGCAACACTTGTCTAAGTGACAATTAGCCTGCCCAGTGTAGCAAGATCCATCAGGCAAAAAGTATCAAGGCCAAACTGCCTCAGAGTCTGTGGTCACCGAATGCAGCAGCTGGGATACAAGTAAGGCATTGTTCAATGGGACTAGCTTTCATTGTCTCAGAAGTGGCAGTTTGTGCACTGGTGTTGGTAGCTGAATGCATCAAAGTGCACCAGACTTTTCCACCTGGTGCACTGTGTTGCGTCTGGCAGAGTTAGGTTAAATATAACTTCAATGACAGTTTCGCGCTTGCCGAAAATAAGCTAAACAGTTCAGATATGCTAATTGGTTCTATAAATTAGGGTTAAATGCAGTTTGTTTGGCCTTCATGCAGCTAACTTCAGTGTGGTTTTGATGATCAGGTAGTGTTATGTAACTGCACACCTGGCTGGTCTGGTGACTTCTGTGAGGTGAACTATGATGCTTGTCAAGACAACCCCTGCTTCCTAGGAGTGGCGTGTTTTGATGATGATCCACCATCTCTAAATTTCACCTGTGGATCATGCCCGGAAGGAACACACGGAGATGGCAAGACATGCATGGGTATGCACTTTGCTATTAGAATTAGCGACGATGCATAAACGGTTGGACTTACTGAGGGATGTTCATTTGACTATGGAACAGTCTTCAACTTAAAGTCTTAGACTCGAAGAGCTATCACAAGGGAAATGCAGCAAATTAGTTTCAGATGTAGGAATTCATCTACTCCTTAAATCTACAGTCCATCATTTGCAGCTATCTGTGATTATTGTCGAAAAGCATACTTGTTTAAAGAAATGGTACTAAACTCCTTGTGAAATTCTTCTTTCTGGCAAGCTGTCATTTTGAAGAAATCAATGAAAGAAGGCCATTTCCAACGATGCGTCTTTGAAATTCCTGTTAGTAGTTGGTTTTTAATTCGGTGAAGCACGCAGTTGCTATAATTCGTCGGATCACAGTGCGCGACATCGCGTAGCTGCAATCGGCTGAATGAGAACGTGTCCCGGTCACTGAATTCGGACGCAATTCAAAACATGACTCAGCAACTTTTCATTTGAAAATCAAGATCCTAGAATATTGTTTTCTCAGAATGTACTGCATTCACTGACCTAAAACTTTATCAGGTTAGTTGTTCATAGCACCCTTCTTTATATTTTTAGCACTTTTGTTGCATCAAACGGATAATGCACAAATTACAAATGATGTACTCTACCTTAACTTGCGATTCTACCGCGATAGGTCATTTACAGAGACCGTTGTACAGGTTACTTATATTCATGTTTGTATTCCATTTGAAGATATTGATGAGTGTGTTGTGTACAGAGACGAACCAGCCAGCAATAACGGACGTGGTTGTGATCACATTTGTGTCAATACCCTCGGTAGCTTCAACTGCAGCTGCAACTCTGGCTTTTCCTTGTTTGTTGACGGCAAGCATTGTATTGGTATGCTGAACTGGATTATTGCTTTCTTAATTCAACTTGGTACTTATAGTACTTGAACAATATCTAACTGGTAAAAGCATGCATCTTTATGTAAAGTAGTGTTTTATTCTTAGTTTCTAACAATTTGTGGACACACATTATTAAGGATAGCTGCCTTTTGTCAAGCCTGTTGTGTCTTATCTACCATATTGCTTGGCTTTGGTTTCATTTCCTGTAGATATCCATGAATGTGACCTTCAGACTGACAACTGTGCAGACGATGCTACCTGTAACAACACCCACGGTGGCTTTGAATGCAGCTGCAATACAGGCTTTATGGATATCAATGGAGATGGCACATCTTGTCAAGGTTTGAAAAATGTTTTTAAAATGTATTAGCTATCCCTATTAATGCACGCGGGCATGCCAAGCATCTGTTAAGTTTTAATATCAGTTTTAAAATACAATTTTACATTGACAAGTCAAAATGTATGTAATCTAAAATGTATGTAATCTGTCATCCCCGGATGAGACCTGCGTAATTTGATATGCATGCAGTTTACATGTTTTAAAAAATTTAATTTAAAATTATTTTTATCCAATTGTATTTGGAGAGTGTTTCCCTCATTACTGCACTTCATTGATTTGGTTATATATGATTGTTTGCCTTCAGACATCAATGAATGCATTGGAGTGAATGGGTGCGATGACAATGCTGACTGTGCTAACATTATTGGTTCATATCAGTGTATCTGTCGTGAAGGTTACGAGGGCAGTGGCTTCTCATGTGCAGGTAACTTTTTGATGTATAACCCATTGAAATCCACTTAGAGTTTAAACTAAAGACGTCTGGAATAGATAATTGCTTGTAGTTGTACCTTGTCCATTCCTTTTTTTAGATCATGTTATTGTCACCTGCTGATTAAGGCAAATGTACTCAATATTTTCAGTCGATTTTCATCAGTTAAGAAAAAAATATAAAAATTCAATGCAACCTTCTTCTGCAGTTATTTACTATAAAATGATAGAGATGGAGAAAGCAGATGGAATGGAACCACTCAGTGAATGTGTACATTTGGGGCAGCACTGACTGAATGGGTTTTGAGTCTGGTGGACTTTCTTTGATCATGTGTAGTTTTGTATGATAGCCTCATGTGCAAAGCCTATGATAATTTGTGTTTGTTTACTGCCATAAAGGTTTCATGAGAATCTTTTTAGTGGACATCATTTTAATGTTTTGAACATGCAGGTGTCAAATACTTTTAAACATTAAAATACCCAGTAATTATTTCTAGTGAAGACAATATCTTTACTTGTCATAGATATCAACGAGTGTAGCAGAACCATTGATGAATGTGACACCAAAGCAACATGTGATAACACTGATGGTTCATATAACTGCAGCTGTAATAATGGCTGGTCTGGTGACGGCCGTACATGTACCAACGAGAATGAATGTGAGAGGTTGACACCAGTCTGCCATGTGAATGCCACCTGCACTGATACCATGGGCAGCTTCACCTGTCAGTGCAATGCTGGCTTTACAGGGGATGGCATGGATTGTCAAGGTGAGTAACGTTTGATTGGCATGGACTTGTTGATATGTGAAACACTTCAGCAATTTAGTGAATCCAAAGATCCTTGGCAAGATTTACAATGCGTGTCACAGGAGGGAAAGAAAATGCATGATTGTACCATAAGAGCATTGGTTGCTTAATGTTAATAAATTGAACATTAAATTGTCATTTGTGGCAGATATTGATGAATGTGCACTTGAAATTGACAACTGCCCTCAGGAATGTGGCAACAATGTCGGATCATTTGTGTGTGTGTGCAACGAAGCATTTACACAGACGCAAGATGGAAGTTGTCTTGGTAAGTCAGTGTCATGCTGTCCTGTTCATGCTATGTACAGAATGCTGACGGTACATCTCTTGCAAGTGGCACTCAAGTGTGTATTCAAGTCTACTGGTATGTTTAAGTAGATATGTAGCATTTTCATACTGTGGGAGAGCCTAGAGATTCTTGATATTGAACTCTAAAGCCCTTTTCACACTAGACAAATCTCGGGGTTGACGCAGGGTTGAAAACATGCATCTTTTCACACTTGAAGAATTTCAACCCTGTGTCAACCCTGCGTCAACCCCGAGATTGATTTCGCCTTGGGTTGAACTGAATAACTGAGCATGATAAGCGTGATTTGCATGAAACAAGTGTGAAACAATGCGGGGTTGAAAAATCAAAAACTCAACCTGGGGCGGCATTGGATTCGCCCAGGGTTGAGTTCAACCCGGGTTGAAAGGCGCTAGTGTGAAAAGGGCTTATTATTATGAAAATGTACGGACAAATTCAGCAAACAAAATAAGAAAGCATTATCGAGGTGGGACTAGGATGGGGCGCATGTCTTAGCGTTTTTAACCCTATTTATAAGACCTGTGACCGATCGAGCAAGCTAGCATCGGGTTCTAGTGACACCTGAATAAGCTTGTGAACTTTTTTTCTGGCATGTCCTCAAACTGCACCGAGTATCTGTTGTTTATGGAATACGCCAGCGAAGTGCAGTTTACATCTGCCAGTCCCTGACAAGTGCCTTAACGCAGCCACGGTGATACAGGTTGCTATCATGAACAGCGCTACCAGGACATTCTGAGCATACCTCAGGCAGGCGCATAAGCTTGTATACAGTGTGCTTGACAAATGCTCAGAATTTGCTGGGAAGCACTGCCAAAGTTCCCAAAACTGGATTTGTTTTGTTCTTGTTAAAAGCGACTTATACTGCAGCAGCGTCTTTAGCAGTTTTGGATCAAGACTGTAAAATACCACCTGCGTGCAACATCATTGGTTATTCTGATTAAACAGTAACTCTAGGCTTTTAAGACATATTCCGAAACAAATCACAACAGTAATCTAGTAGCCTAAGACATAAGAAAGGAGTGATAGCTTTTCCAAAGGGAAATGTAAATATGTCATGATAGTATCAACTTCTTTCAGAGATATAAACCAATATTGTCTTCTTTCCTTTCAAGCTAAAAACAATTGTTCTGTTACTGCTTCATGTGCCAATGGTGACTGCTATTTGAATGGATCTAACGTGGAGACGTGCCTGTGTTTCAGTGGTTACCAAACAGTAGGCGATCCCACGGTGTGTCAAGGTAAGACAACAAGGACACCACAGGCATTCTGGTTGTGTCATTGCAAGTACTCCTCCCATAATCACCACTTTCACTTTTTGTCTGCCAACATTAATCCGTACTGGGCCAATTCAAAATAACTGCTAGCACAGGCCAACCCTGAATAGTCATATTCCGCATGCTGCTGAGTCCAATATAAAAATGGTACACAGCTAGCTAGATTTAAACAATAAATAAAAAACAGTATCAAAACACTGTTTTTCTTTGAGATGACAGATGACCGAAAGTTTGTGAGGACTTCAATTTATTGTAGGCGACTGAAAAAAAATACTGTTAAAAGTTTTTAGTTTTGTTACACAAATCGTCAAATCTTGACATGATATGGGAAGCTTGTTCATTTTTACATGCCAATAAAAAATGCTATACAATGCTGAGAGATGGTATCATCATGTGTATTTTGTTTTTGACATTTGTGTTGAAAATAAACATAATTCATTGCAGATATTGACGAGTGTTTAATTAACACTCACAGCTGTGGAGCCAATTCAACTTGTAACAACACTGCAGGTGGATATGATTGTCTTTGTCAAGTTGGCTTCATGCTAGACAATGACCAGCGAAGCTGCTCAGGTATGGTCTCAGATGTGTTTGTTTCTGCATTCAATAGGGGACGTTGAACAATAGAGGACAATATAGGGTCCCCCAATTCCCGAAGGTCCCCATTTTTGGCGATCGTGTACAAATCATATGGGAGGTCTTCCTAAAAAGTTGAGGTACAAGCAAAAGAGGGACAGTAGGGGGTCCCCGATTGCAGGAAAATACACACTTGTGTGGGTGTGTTATTTGTACACTAATTTGAAAACCTTCTATAACAATTAATATTGTAGAAAATATGAATGTGTGGTTTTGAAATGAAGATTTTATGTGTGCTTATTATGTGCTTATAAAAGCAGTTCTATTTGTTTTATCATAACTTCACACTACCTACTTGGAATACAATTGGCATTTCTCCTTATATAGATATTGATGAATGCAACCTGCCTGTTGATGATCCGTTGTATGCTGGCTGTGATCCTAACGCATTGTGCACTAACATTGATGGTTCGTTTCAGTGCAGCTGTATCAGTGGATATGGAGGCAATGGTACTTATTGTGCAAGTAAGTGTAACTTTATTGTATTTTTATTATTTAGCCTTTTCTTGTAAAGTAAACATTTTCAATCAGTAACGATTTGTATTAAGCATCCCAACAGAATCTACAAAGTTTCTTATTCCAAGATAGTGAAACTGTTGTGGTTGATTTTATACCACATATCTCCAAAGCCTAAAGAAGAACAGTAATGATATCAGTGATAGTTATCATTTACAAACCAGTACTAAAAGCATATACATGCATAATCTGAACTCGTGCCGGTGAGTTGAGATTAGGAAGCATATGACTTCCACACACCCATACCTTGCAAATCTATTCCTCTATATTGCATTACATTTGAAACAACCATGGCTTGATTACCATTTAAGTCAGCTTCCTTTGTTTCATTGGAAGTGAGTATGAATGAAATATTCAGAGCAAATTAACACTTTGATATATTCCATCTTTTGTAGATGCTAATGAATGTGAAGGAGGGATTAGCGCCTGTGTGATGAACAGTACATGTGTAGATACTGATGGTAGCTACCGCTGCATTTGTGATGATGGTTTCCGTGGTGATGGCCGTGTATCATGTGATAATATTGACGAATGCCAGGAGAACTCTCATAACTGCCACTCCTTAGCAACATGCATGGATTCTACAGGCAGCTACCAATGTGTCTGTAACCAAGCATATCAAGGAAATGGCACATACTGTGAAGGTTGGTCCGTTTTCTATGTCAACAGTGCTCTAAAAATGTCAAGGCTCATTTTTGACATCTTCAATACACAACTGAAATAGCATTATCCTTCTGCCATGACAAATAGTGTCAAGTGGGTTTTTCCCCACAAGTGGGCACTTTCATCAATGTTTATCTCAGCTAATTTATCCAAATAAAATACCAATGGAAACATTTGGTCCTTCCCAATAGAAAAATGCATTTTAAGTGTGTAACATAGAACAAGGATGTAGGTAGACGAATTTGAAAAGCAAAGGAATATTGAGCAGGATTGTTTAAATATTTTCATAATCAGACAACAAAGGTTATTAACAAATTTCCCAGCTGTGTTGATTAGTTGATATATTAGGTAGTTAACTATTCTATTTGATTGCTTTGTATGTTCACCTTCAGATGTAAATGAATGCACAACCGATAGTCATGAATGTGCTTCAGACACTGCTGATTGCTTCAACAGCGATGGTAGTTATATGTGTATCTGCATGGATGGATATGTGTCTGCTCCAGGAATGTTACCTGGCCGACAATGTCAAGGTAAATCATTAGAGATTTCATGTTATAATCATTGACATTGTTGAGCATGAAAGTTCGTTTCCAGTCCCATTATTGAATCAAGTAAATGGCAAGGTGTCTTTTGGGGACTTGAGTTAACCTGCTCGTATCAGGAGCTTGCGACACCCTCACAGTGTCTTTATCAACTGGCGTTGTTGATAGTTGAAAGGTTTAGGGAAAGGTTTGAACTTTGCAGTAACACCACGTGAGCTCCCAATAGAAGAGTTGATAGTCAGTACGGCATAGGTATGGATTACAAACTCGAGCACCGCACAGAGACTCAGAGCCACGGTTGTCACTTATGGTAAACTGAAGAAAGAAAGATCCCACATCCAAGTTTGAGTCCAAATTGATCGCTATTATGAGGAAGTGGCAGAAAGGTTTGAACCCTCTACCCTGTGGTTTTGTACCACAAAATCTATCCAACAACAGAGGAGGTACGCAAACTGAAAGGTTTGCCTAAGATTCACAAGAATGGCGCCCCCTCCGCCCAATTGTGCAAGGTCCTGGCAAACATCCTAACTCCATTAGTTGGAAACACGCCTCATCACATCGAGAACAGCGCTGACTTTGTGGACAAGACTGCAGACCTCAAAGTACCATCAGGTCGCAAGATTGTGTCATACGACGTGACTGCATTGTTCCCTGACAGCTGTTGAAGACACGGTCAGGGTGGTCAGACACAACCTCGACATGAATGACTCTCCCCATACCTGCACCCAAGTGATGGTTGAACAGATCGTTGAGATAGTGGTCCTCTGTCTGGAAACCACATACTCTGTGTATGATGGCCATTCTACCACCAAACACACGGGACTGCAATCACCACATTGAAAACACTCTCACTGCCAACGGGTACCAACTGTGAGCATTCAAGATCCCTAAAAAGAAACCATCACCTGGAGCTAAGATGACCACCATTGCCAAGCAACAACCTATGGCAATTCCTACCATACATCCGAAGTCTGTCTGAACAGCTGGAGTGTGTGGTCCGTGAACATAATATCACGCTAGCACACAATACCCTTCACTCTCGGTTGATCAGCCTGAAAGACAAGACTCCAGACCTCAAGAACATAGAATATTGTGTGATGAAACAGCTCAGACTCTGCTGGCCTGTTGCAGAGAACATGCCACATGTAGGTCAGCTCCCCTGACAGCAGTTGGTGAACATATGTTCACCCCAGGACACAATGTTAAGATCATCGTCAGGGAGGACAACCTCTTGAAACGCAAAATTTGTGAGGCAGTAGAAATCTGCAGGCACCGCTCCATATGAACAGAGATGGAGGGTAATGAGCTGGCCCAGGTGTACAACCGCGTCCTGTCATGTGACCAAGCATGGTCACGAGAGGGCCTCAACAATGCCAGTCGGTAAAAGCACTGTGACGGTGTCCTGATGCAATCTCTGTAATTTAAGCCCCAAAAAGGTACCTTTCCTATTACTTGATTGATAGTATAAGATTTTAGGCTTTGCAGTGGAGTCTCGGTATCGTTGGTGGAGTATCAGTATCGTTTCAGTTTGCGATAATACCATGACTGATAGTATTAATTGAAATTTTTGTGATCCTCTTTTTTTCTGTATAACTTTAATGTTAATTTTTTTTAATTTTCAGACATTAATGAGTGCGCTTTGAGTCTGGATTCATGCAATCCATCGGTCTCTGAATGTGCCAACATCAATGGTAGCTTCACATGCGAATGCCTGACTGGATACGAGAAGAACATGGATCAGTGTGTGGGTAAGGCAATCAATAATCAGTCATTAAATGCACTAACCACTGACATCAGAGCAGTTCACATTTGGCCAATTCTTCTTGGTACAAAAATTGAGATCTTTCCACAGAGGTTGTGTAATTCTTTCACAATAAATACTTTCTGTTTGACAGATGTTAATGAATGCGAGGAAACACCATGTGCATCAAGAGCCAACTCAGAATGCGTTAATCTACCAGGAACCCATGATTGTCCATGTGTCATTGGATACTACCTACAAAACTCAATGTGTCAAGGTATGGTCTAGCTAGCAAGTATTATTTTTAATTTGATATGACACCACTTTTGATTGATTCCATGGACATATTTTCAAACGGTGTTGTTAATAATGGGCATGAAGTGCAAGTGTTTGAGTATGGAGGCTTCAATGATACCTTGCTTATGGATACGTTGAGCAAGCTTGCTTATATAGTCTGTTTGACTTATATAGTCTGAATAGACTTGAGGCAAATTCATTGGCCCATGTAAAGCACTATCATGACCATTATGTGAAAAAAAACTGTGTGGGTAGGCAGTAATGATGTGCATCGGGTCGGGTTGACCAGGCCAAACTGACCCGCAACATTAGAGATATAAACCGAATCTGAACCGAAACCGATCTTAACTCCCTCAAACCGACCCGACCCAACCCGACAAAAAAAAACACGTAAAACCGACCCGAGCTGACCCAAACAAAACCAACTATCTGGCTTGAACAAAGTGATAACTTTTTGTTCCTGCCCTTACCCACGTAGCATGAATTCTTTTGCAAAATCGCCGTTTCTCTCTCTCATACTCAGTGGGTTGATGCCGCAGATTGCGGGCATATCGAGAGCTTGTCTCTTTTCGAGCCGTTTTTGGAAATTCATCTCGATTTCAACAATATATTTCTTGAAAATTGCTCATCCTTTTCACCTCATCAACCTTTGTATGCAACTTAGAACAAACCGGACCAGCACTAAACTGAATTGGGAAAAACCACTGGCAAAACTGACAGTTTGTTTCTTTTACAACATAGCAAGTAGCAATGAGTGAGTAATCCTAATGAAGATTCAAAGAAAGACATATAAAATCAAATGAATGAATGACTTTTAATCACGGATCTAAAAGTCTACTTGACAGAACTGGTACTTTACACTTATATTAGCATAAAATCAAACCATGCATGTACATGTACATTCTTGTTGAATTGCGAACATTCTGCAAAATTAAACTTGTGAGATTCTGGAACATATTGAATCGTAAAGAAAGTTATTTTGTTTTAGTAAATAAAGTAAGGCTGAAATTCTTGGACTGGTTATTGTTGGATAAGACACAAACAATAGCCTATAGCCTTCATCGTCTTCAAACGGTGGCAGGCAACTTGCTGAGCGAATGAAGAGCAGTTTGTCAATAGTGCTTGGCTTGAGGCGGGTACGTCGGATGTTGATAGTGAATCCCGCATCAGAGAAACATCTCTCTGAAGTGGCAGAGGATGCTGGTATTGAGAAGGCAATTCTGGCTACGTGGGAAAGCACTGGGTGAGATGTGGATTTCTGTTTCCAGTAGTCCAGTACTTCAGTTGGTGATCGAACATTGGCCTGCGATGGTTCGAAAAGGTAGCGATCCGGCTCATCTGTTTCATGGGCTGATACATCCTTTGGCCCAAAGAAATCCTCGTCGTCATCATCATCATTGCTGGGCGGTGATGTGTCAGCTCTTTCATCAGGTAGTGGAAACACTTTGGCCAGTAAATCACGTAGATAACATTTACCAGCTTGTTGTTGGTCTTCGCTCAATGCTGGACTGTTCTTGGCCCGAGGATCCAACAGCAAGGCTGCAAAGTGGATGTCCATCAAGCGCTTTTTCCATTTGTCTGAAATGGCCACTCGACCAATTGTCTTCATGCTCTGGATCAGGCTGGAGTCTCCATCATTGTGCTGCAGATGTTTTGCGAGTTGTGTGTATTGAAAGAATACAGGGTGGATTGTGGGAGACCTGTCTGCTTCTAGCTGGTCGGAGGCATCTCTGAATGGTTGCAGAAATTGGATAGCATCATCCAACTTGGCAGCACTCATACCACTTAGATGCTCGGCCTCATTTCTGTTGACCATTGACTCAGAGAGTTCGTTCCACACTTTGCGGACAGATCTCAGAATGGCGAGGGTTGAATTCCAACATGTTGGTTCACTTTGCATCAGTTTGGTTGTCAGTTTGGTTTGAAGTGATGCTCTCTTCACATGTGTTGTGATAGCCTTCGCAGCAGTGAAGAGTGACTTGTCATCTGGAGCATCATTAGAACTCATCATAGCCTGCACAACCAGATTAATACAGTGTGCCACGCAGCCTATGGCATTCAAACTTCGGAATGACGCAGCCATATTCGAGGCATTGTCTGATACAACAAAATGTTCACAGCCTTCCTTAAATTTTGATATTGCTGAGGTGTACATGTACCACTGGCGGACATTTACAGCTGTCTTCTTGTCAGAAAATTCCTCTGTTTTCCAGATGATTTTTCTCATAACGTATACACTTGATATGTAAATGCAGGCTAGAGAGATGTAGTTTACGCCGGTTTTCTTTTCCCTCCAGAGATCAGTAGTGTGAGCTATTCCATCAACACGATTTTAGTTCTTGGATTATTTCATCATGGAGCTGATTGTAAACATTCGCCAGATGAGTGCGTGATAGTGTAGTGCGATGGGCCAACTCACTCTTGACATCAAAACTGCACTTGATCGAAGCAATTTCCACCAAATAATGGCAGAACCCTAGTTGCCCTTACCTTCAAAAATACTCAGCGGTCGCATGCCAGTTGCACAACAAGAAATAGCGGCTTCACTCAGTCTTGTTGTCTCCGAAGAAGGAAGCAAGTTTTGCGTGGAGGCTGCCGATCTGGGTTTAAAGAAACCATGAAGTGTCCCATGTCCATGACCTGAGGATGCCGTGGAACATTTATGGGAAATCAACTTCGAGGTATCCATTTTCGAGTCATATCGATGCACAGCTTTGCATTCATAGTAAACGGCAAAGTATGTGAGAACATCATCTAATTCCACCACCCTGGGATGTCCAAATTTCTTCCAAATTGCAGCCTTTTTGCCGACTGGGTGAACTAATTCCATTTCTTCACGCATTAGGTGGCGATTTACGTCCGCTTTCGTGAATGTCTTGTGTGTTTAGTTTCAGAGGTTCCACCTTTTTCCTCTGTTTTTTCCGACGATCTCTTGTTGCCTTCCATAATTACAATATCTCTTGGGAACAAAGAGGGCCAGCAGCTATAGATGTCAAACTGAAGTATCAAGATTGATGAATTTTGTTTTAAATACAGGAATTCAAAACGCAGATCATAGGTAGCATGCATGTAAACCATCGAGAGTAACACTGCTTATTGAACAAACACGTGGTATCCCCAACATCGCGGTATCATGAAAACTGTTACAATGTATTTATTCCAGTGTCAGTCACGATTCGACTGGGGAAATAAATACCATGGGAGTTTGATAGTTCACACATTGGCCACACCACAATGGGCTGTCACAGTGACTGATAATATTGCATCACCTGAATGTCTCAACTGTTTCGGGGTTTTTTTTCGGTTTATTTCATTTTTTTTTTTTTTAAGATGGCTAAACCGACCTGACCTGACCTGAAAATGTAAATGCAAAACCGAAACCGACTGAAACGATGGACAAACTGACCCGACCCGACCCGAAGTCGGTTTCGGATCGCGTCGGTTTTGGTTTCGGGTCGGGTTTGCACAATATTAGTAGGCAGTGCATGGATAGGTTGATTTAGGCTCTTATGCCAGATATTCAAATATCTGAGATATCACTGCCTCGATTGTCAACCCCAATAAACAAAACGGATTTGAATCCATACACTGTACCTTATTCAACAAATGATTGTTATTTTTTTTTATCTGACAGAGGGTTTCTCGTACAATGCGTCTGCAGTCTTTGATATTATCAGCAACCTTGTCATTGGTGGGGCTGGCTTTGATCTTGATAGAGACTATGTAGTTTATCGATCTGAGTTGAAACAGTCGGTAAGTTTGTCACGGCAACCAGGAAATTGTACCGCTATTTGCTGAAATTGAACATTGAGCTTGCATTGCACTTCAGCGTATCTTAATGTAGCCTTACTGAACATAATTTATATGGTTGTAAGCCCTACAAGTTTCAATAACTTACCAGATAGATATGATTGTAACCACCGTTAGTATGTAAGTAATGAAAACAATATTGACTCTCTCTTTTTAGATTGAAACAGCATTCCAGGATTCCACACTGTCCAGTTCCTTTGGGGATGTGGTCATATCTGAGATATCACTCCTTACTGATTCTACAGCTTTGTTGAGATTTGTTATCAATCTTGAAAGTTCCCAACCAGAACAAACCATCATCCAGGCCTTTCTAAGCCAGTTGACAGGGGGCAGTGGGGGTCAGTTGGCCCCAAACCATAGGCTGGTCAGATCAACATTCATCATCGGAGATCCCAGTAAGTGCAAATGACCATTTTGCCTAAGTAAAGCAGTACATCAAATTGTACATGGCACAAATCGTTCTATTCTTTGATGATCGTGCTTTTGTTGCAGAATGTAAGGCCTTGCCGTGTACCAATGGAGGAACTTGTGCTGAAGACAACACAGTATCTGATGGATATACATGCAGTTGTCGTTTGGGCTACAGTGGACAAAACTGTGAAATTGGTAAGAATTCTAGAGACATGTGAATGTCAACAGGATTTATAAACAGACTTTATCACATAGGCCTAATGATGATAACTGTTGAAAGAAATGTAAAAGGGGGAATGTTGCATGAAAACATAAAATCAGACATCAAAAAGTGATTATGTTTCACATGAGCATGACTTTTCAGAATGGCCGAATTAAGTGTTCCATAGGCCCTAGGCACCAGTATTTCATCGGCCTACTTCACCCTAGGCACCAGTACCAAGTTCATGTGGATGCTAAGCTGTACAAAGCCTAGCCAGGACAAACTGGCTGCTCTAAACGGCTGTTGTCATATATGATGACACAACAACAACCGTTATCCCACCTGATGCAGAGACCGAGTTCTTTGACATCAAGGCTGGTGTTCTGCACAGGCATGCGGCCTCGGATCAGCTGATTTCCTTGTTTTTCACTTCTCACTTATGCCATTTAAACTTTAAAAACACTATATAAAGACTTGTAAAACTTGGAATTTCCTCTTGTTTTAGTTTAATACACCCAGTTGCATGCCTGGGGGGATACATTAGCTCCATACACAATCATCATAATACTGGACTATCAACTATTCATGGGAAAATCAATAGCAACAGCTGGTCTAGAGCAGAGAAGTAGATGCTACCCAATAGAGGAAATCACAGACCTTGCATTTGCAGACGACATTGCCTTGATTAGCAATGATGTAACTAGAGAATTACTAGAGAATGTATAGTATATACCAGCCATGTGGTTGCGAAGGGCGATTTCTAAAGGTTACGTTACACTTTATTTTGAATGAAACTACATGTACACAGACATTGTTACATTGGCGGGTGAAATCTTTGAAAATTAATTTCTCCAGTTTGGAATACTGTATCTTCATGCAACTTTCAGGACTTGTTTCCCCTATAATAATCCAAGTATGTGCTAAAAGTCGTTATGATATGTTCATTACTTTTTGTTGAAATTGGAAAAATAGGTACGTGCAATTTTGAAAATTGTTACACTGGCGTACGCAATATCTATCAATCTTTTCAAGCCTCACGAATATTAATGAGGTTCCTATCCATTATGGTGTGCAGTAAACAATTGGATTAAAGCCTCCTTCACGAGTTGTTAATTAACAAATATCCCCCTTTTTGCCGGCTTCCATTGGTCGATACCGAGACCCACACCATGTCACACCGAGTGATGCTCATGAATATGCTAATATGCCCGCCATCATTGTGTGCTGTTGCCGAAGGTCAGCTTTGACAGTAACCAGTATTGCGGTTTCGGCATCGATGACAGCGATTTTTTCACCGACATGAAGTTTAGAATTTCTTCTTCAGTTAGAATGTAACATTTCAATCATACCGAGCATATTTTCTGAGAAACACATCGTTCAAAATGCCATGTTTTTGGGGGTGCATGAATTTCACTGCTTCGTTATAGCATCTAAGTACGCAATTGGATTAGCAACCATATGGCTGATACTGCATCATCTGTGGGACTGGCTATAAATATGAAAAAAACCAAGGTTCTCTTAGCCTTGACCAAGGCTATCAGCTTGTTCCCATACGAGCTTGTTCCCGCCACACGGCGTGCGCTGCGACACACTATAGTTGTACTATACCGTTAGCCTCAACGACCCTTGCGTGTGCTTTGTGTGCATGTACGTACACCTCTCACACAATTCCGCAAACAGCCGTACAGCAAGTCGAGGCGGAGGATAGCCTTGACGCAACCGTGTATGCTCAATATGATAATTAGTATGCGCTATGGTAAATAGTCTTCTCTCATTGGATAACGGCTGACAAAAAAATGAATATTTATTAAATTGCATAATACGACCAAAGGTTTATAAACCAGACCACCTGTGGTAACAATAATTATTGTAAAACACCCCCTTAAAATCTTAAATAATAGTAGAATAGTATTTATAAAGTTACTCATATAGTTTGGGTCGAAAATGAAATGAAAAGGATGAAAAATTAGACCTTCAAAAAACGGCGAACGGTACAAAACTTACGCAGGCAAAAACGATGTCACCATGCACAGAGACCACGTCAGGGCCGTCCACTGCAGGCACCAGCCGGGCTTGCGCTATGTGGTGAGACACGCTGCGCTCTCGGTCAGCGGCAAAAAAAAAGCGCTCACACTATTGAGTATATCTACCGCTGACTTTTGGGGGGTATTTCTACTAAGCTGTCAAGGGGATATGGGAAAAAAATTATCTCTCCATCAGCTAACTTATTCCATAAGACTTGTATGAACGACTTATAAGTTATGTCGTATGTACGACTAATATATCGACAGGGTACGACATATTTATGTCGACAGAGTACGACTAATATATATCGACAGGGTATGACATAATATATGTCGACAGGGTATGACATATCAAACATATGACATAATGTCGACAGGTGCTGGTACGACATATATGTCATGCGTACGATCTTATATGTCAAGTCGACAGGGTATCGATATATGTCGCATACGACTTTGTCGTATAAGTGCGACTTAATATCTCGTATGTACAACATATGAATTTTAACTCGTACATTCGACTTGATTTGTATGTCGTACTTACGACATATCTTGTGAGTACGACTTGTATCTCGTACGTACGTACAACATATGTATTGTAACTCATATGCATGACTAAATGTATGTCATACGACATATATAGGTACAATTTATATGTTATACCTACGACTTATATGTTGTATGTATGCCGTAGGTATGACATACAATTCGTACGTACGCGTTAAAATACATGCCGTACGTATGAGGCATATGTAGCATATATTTCCATCCCAAAGTCAATAGCTCGTTTCTTGCAGTTAATTCATACGAGTGCGATATGACTCATAGATACGAGTTAACCTGCATCCGATTAAATGGGTACGATTTGACCTGGGTCCGACGATGTACCTGTTCCTTACATTCGCTGTCAGAATGTCACGGGTAGGTATGGGTAGCGGCGTGATAATGTACACTGTTGCACTGACAATAAACGTCGGCGGATATAGCTGTCTTGAACTGTCCAATTCGCAATACATTGCAAATAGTATCATCATTTTGAACAAGTGTTCATTCAAATAGCGGCATATATTTCATTTGTTTGGAATAAAACTGGAGAAATGGTTTAAAATGGGATTGAAATACCTGGACATTTATTTTTGAGTGAACATACGTGGTGTATACAGTAATTTGCAGGCTCATGAATATGTATATTGCGGGTCAAAGTTTACGGGCTTTGATTGGATATCGTGTAATATATGACGCATCATGCGTCAAGGCTATCTTCCACCTCGACTTACTGTACGGCTGTTTGCGGAATTGTGTGAGAGGTGTACGTACATGCACACAAAGCACACGCAAGGGTCGTTGAGGCTAACGGTATAGTACAACTATAGTGTGTCGCAGCGCGCGTCGTGTGGCGGGAACAAGCTCGTATGGGAACAAGTTGATAGCCTTGGTCAAGGCTAAGGTTCTCTCCATCAACACCCAAGAAGCACGCACAACAATAAAGACCATGGAAAACATACACAAAACTCATATGTGAAAATCCTGATGTGCAAATGGCAAACCTGCCAGTCCTATTGAATGACAAGTCCTTATTATGGAGGGTGCTTGCCAATGCCTCTGCCTCAGCCCTATAGCGGCATATATTTCATTTGTTTGGAATAAAACTGGAGAAATGTGCAAATTTTTCATAAGCCCTAGCTATAGGCACAGTTACTGTACGTGCCTATTGGATAATCTTGGCCTGCTTTTCAGCCGTGGTGCTTTTCAAACTTCCTATGTGTGTGTTTTTCCACAGGACCATGCGGCAATAATCCTTGTATGAATGGCGGAACATGTCGTCTTAATTCCACAACAATCACTGGCTATACGTGCACATGTGCCCAAGGGTACACTGGATCCCAGTGTCAAACTATGGGTAAAGTATTTCTTTCGGCTCTTTACTCTCAAGTTGCTAGGATATAAGGCCCCGTGGATTAATTCCGATTTGCGTGCGCCCCCGTGCGCACGCGTGCGCCTGCGAGCGCACGCGTGCTCATGCGTGCCACCCCGTGCTGCACGGGTCTGCCCGCAATTGCATAGGCCCCTGCGTGCCGTTGCGTGCCGTTGCGTGCCGTTGTGGGCAACTGCGTGCCATTGCGTGCTTATGCGGGCTATTGAGCACAGGCAAGGGTTGCTACACTAATCCCTAGATTAACGCTGACAAAAGAAATTGGGTAGCCGGCCAAGGCGGCACCAGACAAAGAGGTTGTGATAAATAATGAAAGGTTTGCGATGAAAGGGCTGGAGTTCCAATGACATAAAAGACGTTGGTGCATGGCAGTGCCACAATGCATGGTGTCTGGATTACTCTTTTATGATACGTGACATTACATGTACTACACTTTACGTACGTAAGGCTAGGCTATTTTCATAGCTTTTTTTGCGTCGTTTGATTGAGCTCCGGACATATTATATTTCTTTTTATTTTTCGTTGAGAGCTTCGGTTTTAATTGAAAGACACCGAACGTTCTTACTGTAAATATGAACGTCAGTTGAAAGACTGCTTTATTTATGTCATTATTCTTAATTTATATTAATCTGCATTTTTAAGAAAGTTCCACTCCATTATTCAAGTTAAACACCAATTATTGAAAGAGAAAGAATACACATCATCAAGTTCATTTTCATCATTCAACTTTATAGTCCTCCGATCAAAAGTCATGATAAGCACTGCTGTACATCAATCATAGGCCTGCACGTACGTATCGTCATGATATGTTGATAAAGTAATAGGCCTCATAATTGGGGCCGCGCCCATTGAGAGTCAAGTTGATTTTTTTGTTGCAATGGCGATCAGACCTGCAGTCCCGTAGGGTTTGTGCACAGGGTGACAAATGATTACCAGATATAGGAATCTTTCCGGCCATTTAGTTAATCCGGTGTTTATCACCTCCCGCCCCGATTTCCACGCAGCCCTGATTGTTTTTGGCACAATTGCAGAATACCCCGCCACTCAATCTACCAAAAGTATAGTTCCGATCCCGCCCAGCACAACGCAGCACACGGAATATGTGTCCACGCATTATCCCTGTTTATAAAAACCACCACCGCGTGTCAGACAACGTCTGGCAATGGCCGATCCCGCTCCACACAACACGGAACATGCGTGCACGCGTTATTACTGTTAAATACCGCCAGCCAGACTACATGTAAGTCTGACACCACTTCCATCAGCGTACAATACCATGCGGTTGTAGACCAGTCTGGCTGCGTCTCGCCGTTTACAAAATTCTCTCATTTCGCTTCTGCACCCCGACCTAAATTCTTTGCGGCAAGGTGCGGCAAGCTTTTAATAATTTCTTTTGATACCACTGTTTCAATAAAAGTCTGCACTTAGTTCTGGGTACGAGTGTACCAGTCCGTACCATTTTTATTTATAAAGTTATGATAAAGACAGTTCGATTTTTCAAGTAGATTTTAATTCTACACGGTGTTTTAAATGAAAGTACCGGCTCACGCGGTAATGTTTGGGGCATTTCCTGTCCTTTCCTGGGCACTTTTATCATTTCGTTAAATTTCCTGTCTTTTTGGAACGCGTGTAATTATTGGTACCACCAGAGTAGATGAGTCATGCTTGGCCCTGCCAAGTGTTTACAGCCAACTAATGAGCGGATTAAGGGACACAATGGCTAAAGTCCAAGACGATGTCTATTGTGCATTTCTGCGGTTTGTTTGTAATGTTGTACCGCCTGGCACTGAGCCCGTTTGCGTGCCACTGCGTGCAAGTCCGTGCCAATGCGTGCCGATGCGTGCCGATGCGGGCCAGTGGGTTCAAAATCTCCTTTGTTCGAGCTTGCCTGCATGCGCACGCGTGCGCACGCGTGCGCACGGGGGCGCACGCAAATCGGAATTAATCCACGGGGCCTAATACTAAACACTGTCCATTCAAATTAAATTCAAAATTAAAGTACATGAAACCGTGGAGACATATGTTTTTCTGATTGTGTTTTTGTTCATTGCCTTCCAGTGCCTTGTGATCTGGGCAATGACTGTACTAACGGAGCAACTTGTATCAATATGTTATCAAACACCAGAGGATACACCTGCATGTGCCCGGCTGGATTCTTAGGTGAAAACTGTGAAAATGGTAAGGAATCAGATCAGATATGTTGCTGTCATTCAGTGGTGTCGGTCTTGTCATAATTCCTGTGGGTGGTATACTAAGGGAATATGTGTGCTTGGGAAGTGTTAAACACTATGTTTGAGACAGGTTGGAGTCTGGATACTGATAATTACCCAAGCCGAAAGTCCCATTCATAAATACCTTTACAGTAAAAAAAAATCAACATTTTTCGGTCCAAAAGTCAAAAATTAAACGTTTCCAAAGGTTTAGTTCAACAATTTTACTTCATATTTTTCGAAACACCCCTCTAGCTATATGATGGAGTGTTCAAGCTCGCGAGTAAGACGTAAACAACTCCATTCAACTGTGGTGATTGCGTTGTGAAGTTAGGACTATGAAATACTGACTAATCACTGGTAGTATTGCGCATGCCTGTGTGAGGATTGTGAACGTTCAACCAATAAGACGATAAAAGGCACTGAATTTCATAGGAGTCCAAATTTCATGTGACACTAGAAAAGTGTTTAAGACCATGCAGCCAGCCATGTCTTTATCATCAGTTTAAGACTGGCCACGTGACGGGCTCTTGACCAATGGGAATGGGTAACTGTCTTAGGTATTCATGACTTATGAATAATAGTGCACTGTGTGGCACTTAAATGCTGTAGTACAATTATTTTAAACATTCGGGAAGTGTTCATGTTTCAAGTACCGGTATACAAACAATCATGTGCAAACAATTTTAGTAGTTGTATTCAAGTCCATCAAAGTCAGTCATATTATAGAATCATCAGTCACAAGGTGAAATCTACAGTCAGTAATATTATTGAGCATAAGGTTATAGGCCTGTGTCAACATGAGACGATTCATGAATAAACACTGACAAAGGAATACCTTTGCAAGTTCAATTGAACAGTTCATCACTTAAACTTCACTTAAGACTAAACGACAAATGATTGAGACCATTTTAACTTAACCACAACCCTAAAATATGCATGTTTCAAGAAGAAAAATTAATCGTTGATCACTTTTTTGTACGGCTCATCTGCTACACATTATTTACATACAAAGGATGTTATAATAACAATTTTCTCATGTCAACCGTTGATTGTAGTGCCGTGGGTATGTCGGCAATCATTTTTCAATTGATTTATCCTTATCTAGAATGTTCACTCAACTGCATGAATGGCGGCACGAGAGATACAAATACCTGTGAGTGTGTATGCATTCAACCATGGAGTGGAAGCACGTGCACAGGTAAGAAGCATTTCCAATGACATCAGTGGGCAGGTACATCCACAAAGCAACGAATGGACTATTTTCTAAAGAGAAGTACTTTCAATTTTGTAGTTTCATTGTGAAATTACAGTGCAGTACATCGTGAAGTACATATCAATCTCACCTCAAATTTGTTGACGTATGAAGCTTTTCGTCGGATTTCATTTGTCTAATCCTTGCTCTATGGTCTAATTCACTGATCAGCCAGAGTTTTGGTAAACAAGCTCCTGCTGGGCCCTATCGTCACTCACTATTGAGCTCAGCCTATCACACTGTCAATGGGGGTGCTACAGGGGAGGGGGAGCATTTGCCCCCCCCCCCCAGTTTTTCTCTTGCCCCCCCAGGTTTTCTCTTGCCCCCCCCCCCCCCCCCCCCCCCCAATTTGTCTACATAGAGATTATTTCTGTATATTTCCTTCGCTGTTCCTAATAGAACTATAGTTGACTGTGGAGATGGAAGTGTTGGTTCAGTTGGCCCATTAGTCACTGTGATATGATAGTGTTTGTTTTATTTACACCTACTATTGCATTACTTGTGCCTTAGCTATTGCGAATTAGATATTATTTTGACTGCCCCCGTCATACTTCTTTGCCCCCTCTGCCTGCCGCTTGCCTGCCCCCGCCCCCCCCCCCCCAAAAAAAATATGTGTATATATATAAAAATGTAAAGTCTGGCGCCATCACTGCACTTGACTCAAATGGAGACATAAAGAAACATCTTTGTTATATCATGTCTGGGATACTGTAATTCCATTTATCTGCCGAGGGTGCCATTTGTCCCCAAAGGTGTAAAAAAAAAAACATGGACCCCGTCACAGCAGGAAACAATTGTTTTGTTATACCACGGTACTAGATTACTAACGTCTGAAACGGTGTGGGTCTCTTCCCGTTACGGTACAGAATTGGCAAACTTTTTGCGCAGAATTTTCCTTATTTTTCTTCGTCCTGATACTGTCCTGTTCAAAAATCCAATTTCTGATCTTGTCTTTGGAACGAGAGAGAAACCTCTTCTCAAATAGGAGGCAACCTGTTGTCATCTGCCAACATTATTACTGTAAAATAACGGCGAAATTTGCACTGTTAAAAAAAGCAGACAAACAGTGACGAACGATGTAAACAACAATGGCCGTCATAGCAGAAATATTGCTTCACGTACTGTCCCCCATGGTACATCTCGTAAAAACATGCATCGATTTACATAGTACCAATGTAGCTACAACCTCATACCGGAGGACACACAGATATAATACAACACAGTGGACACGACATTTTCAGCAGCGGGAAAGAAAAGGGTAATGTACCCCTTGGGGACCATCACTCACGCGCGCAGCCTACATCACAGTACATGCTTGTTGGTGGAATGACACGTGATTGATGATGGACAAATAAAGTATCACAATCTATTACCGTTGTATAACAAACTGCCTTGCTCGTGAAGGGTGCGTGTTTAGGGCCCACTCATCTTGCAACAGAGAACTGCAACCACTCATGCATTTCTGGAAGGACGTCGTACAGTAATCAAAAGTTGACCTAGCTTGCAGTGATGTAAGTGATTTTTTTAGGTGAGTTAAGGTAACCTTTATCTGTTTGACTTAGTGGCACGATAAAACAAATCATTTGTTGACTGTTGTGATATGTGATTAGCGTTTGTAACCCCCGGGATGTTACAAACACCACTTCCCACATCACAGTAGTAAACAATTGTAGAATGAGATGCTGTACACAGACCTAGGATTCACCCCTTCCATTGACCATCTTCTCTGTTTGTTAGAATGTTCCTTGATGTGTCAGAATGCCGGAGTTCTAAACAGTGGGACATGCGAGTGTTCATGTCTTCAGAGCTGGCGCGGACTGGATTGCACAGGTAAGGACGAGTTATGCCATTGAGTTTAAATTTGTCAGAATAATGGAGCCAGCTCCTTCGCCCACATAACTTGTTGTTCCGTCTAAACGTCCCAGATGTTTTGTTTTTTTCTTCATTGTCCAATCTTTAGCGTTGTGTTTACTTGTTTGAAATTAATTAAAGTCTGAAGTCCTCCGCGATATGGAAAACGAACGGAATTTCACGGAAAAAAAGGACAACACGGAATTCTATATTATCTGCCAAAAAAGATACATTCAAACTTGAAAAGGATCCTAATAAACAGTTTTTGTAGTGTCAGTCTTCAATTCTTTCCTACCAAATGCACATCGTAGCGGTGCCAAACGCACGCATGTACATTATGTACATGTACAACGTGATAGGACATCAGCATCACTGGTAACATGGCAGTACTGCGGGGATTCGTATTTCTTTGGGAACCTGTTATGAGCTGAGTTCGTGTCAAAATGCAAATTGCTAGTCTTGGTTCCACGACACCTTTCACAGTGCGCGGTCTGTGCAGCTTGCGTACGCACGGTATCATGCGATTCACCATGCGGAATGACTGCAAAGAACGTCTTGAAACCAATGCTGTCACATCGCCCGCATTATATCACAACTGCTAAAGGGCCTACTCTGCTCTCACCGCATACACAGTGGTCTTGGATTGGTGTACAGGCAAGCCGTCCGTCATGAATTATAAATCACAGAATGCCGTTCCATTGTATGCCATGGATATAAGTGTATGTATTTATGCACAATTTTCTGTATGCCCCGCGGCCAGCAGGCTACCTCTTGCGTGCGTACATGCGGTGACATCTAGAGCTAAACTTCCGTGTTGTGTCAACTTGTGTGTGATCGTGGTGGGTTTTTTTTAAGAAACCCAAAGAAAACGGAATTTTTAATTTTAAGAAAATGAAATTTTGATTTTACAAAATGGGAAACTTTGGACTTTAAAATTAATGTAGCACTAAAAACGCAGCTATAAATGGTTGGAACAAGGTAATCTGAACACAGCCTCAACATCATTGCAGACAGTGGATAGTCTGAGGCCGGCCAGCGCGTGGTCGGCCACAATGACCTATGATGTGGGGGTCAACTTAATTTAAATATCTACTAAAGTGCGAATAGGCAGGGGGCAGATCAAGGTATTTTTGCCGGGGGGGGGGGGGGGGGGCCATGGCCCGTCAGATATTTTTTATGTCAGATTGTTGTGGACAGGTGGACACATAGGTAATGCAGCACATTGTTACTGATGCACTAATACCTTTATGCACGCAGCACGTAGTATGATGATACAGGGGAGAAGACTTATTTCTAACTGCGAGAACAGCTGCCATGGGCATTTCTTGAGGAACATTTGGGGTCAATTATGAGATTGTATATAGTTGATGTTCATGAGAACTAATGCTGACAATCGCTCCTGTCCCATTGTTGAACGTAGCACACTTTGTGTCGTCATACTGCGGAAAACGACCTCTCAGCTTCACAACTTGTTACTGGAAGGACAAGCAATCTTAAGCAACACATGCAGATTTGGGAACAGGTCTTGTGAGCAAGAGTTCAGCGCCACTATCAGTGAGTCAGGAATGCTTGTTGGTTGACTGTTCAGCCATCGCCCTTGCCAAATTTGAAGGTCAGTTGACAAGCTGCCAAAGCGTTGGACATCATGCTCATAAGTGGTGAGCTTTAATTGCAACAAGTTATTTTGTTGGCTTTGAGCGGCTTCTTTATGAGTACACTTGGGATGAGGACTGATGTACTGTTTGAAGGGAAGCGATCACCCACTTGTGTAAGCACATCATCTGTGAATGGAATCACTAACGCCGCTTGAAATATTCCTTGGGACTGTCCGCTGGATGGGTCACTTGGTGGATGGGTCGCTTGGTGAATGTTGGATCCCTTTGCTCTTGGCACGCGTTCATCCACGTCGAATACCTGAGTGATCACTTGTATTTCTATGTACCGTAGATCATATCTGGTGTCGATGTCTTGGCGGGTGTTTTCATGTTGGAAACTACTCTATCAATTGAATTGTAGGCCTTGTAGACATCTCAGTCTTTCTTCTGCAGTTTGGTTGTGAATTCTTGCAGTGGCTGGAGAGTGTATTTGAGTGTGACGAGACACACAACTGTTACGAAGTCCTTGAAGCTTGCCAAGATGCCTTGCTCCCGGGATTTGGTGACGGCGTCCCAAGACCAGTTTTCGCTGATCAAAGCGCAGATTTCCTCGTCGTCATCATTAAGGATGGAGAATGATGTCACAGGTGGTCACTGTTGCGGTTGAAAGGTTAAAGAAATTTTCATTTGCATCAAATCTCTCTACCAATCTTGTTTTACACAAGCCTTTTAACTTCTGTTGTTTGTGGTGCTTCTCTGACTCTTTTTCCTTGTTTTCTCTGCCAACTTAGAGTCAATAACTCTCTCAAAGAAAGCTTGCCATTTATGGTAGGTGTTTAAGAAGAGATACACTTCGTTGACAGCACTGATGCAATTTCGAATCTGAGGTAGCTTGGAGGCGCTTGCAATTACCAGGTTTAACTTGTGACTGTTGTATGGGGTGTATAGCGCATTAGGAACCTCTCTGCGAAACAGGCCTTGAAAACCATTCCAGTCTAACGACATTGTCGCTGTCGTGTCGTAAGCCTGGCCACATACTTTTGTCGTTTCGTGGCAAGGTAGCATCTCGTCATGACCGAGGGCTTTCCGAAAATCAGTAAATGGTTGTTTGATCAACACCCCAAACTGGCATCCCCTCCCACCCCGTCGACGAGCAAAAAGGAAGCATGGCAAACAGTAGCCCCAACATTTTGTGCCTTTGAGTACACCAGCCATCTGTATTGATCTAACCAGGACTGTTTGAACTTCAGGTTGCGTTCAACATCATCAAACTTCCCTGAGGAAGTAGAAACATTTCATCCTTCCTCTCTGAATTTTTCAAAATTTACTGGTTGATGATTCGCTCACCTTAACAGGCTTACTGACTGGTCCTTTATCTCTGGTGCATGTAGCAGATTGTTCACCCACTTCCACGGGCATGTCATTGTCTGTTTCGTCAGCTTTATTTTTTGCCTTCTTTACAAAGAAATTGAGAATGGAACTTTTAGTTTTCGTTTCAGTTCCTTATTGATACTGAGGCTGTTCTGTTGCATGCACTAGGTGCCTAATATCAACTGGACACCACATGCCGAAAGTTGGGAATCAGACCTGCCAACTAGTACAATTTTGCTGTCTTCCATGCGGGAATTTGTTGAAAAGACGACCCTACATTTTCCCCCTATAAAATACGGGTTTTGACCATTCTGAAACGCCTGAAAAAATCCTAGTTCAAAGCGGCTGCGAGAGTAGATTATATGCTAGATAAAATCGGCTGAATCAACGTACACACATATACATGCATGCAGCCAAGTAGACGATGTACTGCACGAACTGAAACTGATTTTACGATTCCCACTGTACGATGTACATGTACATATGTACCCGGTATCATAAATTAGAACCAGTCCAGCTCGGGAGTGTGCCGATACTTAAGCAGCGGCACCCCGCCGCAAAAATAGATGTCTGTATTCGTACACACACATACCAGCAGGAGTATGTACGGAGGATCTTACGTGCAGTCAACCGACTTTCTCTTTTTCAGTGCACGCACGAAAGGCACGATACAGAATACGCTTTGATAATAGTCACAACATGCGTGCATATGGTGTGCAATTGTCAAACGTTTTTTAACAGTAACTTTATTACTACGTTCTGAAACGAAAACAAAAATCTGAAAAATCCACAATGATGCGCAAAGAGCTATTAAAGTGGGTGGCCCAAACCTAACTGGAAAAATCAGCAAGCATATAATGCAAGAAAATTGATTTCTTTTTTGGGTAGGCCAAGTTCTTTTTGATGTGTCTTTGTAAAATCTGTTTGATTGCTGTGTATTTTTTAACATTCAATACTGATTTCTGTGTGGTTCGTGCATGTGAATATGATTGAAACTGGCACTTGGCGGCCACATGTGATAACACATGAATAAGTTAAGATTATACTAATGGAAGTCCTTATCCTATGAGCGTTTCACTTGCTAATTAATTTTTATTTATTTCAAACATTAGGGTTTAGTGTAGTCTTTAGTTTAAGTAGAACTACTTTTAATAGTTTTTAAAGCAGTTTGTTTATGAATAAGGAATATGATCAATATCCATATTCATGCATATTGTTTGATTGGGTTTACCACGCGCAGGCAAACCTCTGGTCATTTGTTTTTATAACTTTAATTAAGATGTATTAAAAATGGAGCATTGCAGCCACATTTACTTGTTCATATAGCTTGTCTATGCATATTTTTGAAAAATATTGTCTTTTATGAAAAATACAACTTTTGGAGAATTAAGAATACAGGTTGGCAGGTCTAGGAAGTCCTCTTTTAGCTCTGTAGTATCGACCACTTCACAAAATTTCACGATCAAAAGTGGCCATATTATTGCAGATTTTATAGAACGTACCTTTGTCGCAACAGTTGACAAGAATCCCACACGGACCAATTTAAAAATGCTACGAGCACAGATAGTATGGTCTGGGCACCGTGGGAGAAAAACACAACACACACACAAAAACGCTTTGAATATGCCGCAAACCTGCTCGCTATGGAAGCCACACCCCCTGCCCAAGTTTAAAGATGTGTATTGGTCAAAACATTAGGCTACAGGGCAAACTGAAACTGCCAAGGCGTATAGCAGCCAATAATTTCAGAATCACCGTCATGGGTGTCGGGAGAGGGTTGGGACAAGGGGGAGTGGCCCCCCCCCCCCTCCGGAAAAAAACAACAAAAAAACTAGTGCTGCAGGTGAACTGCCGAACCGAACTAAAAATAGCCAAACTTGGCCTTATGAACCAAACCGAACCCAACCCAAATGTCACTTCAGAAGAGTTCAGCAAGTATTTGTTGATCGCGCTAGGAATGCTAAAGCTTGTAATGAAAGGGATGATTGAATTAACCGTGTTGAAAAGTCTCGGCATTCATCTTCATTATTTGCGATGTTCTAGCCAGGCATACAAAAGGGTATATCGGAGCCGATACTCTTTGAAAAAATCGAACGCACCTGAGCACCTGCAATTCTCTCAATGAAAAGCTAGCGTGCCCTGTTTGGACCAAACCATTTGCGGTGAAGGCTGCGCTTTCCTCGGCACAATTTACCAGCATTTTTATTTTCAAAATTACAAATAATATTCTTTATGGAGTGAGAAACCTTTCCCTCGTTCAGAATCAGTTCTTAATCATCGCACTATATTTTTTTTCGTAAAGAATTTTTACGAAAAACGATGAAATCTCCCAAAAGAGGGTGGAGCATCCCTTTACAAAATTAATGGATTCGTCCACAGAATGAGAATTTGATGAAACTCGCAAAACGAAAAGTAATTTTTTTTTCGGTAGCTATTTGTCAGCTTGTTGCTAAAGATAATTATGATTTTTTAAGTTTAGTACAGTAAAAGGACCTGTTTGTTCTTAGAACAAAACTAATAAGCAATTATTGCCACGAAGCAAGTTTTTAGTGCTCAGGGCATGCTCGGACACAGACGGAATTCGTCGGGGAAACAAATCAGCATGCGTGGAAAATTTTGATCATAGTTCGCCGGGCCGGGCCGGGATAGCCCGAGGGCTGCGATAGGTACCGGTAACATGTAGCAATTTACGAAGTTCATTTCTCAACGTCATAAACTCAAATGATTACAGTATTTTGTTTACACAACAAAAATGAGATTCCTTCTTCAACTTGTGTTGTATAGCATGTGGTAATTGCGGTGCTTATTTCTGTCAGACGTGCGCAGTACACACGTGTTTGTTTGAACAGGGGAACAGCCTATATGCTTTTCATTGTAGATTTCAGGGGGGGGGGGAGTGCTTTGCCCACTCTAGAAAAAATTTATCACCGTGGGCATTGCCTACAGTGTGTAAATTATGAGGTCAGAATAAGTGGTCAAGTGACTTTCTGTTATCTGTAATCCATGATTATTTTCTCAAATTGAAATCTACAAAATGCACAACAGATATTAGATTGACACAAATGGTTTCCCAGGGCAGCCACTTGTTGACTGTCTGTTGAATTGCCTGAATAATAAGCATCTTCTTTATATGATATTCCAGAGTGTTCACTGACAGCTTCAAGCTGCATGAATGGAGGTTCATTTGACGGAGAGTATTGTGAGTGTGTCTGCCCTCTGACTCATTCCGGATCAACTTGTGAAAGTAAGAGTCATCACTAGTTCATTCCTTCTACCGTTTGCCCATATGAAACAAACCAAGCAATAATTAATGAATGGGCACGTGAGGTTTACTGCAAGACTATTACAATAACTATAGATCAGGCCTGTAACCTTGTTAGGTTTATACAAAACTGGTCAGGTTACTTTACCTATTTCATAGAAACACAGATATTCGCACCCAAGTTGGTATCAATCATTTATATCACGAGGGAAACCTCCAAATGTAACTCAAAGTTGCACCCACTAATTATTTTGTGTGAGCTGAGGCTGCTTCTTTTGCCACTAAGCTCCACTTTAAGATGGGTTCTGGGAGATCTCGGTTCCCGTTTCATGATCAGGTCCCAGGCCACAGACCACGCAGACGTAAACCTCCACACAATGTCACCTGATTAAATGCAACGGTATTGCACGTCAAGCTATTGATCCCTCAGCTTTGTGTGGTCACTAGCATATGCTAGATGTACTCAACCTAACACCAGACAATCTCGTACTAATTAATATTTCAGCACACAATGATGACGGTACTTAACTAAATAAGCGCAGTTGTTTTGATAGCTTTCCTTACACATGCAACATCTATACTGACAGGATTGTTCCATAACACTAATGAAGTTACCCCCATGCATAAATGCAGCAGTATTATGGGGAGAATTAGCATTGAATGTGCATACATGTGTATATGATCACATCCAAGCAATGTTTAAACAGCACCCCCTAGCGTCATATGGCAAGTCCCCCCCCCCCCCCCCCAAGTAGGTTGGTGGTGTTAAGTACAGTGCCTTGTATAATTGGATTCATTATTAATTAGGTACATTTAAGATGACTCATATTCAATGTTGGTTTATATTTTCAGATGAGAATGTGTGTTTGACCACCACTGACTCTTGCTTAGATAGTGCCACTGGGCGGTACTGTGTACCTGCTTCAAGTGGTTTCATGTGCCAGTGCCGTACTTTTGATGGATTTTTCATGGTGTCAAACGCATGTGAACGTAAGTGAATCTGTACGACCCCATCAATGGGTGCAATTTTACCAGCACATCCATTTGAGATGGTTAAATTTGTAAATATCAAAATAAGGTATTGAAATATATTATTTATTACAAAGACCAATTGAATCCCGAGTAGAGTGTGCAAACAGCAAATTGATATTAGGAGCTATAATGTTTTGAGCATATACAGGTATATAGTGTAGGGCGAGGCCTAATTCTAATATTTGTGTCTTTTCTTGCTTAGCAGTTGTGGTTTATTTATAACTGAAATGCTTTTCGTTTATTCATTTTCAAGAGCTGCAGTCAGTGACAGTTGTGTTTGAAGCCTCCAACGAGATTTACAGTAGTATTTTCAGCAATCCATGGTCCTCCGCTTTCAAGGCCAAAGTTGCTATTTTTGAACGCCTAGTAAGTTGGCATTTTTAAATTGTGTCCTTATTTTTTATAGTTCAAGTCCAGAGCGTAGAGCCACTCGTATTAAGTGTTGCATCATATCAAATAATTTAACATTTAAATAATTTAATAAACGTCCCTCTTAACTATTTAATTGAAGCATTTTGAAGGCCCTGCAATCCACTCAAACCTGTGATTTTCTTTTGGTAACTGTCTATGATACAAACTCTTTTTTTTCCAAGACATATAACTTTCATTTCACAGTGACAGTTTACATGTAATATTATAAATGCTTTGAGACTTGAAATGGTATACCCTTGTGCTTGATGTGTTTATCATTGTGTTAAAATTAACCTTGGTCATTTATGAATGATCTTGCCAGGTCCTAATACTACTGAGGGCAGACCCGGCCACCAGTGATGTTGTATCAGCCGACGGTATATCCCTCCAATCAGGAAGTGTAGTGGTTACCATGGTATTACAATACCCAGGCACTCCGCCAACAGCTGATGTGTTGCAAGTCTTTTCAAGCACCAACGAACTGACAGATAATAGTATAACAGTACCCATCAACCCTTTAACCATTACAGTCAGTGGTAAGCCCTGCCCAACAACCTTTTTATGATTTTGTGCAAGTGTGCCTTGAGAGATAATGAGTATCAGTGAAGCAACTTGAGGGTCACTATATCACCCTATTACATACAAGAGAACGGCAAATCCTTTGTCTTCAGCGCACTAGGAGGATGTCACATATACCAGTTAAATAACTGGCACTATTACAACTGACTGATAGTGTAATAATCAGAGCTTCTGGGAATCTGCAGTGTAGTTTTATCAATCAACCTACAAATGTATAAGTTTATACCCTGTAACTCCGCAGCTAACTATTCAAACAAACGTTATAATGAGTTATTTCCGAAAAGTGGTCATACTGGAGGGGCTCGCGGGATATCAAGTTTCTATTAAAAAACAATCTTCTGTGTCCCTCCTTTTTTCAGCTTCAACGACGGATTGTGAAGCAAATTATTGTCAGAATGGTGGAAGATGTGTGAGGATGGGATATTACCCGACTCAGATCACTTACTCTTGCAGGTAATGTAGCAAACTGTGTGCATGCATTCATAGTAATTCTGTATGAATACAAGTAAATATGCCAGACAATAAGCCATATCTTATTTTTGAACTCAATACAACCAGGTTGTTCAAACCTCCTAGCTTTATGTGAACCCAACAGTGTTTGAAAGATCATAGTTGCCGTTCTTGCCCTAAACAATGGTCACAACTGTATACAAAGATATGGTACCTTAAATACCGTCACCAAGTGTCAGTTGGTGTCCAGTCCTGTCCGCATTGAACAACGTCTTCATGTGTTAGATAGAGCCAGACTCCCTCTTTCCATTTTTCAAGTGCCAGGTCACCAGGCATTATTTTATTTTTGTACTGTATTGATGTACTTATTCATGTATTAATTTATTTTTGAGGGATCGTCATTATTAATGGGTCATGTAAATTTGTCTGGTGACGTTCCTGAAAATATGAATTACCAGCCAGCTGGGGACAGAGACAACTCATTGACAACAGTTACAACTACTAACAAGATTGGCAGTGGAAAAAGTAGGCAAGAGAAGAAATCATTGCCCTGGATGATCAGCTCTGCAAAACTATAAATACCAGTCACTACTCTGTAACTAATAACACGGAAAATACGCCAGAGCTAGAGTTGATGAAGTATGCATTTTTCTGAAGTGTCTTTGCCTTTGTTTAGGTGCGGGACTTCATTCACTGGTGAGCGTTGCGAGACGGTTATTACAGTACCAACCGACGTTCCAAGCGAAACCACCACAGAATCACCAGGTCCTGAAGGTAAAGAATCCCAGATGTCTAGCTATACTAGCTTGCTGTGTTCAAGCGTAGACACAAGTACCCCAAGTTCAGGCTAATGACATACAAATTGCTCCATCAAAACTGGGCAAAGTACCACTTATTTTCAAATTACTCAGTCACTTTGGGAGTCAAATAATGTTAACGTGTTTAGTTAATATGTCCATGGTATCGCATGAGAGGGATAAATACTATTCATATTTGCTGTATGAAATCACAAATTTATTTTTTAATTTATACTTGGATCAGCTACAGCAGATCATGGGTTAATTGTTTATTTTTAATTGCAGGTGTGTCAACTCTTGCAATCATTCTCATCGTTGTGGCCTGCGTATTCCTCCTGCTGATGGCAGTGGGTTTGCTTTTGTGCTTGTGTCTTCTGATACGACGTCGCTATGAAGCAGGTCTCTACTCCCATCGGGGATGGCAAAAGCCTGACGGGCCAAGAGTCAACTATGTTCTGTCTTACTATCCAGAGGATGGCTACAGTACATCCTCCTTGAGAGATGAAGAGATCAGAATGAATCGACTGATGAATGTCATGAGCCGTTCACCTTACTTACAGCAGGTACTAACATCATTGTGACACTCACATTCATTCTTGGCTTGCCCTACCTTATGTCTGTTATCCTTTTGCTACGTTCTCCTTTTTACTTTTGTCATATTGATTTTCTGTGTTTTGTAGGGTTTGCCAAGACGAAATGATTTCATTCGACCATATGTAGTAACTGGAATGGAGGGGCTGTACCGTGATGAGGAAAGGGTGAGTTCAACAAATAGATCTGACTGGAGTCAGAAACTATCAGAAAAGGTCAAAAAATGTACTTCGATATGGGTGTATTCTTTCTTTTTCAAATAAAAATTCATGTATACATTTTGATATGGATGTGTTTTTTCTTCTTTTTTTCCTGTACAGTATGATGACCCGCCTGCAGGCCGAGTGGTTTACAACCCAAATGTCTACCGCTAGACCACCAATAAAACATTCCACTCGCCAGTTATACATACCAACAGCTGTCCTCAAAATGTTATTGATTTCAGTTCTTAGCAGTGAAGCATTTCGGTACATCTAAGGAGATCTTTGCAAATCAGAGTAATTGTAAGGGCATATCATTGCCTGCAAACTTTATTACATAATGACACAACATTAGCCCTATTAACATAGTGTTGTTTTGTCTTCCTAACACATCTAAATTGTAATTCCATTTTTCTCCGGTGGAATTGGTGGACTATTCTAGAACGTGGAAGCAATGTTGGTTGGAATTTACTCTGAAATACTTAAGCCATGTGGCTGTGTGTTTTGGGTTTTGGGGGTTTTTTTTGGTAATGTTTCTTTTTTTTGTATTCTGTTCTTTTCCATTTTCCAGCTTTAGATTAAAAAAGTGTTTTAATCCTGATAATACAATATATGTAGTACTTATATATAACATTTAGGACTATAAGCATGGTGAATTTTATTCCTTTTTTTCATTCCTTTATTTGGTATATTAATACATTGTATATAGTCCTATAGATGTTTCAGACAATGTAGAAGACTTGTATAGGCACAGTGAGGTCACCTGAGCATCATTATATACCCCTTGTAGATTTGTGGAATTTATGCCACTACATGTATAGCTTTTCTCAGTTACTTTAAGACTTGTACCATTTAAACTCCATTGACAGATACTATAAGTTTGTCTGTCGCTCGGCTCCATTGTTAATTTCGTCTCGAATTTACACCAATACTGTACATTTCATATTTGGTCCAGTGTATTTTGCGAATGTAGCATTCTGAATTGTCCTGTAGTTTTGGGAAATTAGTCTCATGTGGAGTTTGAGTTAAGCAAATTCATTTTTTTTTATGGCATGTTTTGGTCATTCAATTTCGTTGAATCTAAAACGTCCAATATGTTTCTAATCTCTTCGACTTTTTCATTGCAATGATGAAAATAATAGTGATATCATAATGTAGGATGCATGGGTGAACCGTCTATGATGTATAACCCTGAATAATATTAGCTTCTGTTTTTCCCAAATTATAACAGTTTGTATATAATCGATGCCGGGTTTTTTTTAGGTTTATGGGTGGTTAAATAAGATCCCGAGCTGATGTCGTTGCAGAATTTTGCAGAATCAGTAAAATGAGTGTTTGATTCTTGTATATTTGCTGTATGGTTTAATCAATCAACCTTCAGAATATGGATCAAGTAGAATTACATACCGGTACATTCGAACAGAAGTTTTCTTCAAAATGTACAAAATGTAAGACATCAATGCTTATTAGTCATTGGTCTCTAGGGATGCATATCTTCAAAAGGTCTTGTTACAGTGATATGAAATAGTTCTTCCACAGGGTTTATATTCGGCATGTGACAACAAAATATTACCTGGAGCCATATCCCTAATTTTGTCAAACGTGCAAACAAACCGTCACGAAAATCGAGTTAAATCTGAGTAGCCGTCTACCAACCGACAGCCGGCAGCTACAGTTTCAACCCTATTGTTACAGTGTAGTTGGAAGCCTTTAGCATCAACACAACGCTATATCCGTTTTATTTACGTACGTATTTTTCCTTTGCTTACGGGCCTACTCTTAGTTGGGTGATTACAATTTTAAAATTAGAAAGGCACAGTGAAACACGTTATTTGCAGCTTATTTTACATAAAAATGTAGCCTATATAACGTTATTTTTAATTAAAAGAGAAAAGATGTAATTGTTTGAATGCAAAGTGTTGTTTGTTGAGATGCAAGCTCGGCGTAGGTAGTATTACAGCTTCTGTCTTTCGTCTTCCTTTTCCGGTTCATCACAGGTGATTGGAGGAAGAACATTCGGAACTGAAATGAAATTAAGAAAAGCCTGTGCATATTTGGAATTTCAACAAAGATAACGGTATATACAAGTCATTATATCAGCTGTAAGTCTATTTCACTCTGATAAATTCACGATTTAAGAACAATACCTGGCTCTCAGCCTCCGTTTTGGAGGCTGTGTTAAACTACCGGAGTACTCCAATTCACAACACGAATTCTTAACGTAGACGACCCTATGGTTCCAGACCAGTAAATAAACTGCCATAGACCCCAAAGATAAATGCCCTCACTTCAAAAATTCAGGACAAATACTCACAACTCTCCAAGGTATTCCAGACACACATCAAATTAAAGCTAATTCCATCATCTTTCATTTTCTTGTCAATTTTCGGGGGGTTACTGATGATTTTTAGGAAAAATTTCCATCCGAAGATGATCACCACTTAAAATGGTCCTGAAGCCTATCGCCATTTTGAAAAACGACGCAGTACACTTCCTTGCCAAATAGAGCGCTCATATTTTTTTATGAGCCTGCAACCCTATACATTCTCGTGTCTTTGTAATTGGGTGTAACCTATGTTCCCCAATACCTATGTTCCCTAACTCTAACCTTAACCCTAACCCTAAGGATTTAGGGGAACATAGGTATTAGGGAACTTTGGTATTGGGGAATATCGGATAGACCCCTTTGTAAATAACAGGATGGCTTCAGGCTGAGCCATCGAACCATTTCCACATTACCTATACCCCTTGCGGGCACCGTGCAAGCATATGGTGTGCTACCAAATCGGGTAGTCCGCTGTTTTGTATCCATGAGTTGCGGGAAGGCGCTAGCTGGTTCCACGTAGCTTCGTCGAGATGTAGAATCCAACGTGTAGTGGATCTCGGGGGTTTGCCTTTGGGGAAAAAAGGGAAATAAATGTTGGTTCTGTCGTCCCGATTTTGCTTTTAATATTTCCATCCCGTTGCAGTCGTTATACAGGGTGGGTAAAAAAAAAACGAAACCCAAATGTTGGGACCATTGTTTTAGTGAAGTTCTGCATGTAGCACTTTCAAAATCTAGGATATGAAAGCTCCATTCATAAGCTTTTTTTAGTACAAGTATTATTCGAATCACGTACAGTTACTGAATTTTAAACACAACCAACGTTTTAAGATTCTGTCCACGGATCACAAAACAGTTCAGTGTTCTTTCAGCAAAACGAAAACAAATTACATAGGGATGTGTGTGAATTGTTTTCGTTTTGCTGAAAGAACGCACACCTTTTGTGTGATCCGTGGACAGAACTTTAAAACGGTAGTTGTGTTTAAAATTCCGTAACTTGAAAAATACATGAGTGATTTGAATGATTCTTGTACTAAAAGAAAGCTTTTGAATTGGGCTTTTATGTCCTAGATTTTGAAAGTGCTACATGCAGAACTTCAATAAAACAATAGTCCCGACATGTGGGTTTCGTTTTTTTTTTTTTACTCACCCTGAATAGGTCATGATAGGTTACCCAAAAATGCCATCCCAGCTTCCTACACAAGATTCTGTGAAGCGTCCCAGCGCCATGTTTTCAGGCCGGGGTGGAGGGGTACGAGCGGAGTTATGAAACGGATACTTCATTTTAATTCAAAATTTGGACCTTTTATATTTCTTTTCAGGGTGGGGGTGCGTATGCACCCACGGTACACGATGAATGGTGCCGATTAAGCTGATTGACAGTAAATTTGTAGACATCTAGTTGGGACATTTTCAACCCTGTGAATAATATGTTTTTATTTGGGGTCGCTTTTGCAACCACAACGACCAAAAAATACGCCTGAATTAGTGTCGTACCGCCAAACAATTCGAAATGTGTACATATATACCGGGCGGATAGTTTGGTCGATGTCTCATTCAAAAGTGAATACCTTTTGCACTGACACTGCTCTTTACTAGTCTTTAGGGGCGGTGCAAACAACTCAGGGAAAATCGTTTGAGTATAGCCTTTCCATCCCTGGAATTTACGCATTTGCATGGAATGAACTGCGCAAAGCTACCGGTAACCGTCATAAAGTTTTATGTTGTGTATAGTTCATTCCCGGTATTATTCAACAGAGTATAGTTATTTTACAAACCACTTGGAGCTCTTGGCAGAGACACCTCCTTGTTGCCACGGCAACAGGTCCAATTTGTTTTTCCTAGAAGCCAAAAGAGATGTGCATTAGGCCTAATTAAACAGTTATATATACGCATGATAATGTACTGTTACGCAATCGACAAACCAATGAAATCGAACAATCTTCGTGTATACACAATTAGGCCTAGGGTTTTTTTTCTATTAAACTCATTTTGCCAAGTTTAGTCTATGGACTATATATTAATGCAAGGGAGTACCCTTGCACAGCAAATGTATATGATATTCGTGCAGATTTGGCGATTATGCAAAACAAGACCGGCTCGATCCGTCTTGACATCGAGATTCTCACCATTTAGCGGGCGCCTTTCATCGGGTATTCGGTAACCCGTTGTACAATCAAAAATGGCAGCAAGCGAGCTACGTATGAAGTCAATATCATCAACAATTTGCATTTATTCATTTTGCGCTTATAACATTACAAAACATTGGGGGATTACTCACGTATGTGGTTAAACATTTCGGGAAAACGGGATCGGATGAGGTTGAAGTCGGGGCTCCAGATGCCAAAGGTCTAATCAAATGAAACAAAAATGTTTATAAAAATGGCATCTCTCTTATTACTACATTGGGGTAGTAAACTGCATTGATATGTGGCATAGTAGGGCTACATGCGTATAGGCCTAGCCTACACCGAGCAGAATCCTATTTGTATCCCTGGCTGACCACTGTATTTTCAGCACCATTTCCTTGTCATGAAATCATACCCAGTTCCTTACAAAGTGATACAAGAAGTTAAGATAATTGTTGTAGACAGTGTAATTATTATTCCATATTTTCTTTAACTGCGGTGGTCAAAATGACGCCAGAGAATTGTGAATTAAGACTTGGAAATTTACGAATGTCGATATTCTAAATGTTATGTAATTCGTTAGTATTTTGGTGGATTATTTTTTTCACCAAAGTAGGCCTAATATGCGAGAAAACTATTCAGTTATTCAGGTCTTTAAAAAAAAAACAATACTTCCTTTTGCCTACTTGGTTTTCCTTGTTGTACGGACTCTGGTAAACCAGACCAATCGAATGGGGATTCTGCCGCCGTGTTGGGGAGAAAATCCTCGGTATAGCTCTCTGCTTTGTCTGGTCGTTTGTGCACGAAAAGTCCGACAGCGTTGTGGTGCGCGGCCGACGATAGCGCCTTGTAAAAACGTTTGCCATTCCAGCAGCAGGTTAGCCCTTTACTAGTAAAAACGTCTTAAGAACTAAGAGCTCGAAATGATTCATTAATTGTTTCTGCCTTTTTTTTTAAATAGAATTATTACATGTATTTCTGAAAGGTTTCAACAGAAGTTGTGTTTAATACATTCGCTTTTGTATACATTTTCTCTGTGTGACGCCGCGCGTATGTAAAAAGCGCACATGCGTACTGATAACAAAGGGATATGTTATTATGACGTCACTAAGCATTGTTAAGAAGCTTGGGCGCGAACCATAGTTGACCATAATAACCATATGTATAGAATGACCATAACCATAGTTCACCACAGTTCGACTTCGCTCGGACAAAGGATTGACCTAATACCGTTTGCGAATTAGCCACGCCCCTTAGACAACCACGCAGTTACGTTTAGTTTTTTTGTCTCATATTTTGCGCGTTGGCATTTGTATAATCATGTTATTAACAGTATTTCACAAGCTGCGTTGACACGATTCTACCGCGATAGTTGGACAGTACTCGACTATTTGGAACCGGAACCTGGAGGAGCCAGCACTTTTGACCATTGACGTAGAGGCGTTCGCGCGTTGCTACCATGGCGTAGGTTACGTCAAGTTAAAGACATAGTCCATCATTTGTAATTTGTGCATTTTGTTCCCTTGAAGCAACAAAAGTGTTCAAAACCTAATGAAGGATACTAAACAACTAACCTGATGAAGTTTCAGCTCAGCTTCAGCTGTATATTCCGAGAAAAAAACAGCATTCTAGGATCTCAATTTCAAATCAAAAGTTGCTAAATCATGTTTTGAATTGTTTTGAATTACAGCTTTAAGCGATGTCGCGCACTATCCGACGAATTATAGAGGGCGCGCGCGCCTGTGCGTCGTGCCAATACTTGCGCGCGCTGCGCCGAATCCGGTTCGTTAGTGACTTCGTCATACACGCGCGCGCACGCACCACTGATTACAACTTACAAGCGCCCATTGGCGTAACGCTCAATGTGCGTTAACTTCCGCTTCCATTCGTGCTATGCAACGTCGTGTGAAGTGCGCACGTGTTAAGTTGAGATGACGTCACACTAACGAACCGGATAACAAAACGAACTACCAAGGAAATTTCCTACGGTGCTTCTTAAGACGCACCGTTGGAAATGCCTTCTTTCGTTGATTTCTTCAAAATGACAGCTTGCCAGAAAGAATAATTTCACAGGGAGTTTAGTCCCCTTACTATCTTTCAACCAGTATGTTTTTCAACAATAATTACGCCAGTTTCTTTTTTGGATAGCTACAAATGATGGACTCCGGCTTTAACACTAGCCGACTGTCGATCCTCGCCCGAACTTTGCTCTGTTTTGCACCGTAGTTGTGAATGTGCGCGACGTACGCATGTTTATCAAAATAATAGTGCAATCAATTTAACCAATAAGGACTCTAGCGGCGATTGCTTTCCAAATTTTAAACTTTCCTGAAATCGTTCAACTATGGAAAGCCAAACCAACTTCGAGTTTTTTTTTCCTTGAAAATTCGCATTTCATTTTTATTATTAATTATGAATAAATCATATTCCAAGTATAACCCATTGCTCATAACGTAAATAGAATGCCTATAAAAATGATCCCCTTCAATTTTGGGGGCCGTCACGGTAGATATAATAATAATTTGTTTTTATTTGTCTTATTTTTAAAACGCTTTAAATTACACTACAAACTCTTGCACAAAGCGAGTTTTGCTCTACTCCGCCACCGCATTAGTTTCACCAGGTCCACCCTTGCATCCTTGGATAGAAAGATCACCACCACCCGTGACCAGCGTGTCTCCCACGCCGACCTTGACGCTCCAGTGATCATCCAGCATCCCTCAGTCGACTTGCATCCTTCTCAGCTTCGCCGGTTTCGAGCTTCACTAGTTTGCATCCTTCTCACGCCTCATCGCACCCATCCTTATAACATCGCATCATTGTTGGAATCCCTCATTCTCCTGACGACGGGCAGAGCTTACTTTCGAAACGTTGAGTCCCTCCGGTTCTTTTCAGAACCACACATACTCACAAAAGAGATTGATTCACATGGTGCTACCGCAAACTTATCTTGTTTTTTAGTATCTGTCCACCATGCAAACCTTCAAATCTCATACACAACAAGCTCCGTAAACACTTTAAACAAAATAAAGCCATTAATTGTAGATCTGGATGTAGATCTGGACACCACGGCTCCGTCAAGCCTATGCAAAAATTGCTTTTGGTGCCCAGTTATACTCATCTCCTTCATCCCAAATCCTAATATCCACTCATCCTCGAAGTCAGGAACCCTGCGAGACAGGAATCACTTCCAAGAACCAAGATTAACCGAGATCTTCAATTTTCTTCATTGGACCAGCTGTAAGATGGCCACGGGTGCCACTGTCGTCACCATTTTGGCCCTGCTAGCTACTCTAGACAGGACAGTGCTTTCAGAAGCAACCAACCATGGAACTCATCCCATTGTTAACCCATGGTCCTACTGTCATGGTGTATTGTCACGCATCATGCCACTCAGGTTTGTGACGCCAAACCTACCTCGCTCACAGTGGGAAACTTGGAACCAGGAACTGAAAACACAACTTGGCCCTCTCCATTTCGACCTATCGTCGGGTCATATAACTCCGTCACAAGCAGGTGAGGTGTTCACAGAGTCATTATTCAACTTTGTCAAAGGAAAACCGGAACTAGTTGAATCAGATAAGCACACGGGGTATGTTTCTCATGACCCCCGAGTACTCACCAATGCCAAAAAGGAAATGAACAAATTGAGGAAAAGAGCGTTTGGAAAAAACAGTACACATGAAAACCGCAAGAGATTCAACGAAGCGAACAGACACTATAGTGCTCTCAAAAAGTCTTCAAGAAAACCAAAGATCTGAAAAACGTTGAACACGAAGAGAAACTATTTCACAGCAATTTCTACGAATTTGCAAAGCGCCTTACCAAAGGCGAACTGTACAAAGACGTTACCAAGCCATCCTTCACAAAATGTTGTGCAAATGAGTATTATACAAAGAAATACTCCTCCTCAGCCCACTTCATCCACAACGATCTCAACTGGTTCCCTTACATCCGAGTACCCGATGACGGCACGGACTTTGACCTCACACCGGTTCGGCCGAGGGACATCAAATCAGTTCTACAGCACAAGTCATCAAATAAATCCCCTGGCCCGGACAATATCACCTACGGAATTCTGAAAAAGCTACCAGCCACTCATCATTTCCTGGCCACCCTCTTCTCCCGGATCATGCAAGTTGGATCACCGCCAAGATCATGGTCGTGCTGCAAAGTCAGCCTCATCCACAAGAAAGGAGAAGCATCTCTGCCTGAGAACTTCCGTATGATCGCCCTCAACAGCTGCGTAGCCAAAATCTATCACCAGTTACTGTCGCAACGTTTTAATAGGTACCTCATAGACAATGAACTTATCGACACTACTATGCAAAAAGCTTTCATACAAGGTATCAACGGATGCATCGAGCACACACAAACCATGCATGAGCTCATATCTCATGCCAAAGCCAATCAAAAAACACTGCATGTTACATGGTTTGATCTTGCTGATGCATTTGGAAGTGTTCAACACGATCTTATTTATCATGAACTCGAAAGAAACAAGTTCCCTCCCATCATCCAGGCCTATATCAAGAACCTATACAGCAATCTGACAGGCTATGTTAGGGGACCTGGCTGGAATAGTGAAATCTTTCAATTCAAAAAGGGAGTTTTCCAAGGAGATCCCCTGTCACCCATTATCTTTGTAATAGCATTTAACCCCCTGGTACAATACATCAAATCAGAGTTACGTTTTGGGTATACCATAGATGACACTAAATTCATCTGTACCCCATTTGCCGACGACTTTAATCTCATAACCACCAATGTTAAATCGCACCAACGTATAATCAACAACATTGTGTCTCGAGCTCAATCAATGAATCTTATTCTCAAACCCAGCAAGTGCAAATCCTTGTCTCTCTGCAGCGGCAAGCCTACAGAAAAAATCTTCAAAATCAACGATTTTCTGATCCCAACAATTAAAGATGAACCGCACTCATTTTTCGGGTCGATAATAACATTCAGTGGGAAAGCACGCGACACAATGTTCCACATTAAGCAGAAAATTATTTCGTATCTTAACAGAATAGATGAATCTAAAATCCGTGATGAGTACAAACTAAAGGTGTATTGTAACTACCTACTCTCTTCACTACGATTCTGCCTGACTGTTCACGACATAACTAAAACTGATCTAAACACACTCGATCAAAACATCGATAAGTACCTGAAAAAATGGGGAGGACTGCCCAAAAGTGCTACCAATTCCCTCCTCCATTCCAACTCTGGATTAGGGATCAAATCACTCACGTTCTTGTACAGAGAATGTCATGCCCTAGCTCATGCCTCCACAAGAATCAAAGGAGACAATATGGTTAACAAATGTCTAGACTCCAAACTACACCGCGAATCATCCCGGTCTAGAAAATGTTCCGTTACTGCCTATTCAGAAAACGTTCTCCAAAAAGCTCTGAAGGAAATACCGGCCAAAGACAATAGCCCGGGAAAACATTTGCACAAACTCAAAACAGTCATCAAGTCATCCGTAGCAAAGGACATTGCTAATACATGGGATCAAAAAATCAAATCCCTTGCTAAACAAGGCCGTCTCCTAGAACTTATGGAAACGGAAAAATCCAACATCACTTGGAAATCAATAATGTATAATTTACCTCGGAAAATTCTTCGCTTTGGACTCAATGCAATCATAGATACTCTACCAGTCAATACCAATCTCTGCCTCTGGGGTAAGTCAGTTGACCCCAAGTGCACACTTTGCACATCCAAGGAAACATTGTTACATGTCCTCAATTACTGCCCAGTAATGCTCAATCAAGGCCGCTACACCTATCGCCACAACAATGTTTTACTGGAAATCTGTAAATCCCTAGACAAAATGTACAACAGCTGCTCTAACCGCAAACTCTTTGCCGATCTCGATGGTAAACATGCTCCTGGCGGCAATACCATCCCGCCATCCATACTACCAACCACACTTAAGCCAGACATTGTCATAACAGACGAACATAACAAAGACATCACCATAGTTGAATTAACGGTACCATTCGAAACTAACATAACTAAAAGCCATGACTACAAAATGCAAAAATATGCCAACCTAACACGAGATTTGCGTGAGATAGGTTTCAACTCCAAACTCATCGCCTTGGAAATAGGAAGTAGAGGCTTCATAGACGAAAACAATAAAACACAAATCCGCTCCCTATTCAATCTGATGACAAAAACCGAAATACGGCAACTCACCACTCACCTGTCAAAAACAGCACTGGTCTCATCCTTCGTAATCTTCTACTCAAAATACAGCCCCGTTTGGATTGATTCTCAAGATTAAGGTATTCTTTCACATCGCCCATCCCACTCATCAATATTCCCTTGACCTAGCCAAGCAATCGTTATTCCCTGGTTTATGCTTTTCTTGTTATGCTTTTCTTGTTATGCTAAATTGTTAATTATTTAATTTGTCAATTTGTCTCTTACTTCTACATTAATTTCTAGTTCCTTGCTTCATTGACATTTAGACTGTTTCTTTTGATTCGTCTTTCATGTTCATGATGTTCTAGGTTTCCTCCATGTCTTTTGGTTGTTGTTGTTGATTTATGATTAATGAATAAAAGACATGAATTAATAAAATGTATGAATAGCTTTGATTAATTAATTGAACAGTTATTTTACAACATTGTTTACTTCCAAAAAAATTCATGTTGAGCCATAAACAATAATACACAATGATGCAAAGTGGAAAGAACAGGGGGACATTGTTCACATTATCACCCTATCTCTGAATCCTGTACATACATGTTCCTGTAGTAAAATGTTAATGAAACATACTACTGTATTAAAACTGTCCCCCCCCCCCCCCCAAAAAAAAAAAAAAAACATTGGCACTTTTAGGCATTTCCCCATGAAGCACATGTGTGGTGCTATTAAGCAGAGAATTATACAAATATTTCACGGTATAGGCCTATTCATTCAACTGTACATTATGAAAAAGGCCAGCAAATGTGCATTTAATTTCGTGAGCTTGGATTTTAGTCCCATTCGGGAATTAATATGGTGCATACGTTTAAACGACTAATACGTGCTCAATGAAATTGCAATGGCAATATATTGTTTTAAAGTGTTACCCGAGAGACTTAAATGGCATAAGTAGGCCACGATCAACCCCTAGAAATGCGGCCAGAAAACGACTTTTGGTGATACATTATGGTGTGTATTGCGAGAACTGGCTATTCGTATATACAAATAGACCTTTCTATCGCCGACGCGTGGTTGGCACATTTTGGAACTATGGACGGCCCAATACTGCCAAAAAGAGTTAATTATACAAAAATATTATTTGATGGTTGGAAATACAAAATAATCAGCAACCGCTACAAAATACCTCTAAACATGCTTTTTATAATAATGAATATGTTATGAGGGTGTTGCGAGGACTTTTGGGGGAAAATACGTTGCAAACCACGGCTTCAATATATGCACTTGCGGCAGCCCATACAAATTGGCGCTCAATGTTTGCAAACAATAAAACAATATATACAAAATACCTCTAAACATGCTTTATAATAATGAATATGTTATGAGGGTGTTGCGAGTACTTTTGGGGAAAAATACGTTGCAAACCACGGCTTCAATATATGCATGCACTTGCGGCAGCCCATACAAAATGGCGCTCAATGTTTGCAAACAATAAAACGTATAATCGAACCTGCTGAATCCGATTAATGATTGTTACCAATTTTATATGTTATACCAATTTGAACTAATTCGGTCAGTTTATCTCGCTCCGGTCATGCACTTTCATTTGTGGCAAGCTGAAAGTTACGGTCGGGTCACTTTTTCATTCCTTTTTTACTTAGTGATGGACTTATGTGAGATGCCATCCACTCGTTTTATTTATATGTATTCGGTACAAAAAATAGGTAATCTAACATAAACATCCCTTTGATGTGCCTCTAAATCTATGTGAAGATGACCATGGAAAGAGGCGGACATGTCTGACTATTTTATATATATTTATTTGGGGGGATTTTCTAGTTCTTTTAATTAATGAATAAGCGGTGAATTATGCTCTTCGTTTGTGGATTTATTTGTTTAAAAGGAACACTGCATGACATCACGAATCAACAGCAAACAATAGTTTTCCCTTTTCAGGTTGCCACTAACGAAATTGGATGACGGAAGCGCGACAATGACTTGTTAAAACAAAATTACAGTATCTTTCCATGGAATTCAAATTACACAACTGTTAACATTTTCAGTCGTTTGTAATCTCAGACAAAAATTATGTACTATCATTATTTATATACATTTATACCAATTTTTTTTTCTTCTAAACTTATTTTGACTTGCTTGTGTAAAGTATTGATATAAATGTTTCTACTGAAATGAAATAAATTGCAACTATCATATCAGGAAAAATCTATCATTGAAGGATTGTCATGTTCTCTTTAACATATAGATTTAAGCAGTACACCGCTGAAAATACTGATGAAACTACATTAAAATGCTGGTCTAAAATAAGTCCAAGTAGGCCTACTTCTTATTATTGTACAATGCTTTCTGTGGTGGTAATATACACATTCTGTAATTTCAAGGTAAATACGTAATGAGACATTTTAAAAACCCCAAAACAATGCAACAGGTCAAAACTTCACTTAACTGTGTTTTGTATGCTACCTCGCACCTTTAAAGTTACTGTTTGTTCATATTTCTTTTTGGTCAAAATTGTCCCTTTGACCTAAATCCTTTAATTTTCACAAGTCCTTGACTTCCTCCAAACAGAGAGATTCAGACTTGAAATGAACGCCATCACCTGGAAGCGGTGATGTGATCAGGGGAGAGATCCACACAAGATACCAGCGAGTGCCAAGCACGTCGCGGATGTTCTGCATCCAACCCAGGTCATATGACCGATCATCAAGGCGCCGGAACTCATGCGTTGTCTGACCTCGTAAGACGATATGTAAATGGTACAAGAATAGGACTGTAAAAATAAGAAAACAGTACAGACAAGTGATACTTTGGAACGCAATGAAAAACGACACCGGCTGGGTTACCCCATAAATCCAAGCAAGCACTGGTGTGAAGGATGCAATCAAAGTTAACAGGTTAAAATTCTCTGAAATGCATTTGACGGCCAAGTCCATATTAAGGTAATTTGCATAGATTGTCAGAATACAGATGTGCATGATGCACATGAGGTAGTATCGCTGATTTGCATAACCTATGCAACAACCCATGAAGACGCAATGGTGGTCGCGCTTCAATACACAGAGTCCACACTCGTTGCAGTGGTAGGAGCGTGGTGGGGAGTTCTTTTGGCAGCGGTGGCAGTAGTTCCACCCCGGTTTCAGAATAGATGGCAAATGTACACTTCCAGATGAACTGTCGACTCCGATGGTCATTATGAAATTGCCGAGAGTGTTGGCAAAAAGGAAAAGCCCTAGCAGCACATTCAGCCAGTAGGATCTTGAAGCTTCAGGATATACCCGCGGTAGTGCCACAAAGATTGCGAGGCCTTCTACCAATATCTCGCAGGCTGAGACAAGCACTGAAAATCGATTCACCATAGTTCTGGGAACTGTTCTTTTCCAGCTGAATATGGGAACCATTCTGCAAAGATTTATGGAGAAAGAACCGAGAGAACGTCTGAAAGTGAACAACGTTTTAAGCATCTCTATGAAAGACATATGGGTTTAACCTGGACCAAACTGTCATAGTCCTGCTAAAAAAATAAACAACGACATTCTGTAAGTTATCAAATTAGGTTTTGCCCTTCACCGACGTATAAACACTGTATATTCAGTGTATATGTGTAACCTAACGGGATCGGTTGGCTGGTTCGAATCTAATCATAGCAGCGGGTACCGCATTAAGTATTCGTATAAGATGGGATTTATTCCTTTGGGGTGATATATATCAATATTTTTCCAACTTTCACTCTTGAGGTTTCACACTGAGTATACAGTGTTTATACGTCGGTGAAGGGCAAAACCTAATTTTATATACATCACCCGACGCAAAAATCCCATCTTTCGAATTCTGTAAGTTGACGTTGTGCAACTTCGTTCCCATGGTGTCGAGACGGTGGCGGCGCCAGACTCTTTAAAAAAAAATGGGGGGTGGGCAATTGGGGGAAAGGAAATACATGGGGGGCAGTCAAATAAATCTTGTAGGGCTGGATAGCTCAGTGGGTAAGAGCACCGGGACGGTTATCTGGAGGTCTCAGGTTCACGCCTAGTCCGAGTATTACCCGTTATCCACGTTACATAGATTCCTGTATAACGTCTGATATATCAAAAGCATGCATATTTATGCGATCTCGCTCCTGAGCCAATCGGAGTCGACTTTACTAAATCGTGGCGTCATTTTATTCCCAAATCAGGACTAAACGTGTGGTTGATCACGACACAGGGTGAATGACCGAAGACCCGATATAGAAAGTACCCGCTGATTTGTCAAAATCCAGCAGTCAAGATGCGGTTGTCTTGCATAATCAATCAGCGCAGTGGCACAACCGGGGGGGGGGCGCCTCGGGGGCTTGAGGCCCCCAAGAGGTTGTCATTTTTTTTTTTTCAAGTCAATTTCAACTTCAAGTTCTTTGTTCAACTTTTCAATTTTCTTTAATTGATAACGTTTAGGTGTTACGATCTTATTCAGCCAACATAAGCAAAATTGAAGGGGTGGACTGCTTTGGAGATGGAGTGGACGTGATGGAGTAATTCCAGAATACCCCGCCACTCGGAAATGCATCCTGTCATCTGTAGTCCGTGGGACGAGAGGCTGAAAACGCTTTAGTTTTCGAGATAGTCGATCTGGTCCGCCGAATTTTATAAAACTTTCCAGACATGTAGACTATGATGTACCATATCTAAAAAACTTTGTTCCCCAATCCACAGTTTGTTTGGGAATGAGAAAATCTAGGACAAAAACTCCGAAATTCTGCATGAGAAAAAAACGTAAGAAACAGCGCCCTCTATTGACACAGCCAGAAACCGTTTCGTACGCAATGCTTCGCTCGTACCCCCGCCCTGCAAACAGGACGAAACGCAATGAGTGCTTGCCAGATGATACTTCTTTTAAGCTTCATATTACAAGCATATTCTATATTTTTGTCATTATTTCTCATCAGGATGTCAAAACCTTTTCATTACAGTTTGTCTCACTTGAAATGATCAAGTTTTAAGATCGAATGTTATTAACTACATTAAAATATAGTTAAACCGTACTGCAGATGAAAATCGCATGGTTAATCGCATCTTTCAGTTTGTCTTTCAGAAATATTGTCATAAGTGAAGTTTTTTAACACACTCCCCCTCCCCCTCCCCCCTTCAATAGCAGTGACGCAGAATTTGAATAAGGAATTATATACAAGTTGAAGCGTCTTATTACAAAACCACTAAAAAATGGCAAGTTCTCTTTCGTACATAATGTACTTAGGTTGATTATATTTCTGATTAGACTTTTATAAAAAAAAGACTCAAAAAATAAAGACGGCAATAACTGCAAATACCGTTTTGGTAATTTGTCTATATTCCAGGTGCAATGTGGTTTAAGTAAACACCAAAAGAAATACAAATTTATTTAATATAATATAGTTTGATTTCATTTATTTATTTTTTTTGTGAGGGGGGGGGGCAATTTTAACGTTCATAGTTTTTTCCCCACACAAGAAGAATGGTATTTAGATGACATAAGTTTGTTCAATCTGTACTGAATGTAGTTACTAGTTTATTTTCAACAAAACGAGCTGACAAAACGAGCTAAGCACCTGCATACATCACAGGCCGATTACATAATTGTTGTAACATGCATCGAAAGTCTCATTAAATTGAAAGACCCAATTTCTGTTTGTACATTTTTTCAAGAAGAGAAAATAGTTTATATTCCACTATTCGGAATCTTTGAGTGGCAGCATTATTGCAATTTGTTTCAGCCGAAACCGTCTTACCGTTTTTATTATTTTGAATATTGTTTTAAGAACCGATTCATGTTTTGTTGTTGCTCCATCCATTCCGCGAGAACCACCAATAAACCCCAACGGCCCACCTGCTTCCTCTTTTGAGGCTGCATCAAATTTGTATTACTTTTTTTTTTTAATTTCAGGCAAAACATTTTGAAAAGATGTTTCAGAAGTTCAGATGCTCCACCAGATGCTACGCGTGAACTTATATTATTATTGAAAATATGTTACCCTGAGATAAGAGATCACAAAATTATTGTGATCTGGGGTTTAATCTTACCAATCTGTGTATCTGTAGCTAATACATAACATTCATCTTAAATTTAAAAGTTGATCATTTCATGTTCGACAAAACTGTAACGAAGATATTTTGGCATCACGATGAGAAATAACAAAAAAATCTAGAATATAATATGAAAGAAGTATCATCTAGCAACTAGCAAGCACTCATTGGCCGAGTTCGGCGGGTCTTTTTGACACGGGTATATCATTTTTGCAGTTCGGCGGGTCTTTTTGACACGGGTATATCATTTTTGCAAACCCTGACGGGTAGGTGGTGTGAGATCATGTTCCGAGTGCAGTGTTCGTGGGTCGTGTTCCCACGCGAGAACAATAAAAATACTCGCGTCAAAAACAGACCGCCCGAACTCGGACGGCCATTGCGCGAGAAAAGGTTTCTGACTATCAATAGAGGGCGCTGTTTCTTATTTTTTTTTCTCATGTAGAATTACCGGCGTTTTTATCCCAGATTTTCTCATTCTCAAACAAACTGTGGACCGGGGAACAAAGTTTTTTCGACATGGTACATCATAATCTACATGTCTGTGAAGTTTTATAAAATTCGGCGAACCAGACCGCGTGGCGAGCGAAAAAAAAGGCCTCGTCCCACGGACTCTGGCTACGTGTACGTGTACGCGGTTGGATTCGCTAGAAAATTCAAGTCCAAACCAAGTCCCTGTTGCCGGCTACGCTGCTATACGGATTGGAGGTCCCTCGAGAACAAAGCAAACCAATGCAAAACGGAAGGGAATCGATAATATATCTATGTCCGAACTTACTACGTACCTATTGCTGGACGTAACCTATTGCCGGCTACACACTAGATACGGAGTGGAAGTCCCCTTGACTTGATAACGAAGCAATACAGAAGGAATTGGGGTTGCTGACAAAAAATCAGTCCAAACGAACCAGTTCACCACCTGCAGTTGCCAGCTATGAGGAGTGGAAGTGCAGTGGAGCGTGGCGCGTGTACTATGTAAGCACTGAGAAATTTGTTGAGGGCAATCAACCGCCGTGACTCTGTAGCCTAGCCGGTTACGAGGTAGATTGGTCGAGTGGCGATATATCTGCAATACTGTGCATAATTTAAAAAAAAACATGTACACGTTGGAAATAACACCAAGTACACGATATAAATCCATTATTTACTATTACATGTATCATGGAGGAAGCTTCCTCCATGCCATGCATGTATCGATATAGGATATAGGTAGACTTTGCAGATCACAAAATATAATTATGAGAAACTCTCCAAAATATTTGAGACACATAAAATTAAAGCTTTTTTTTCCATCATCTTTCATTTTCTGTTCTTTTTTGGGGAGTTAACCGATGGCTTTTTGGGTGGAAAATCGCCATTTTGAAACCGGAGACTTTTTTTTTTGGCCTTAATATATGGCCTAGTATTATCCGAATTTCACAGAAACACGAGCTCGCAATCCTCTGCATGGCTTCCGCCCTTCTTTTTTTTTTCTTCAAAAATTCTCGAGTTCATGGCACACAAAACCGGATACTTTGACGGCATGCAAATAGTGATTTGGCCGGCGTGCACTCCCATGGCAGTTTATTTACTGGTCTGCAACCTACAATTCAAAATGGTTGCCTCAATGTTGATGTATAATAATACTTTTCTGGCAAGGGGCAACATTTGGGGTCCTTTTGCGGGGGGCGATCGAGTGAACCTGGTGGGCACTGAAGAATGGTAATGCGGGAAAGGGAAAATAATACGTGAAAATTTCATGCACAGACAAGGCGTACAGTTAAGCTGTTGAGAAATGTTCAGGACTGTTACTGACCGGAACAGCAAAAAAAAAATTGGTTCAATATTCAGATGTAGGCCAAATGGTTTATGGATCCCCCCCCCCCCCTGGCTTAAATGTGTTCTAGAGGAAATTGCAAAATTTTGCTGATTAAAAATTCGCTGTTTAAAATTTCGCTGATTCAATTCAAAATAGCTATTGAATAAGCAAATAATGTGATGGAATACAAAACAGCACAGGAATTTTGACCCCTCGAGGCATTCGCTCCAAGTTGGATTGTATTCACAACATACAGAAACGTTTTCTTCACGTGTTTCAACAAGTAGAGCGACGATTAAGATACTAAGGTTTGTGCTAGCGATGGATGGAAAGTCACATTTAACCAGGTGGCAAGGGCGGATCCGGGGGGGAGCCAAAGGGGGCCATGGTCCCCCCCCCCCAAAAAAAAAAGCAAACCAATTTTTTTTTTTTTTATGTGACGTCGCAATAAAGGCAGGCAATGAGTACACCACCATCTTTTCCTCAAAAAAAACATTGGTTAAAGTGGTCAGAAATTGCCTCAGATCGCACCACAGAGCATCCCAAAAATGGCGATGGGCTTCAGGACTATTTTCAGGGGTGATCATCTTCAGATGGAAATTTCTCCTAAAAGTCATGAGTTGACCCCCCGAAAATTGAAAAGAAAATGAAAGACGATGAAATAAGCTTTAATTTGATGTGTGTCTCGAACACCTTGGAGAGTTGTGAGTATTTTCCCCGAATTTTTGAAGTGGGAGCATTTACCATTGGGGTCTATGGAAGTTTATTTACTGGTCTGCTACCATATAAACGAGGTTGGTTCCTTCGCGAATACCGCACGGACGCCATTTTACTTGTTGTTGCTCAGGTGGCGAATAGTAGTAATTCTGTGGCCGTTATGAGGGTGACATCTGATTTTTTTTATATGGCAAAAGTTGGGGTCCTTAATTATTTGAAAAGCCATGTCTGACATTCAACTTGGGGTCCCACAATCGCCAGACCATGTCAAAATGTTAAAAAGGCGATAAGTTAGGCCCAATACACGAGGGTTTCACCTCAAGGAAGGCACGAAATAAGGCTAATCGAACGCTGCTTTCTGGGCCGGACATGCAATAAGGTCTAAGGTTGTGCGTGGCGGGACTTTACAATTTTAAAATGTAAGTAACCAGGCACATAATACTGTCGTCTGTTCCATCGGTAAAATGAAATTACTTTAAACATTTTTGTGGCGGGACTTTAAAATGTAAATAAACCAGGCATAATAAAATCGTCTGCGGAAATAATGTTGGAACCTGACGCCACTTCCGCGCTTGTGTACAAAGTCTATGGAGAGTCAAGAATTTGTTTTAAATATTTCCTATCAAAATTGGAAATATTTCTTAGTCCTAGATTCATCTTATCATCATTTTTTTGCAACGAATGACCTTCATTGAGATGATATATGAAGAAAAAAGTGGCGTCAGGTTGCAATTCTTTCCCAGGGTACTCAATTCGTATTCACGTTCCCACCATCTTCAAATTGAAGTCTATAGCTAGCCACCAATGGACTCCATTTACTTCATTGGCTACGACTTGAAATTACACGTGTATATATAGCGGCTGCAGCCACTTACCATAGACTCACGTGTAATTTCAATTTATTTAAATCATATCCACCGAGGCACGCGTATATATTGCAACCACTCGTCGAGTCCATATCTCATAGAGTCTAAATTTCACACTACACAGGCAAAATGACCAAGGTCCACGAGCCGGCCCCATGATGGCTCGGATCGTGTGCACTTGCCATATGACCATAGGTTTTCACGTGTTCGTATATCAGTGTACATTAATGCGTAAAGCGAAACGAGGATTTAACGTACGTAGTTTTCGCGCAGTCCGAATCAAATCGAACCAATATTTTGTTGGTCTTTAAAAAAATTAAAAATGATGTGGGGAGTTAAGAGTGAAAACGGGCCAGACGGTTTTTAGGACACGCCTCATGGCCCAAGAATATGTGTGTCATGATTCTGTACCACTGGTCCATGGCTAAGGTTTCTTTCTATATTGGAGACACCCACCCCAAAGTTCTACCGTAATACTTACCTTGCTTCGCCTCCAGGATTAAGTGTGAGAGTCACAACGTTAACGTAACCGTAAACAAAAACAGACTCACATCAATCACACAGTGACTGTCGGTTTAAGCCCCAATCCGTAAACGTCCATTTTCAACCCCTGCTACTAATCACACCCCTAATGCTAGTCTTGGTTCCCAGCCGTCCTTAGTGGTTCGACGTTTGAGCGCGCACTGGTAGACTGGTTCCCTGTCCCTCCATTGTCCTTCGAACTTCAAATATGGGGACAGCAGGTAGCTAGAAGTAAATCCCGAATGCACTAGGAGCCGGAGGCTTTCCTCCTATGCAGAATCCCACTTCCTGAATTCAAAATCTCCCAAGGTAATGTTTACGCGGAACCAGCCTATTGCAAAATGAGCGTCGATTTTCGCTGAATTCGAAAGTGTCTTTGACAAATATCAATAAACAGAAGGGTTTGCTTTTCAGATTTTAAAACCTATGCAGTTGAAATGCTTGAAAGTTTCCTTCATATAGATTTTGCGTACTTTTACTGATAAAACAAGAGTCTTTTTTTTTTGATAACCATGTAAGTCTATATAATTCAAGTAGCCTACCTCCATGCACAAAAACTGAATGGTGATTCAAAAACAGACAATCATGCTTCGCGCGCAGAGTTCGCTCGTACCCCCCCCCCCCCCCCCCGCCCTGCAAACAGGACGCTGGGAAGGGCTGACGAATTAATGCTCTGATTGGATAGATTTTGCGTGACCTGTGACCTGTAAGTCATCACGACCACGACCCTGCAAGGTTTGAAACGGCCGTTAAGACTGGGTCATTCATCAAACTTTCAGTCCCATTCATAAATGCGGCGCCTTTTTTGGTTGAAAAGCATAACAATGTAGGAAAATCTGAAAAACTTATCTGTTTCAACTCCCGTCAGTTGCTCAGGCTCCGTTTCGAATTCACGACGGGTCGAAATGCATATCATTCGACGCTCAAAATTTGTCCACATCAGTCCGCAATGAAAAAGAAATCACATCCAGTATGGTGTGTATGCATTTCTATGGCAAACTTTTTCGGATAGTATTTGCGCGCATTGGCAAACCGTGGGTCTACAGCTGCAGAAAGATGCTTTATACATAGGTCATGACAAATAACCCAGAATGCCATCCCCACTTCCTTCACAAGATTCTGTGAAGCTCATCTGCCCTTCCCAGCGCCCTGTTTGCAGGGGGGGTATATGAGCGAACGCGCAGATATGATCCAGTCTATGGCTATATCTACCGGTCCCCATATTAAGGGGGGGGGGGTGCAACCTCGTCTCCAGTGATTACTTTATTTGCAAAGTCGTTTCCAATAGTAATCCCTATATACGAATTTTCTTCCTGTATCCTGATTCGATACCGCAGTTAAGAAATTCAATGATATCGTGAACTTGGTGTTGTTTTTCCCCAACGTGTATTACGTGTTTTCACGATCATTGCAATTATAACGTCCACGTCTTCTCAACCATACTTCTTTCTTTTCAAATGTGCTCATATTAATAAGGGAATAACAGTGTGAGGAGCCGGTCTTCACTGCGTGATAATGACCAGGTTTGGGGTGACCGCTGTTAATGGACCGAGACGAAGGTCCATTAACAGCGGTCACCCCCACACTCGGTCATTATCACGCAGTGAAGACCGGCTCCTCACACTGTTATTCCTTTTTAACGAAATAAATAGTTAAAATGCTCCAATTTTGTGACTTTCTTTCGGCGATATTTCCAGACTTTTTTGTGTTCATGTTCATGGGCCATATTTTAGCTTAACAGATATAACGACGTAAACTCAACAGAAACTGCTGCCGTAGCGAAACAAATTACAACACTGGAGTGGAGACGGCCAGCAGGCTTGCCACCCCATAGGCGTAGCCAGCGGGGGGGGGGGGGGGGGGGGGGGGGGGGGGGGGGGTATTAAACTCCCCCCCCCCCCAATATTTGTTAATAGTGCCCTTCTTTTTGTAAACAAGTGCCCTTTGTAAAAAATACGTTGTGTCTTGTTTTGGTTTCATAGGCCGGTACGTGTGCCTTTTCTTTACATTTCGCGCATGTATCGCCCTGAAAAGCACAATATATGCCCGTAGGTGTAATATAACCGTGGGTTTTGAACAGCGCCCCCACCGACTGATGGTACACGCCCCCCCCCCCCCCCCCGCACTCTATTTGATTTTACGGAGGCCAAGTGTCCGGAGAAAAAAACGTGTACACATTTCAGCACGGATTTTAACCCCCCCCCCCCCCCCCCCCCAATTAAAAAAGACCATACTACGCTCCTGCACCCTTATGGTGGACCGGAGGGATCAGTGGGGCAGTCGTATCGGAGCCCAGCTGTTGCCGACTTGATGATGATGATGTAAGAGAGCAGGTATAGTGGTGGGAGCGTACTGCTCGACACCATGGGTACGAGATTGGGATTTAGTGGGGTTGGTTTGAGCAGATCGTGGTGCAAATTATAATAGGGATTAACGGTCAATTAATTTGTTTTTTTCTTAAGTGCACATGAGTCTGAAACCGTCAAAGACACATTGGTCTTCTATTTCAATAGACTGATCTCCCCTCCCCCTAAAATATGGTGACCGGCAGCTAGTTCCCATTTTAAAGCCAATATTGATTAGATCATCTCGACGTAAGTGTGCACAGTATGACTTATTTATTTTTGAACTCGATGCTTTACATCTACAATCCCAGCCAAAATTGTTGGGACACTTGGAAATACATGTACATGTACTACCTAGCCCGACTGCGTCTGGCCGTACAGTACTATCGCAAGCTCTGTAGTACGGCCAGACGCCCAATGCTTCCACAGAGACTGAATTTTTTTGGCCGCTGATGTAGCGATTTTGCTACAGATTTCGATCGAGGTTATCTTTCCATCCAGGACAAAAATTTCCAAAGTTAAGGTTCTTAGTCGTAGAGCAACTCATACCTTTTCGAAAAAAAACGTTCTTTGGTTTCAATATTTTCATCCATCTGGCCAAAAGACGACTTTCAAAATGGCGGCCGCGCTGTAATGTATGCATTATGCGAGCGCGCTTGGGCAAGATAATGAATATGCATTATTTAGTTCATGACCTCGTGTTTGTATGGCCAGCCGCGCCGAGTGTCCGACAAACGTCTTTTCGAAAAGGTATGAGTTGCTCTACGACTAAGAACCTTAACTTTGGAAATTTGTGTCCTGGATGAAAAGATAATCTCGATCGAAATCTGTAGCAAAATCGCTACATCAGCGGCCAAAAAAATTCAGTCTCTGTGAAAGCATTGAGCGTCTGGCCGTACTACAGAGCTTGCGATAGTACTGTACGGCCAGACGCAGTCGGGCTAGTACTACCTTAAGCCCGGTTCATACTTCACGCGAAAGCAAGTGCGAAGCGAAATTCATGTCGTCAACAATGGTGGACGCGCTCCGAACGTATTGTTGACGTCACGAATTTCGCTTCGCTTTCGCGTGAAGTATGAACCGGGCTTTAGCCTCCCACAGTTACCCACTCCATCAATATGTTATTGTCTCCAGCTGATGGAGCACACACGACATTAAAAAATGTTCTGAAATTGAATAATTTCTCTCTGGATTGATTTACGTTTACCTTTAAAGGCTTACAAAAAAAGTCGTATTCCTTTGTCTCCCCCACCTAGTATTCCAATATTAGGGCCTAATTAATTAAAACGAAAATGTCAAAAAATAGCACTAATGATGTTACATTTCGACAATAAATCACGACTTTATTCACCCTTTCCAACGGCCCTGTCAAAAGGCGCTGGGTGACTGTAAATTACTTGCACAAAAACGTGTAACTGAAACGAGGGCGTCGCAAAGTATCGTAGATATGTCGCTTGCAATGAACAATATGCACAAACGGAAGTGCTGATCGAGGGTCATGGTCAGTTATATACAAACATGTTTGCAATTAGAGCTCAGTGAAACGGTGACTGCCGTGTTCCTACAACCCGCACATAAGATTGTGCTACTCCCGAATAGAGTTAGGGTTAGGGTTAAGAATAGGAATATGTGCAGTCGGAAAATAGGGGTGTCGGAACAAAGAGGTGTAACCCAGAGAAACAAAGGTCACCAGCGCCCTTGGAAAAGTGGTACTTGGGACGACTAAAACGAAGTTTATGTGCTGATAATTTATTTCAAGAAAGCGGGCTCCAGACTAGACTAGTCCCCCCATAAAATATTGGGACCTGTAGCTACTTCCGATTTAAAGCCATTGATTGGATCACCTCTGCGCGTGCGCAGCCTTAAAGAGCGCCATCTAGCGTCAAAAAAGTCCCCCGGCCCCACCTCCCGATTTTCACATGTGCAGCACTTGCGTATGCCTGGAAATTTTTGGGGATGTTGTTTGGGTCCACCCTTGGTGCCCCCTTATACAAGCTGGTATCCCATTCCCTTATTTTTTTACCTGGCTACGCCACTGCCTGGGCCGCGATTTTTTCCCAAAAAAGACATCCGTTTCCCATCTTCAAATTGGTCCATTATATGCCTTGCATCTAATGACTTGTTCTCCACAACACAAACCCAAAATAGGATTTTCGTCTTGTGAGAATTGTTACTTCCTCACTTAAGTTATTCAAAAGGTAACATGAGAAGAAGTGAAAAGCGCTCACTGGGGTTCGAACTCGGATCAACTTCTTCCATTAACTAGTCCAAAATCAGCTGTCAGTCGTCGGTGATGTATACATCATTATTCCTTGTTATATAACTTATTCTCTAAAGCCTTGGACATCATGAATATGCATAACGCAGAGAGAGGGCCGTCATTTGATATTTTCGGATCTCGTTTGGGGAAAAAAAGTAATTCGCGCCCGGGCCAGGACTTACCTCTCGTACCCCCGCCCTACAAACAGGGCCAGGGCGCTGGGAAGGGTAGTCTTTGCCATGACTGGGCTCCGTGGATAATGGGTTATCCTCAGACTATGGAAGGGCTGATGAGCTTCACAGAATCTTGTGAAGGAAGTAGGGATGGCTTTCCGGGTATAACTTATCACGACCTATATAAAGACATATAGCTGCAGCTGTTTAAGACTGCAGTGAGCTAATGCGCGCAAATACTATCCGAAAACTTTCTCATAGAAATGCATACATCCCATACCAGATGTTATTTGCGGACCATGTGGACAAATTTGAGCGTCGCAAAATATGCAATTTGACCCTTTGTGGATTCGAAACGGAGCCTGAACAGGTGTAGTCTGGGTATCACCCGTTATCTACGGAGCGCCGTCTCCTGTATAACGTCTGATATATCAAAGCATGCAGATTTGTGCGATCCTGCGCCTCAGCCAATCGGAGTCGACTTTACTAAATCGTGAGCGATTTAGTAAATGGGAGCGCTGTTCAAAACCTATATCATGGTTAATGGTAGACAATAACTACCTTGTATAGGCTGTTATGTACTTTTGAATTTTTGTTTGCTAAAGAATGAATTTTTGTCATATTTGGATAGAGTTTACCTTCCTGAGCCGGAAAGCCATTGCTAACATATTTTTCCATCTACTGTACGTGTGGCGACCATTTTGAAATTTCCAAGATAGCGGCTATCCACTGGGAGTACCCCTTCAACAATGATTTACTTGGGTTCCTTAGTATCAATAACATGGGGTTTGCCGCCCAAAATGGACTTCATACGACATTCAGGTGCAACCTTATTATTTAAATGAAATTCAAGATGGCGGCTATTTTGAAATATCCAATATGGCTGCCATCCATTGGGATGCCTCAATGTGTTAATTAGATTCATGGGTACCAACTTGATGGAGTTTGCCACCAAAATTGACTTCAGACGACATTCGAGTCGAAATTTAATATACAAATTAGTTCAAAATGGCGGCCATTCAGAAATCCAAGATGGCTGCTATCCATTGTGAGTACCCCGTCCACAATGATTTACTTGAGTTCATTCAAAAACATGCGTTTGTCAAATGGACTTCATACGACATTCAGATGCAATATGTTATTATGTAAATAAAATCCAAGATGGCGGCTATTTTGAAAAGTCCAAGATGGCTGCCATCCATCTGGGATACATCATCAGCAATGCGTTATTTGTATTACTTGTCATCAAATTCATGCGGTTTGCCACCAAAATTGACTTCGTACGACATTCGAGTCCAAATTATTATGCAAATAAGAAAAAAATGGCGGCTATTTTGAAATATCCAAGATGGCTGCCATCCATTTGGAGTACATCATAAACAATAATGTACTTCGGTTCCTTGGTATCAAAAACATGGGGTTTGCCACCAAAATGAACTTCATATGACAATCAGGTCCGAAGTTATTAAACAAACTAGGTCTGATGGTGGCCATTTTGAAATCCAAGATGGTCGCCACATGGTAGATGAAAAAAAATGTTACCAATGGATTTCCGGCTTAGGAATTTAAACAGCCGTTTAAAACCTTGCAGGGTCGTGGCCGTGATGACTGGCAGCTGGGGCCAGTTTCAAGGAGTTGCTGATGCAAAGTCTTTCTTGGCAAAAACAGGATTGCCAACCAAATTTCCATGTGATGTATATTGCTTATGATTGATATTCAGCTGTTGTTTGCTTAGCATGAAAATCACATGGAGTTTTTGCTGGTAACCTGCTTTTACTAAGCCAGACTTTTTTTGTGTGCTTAGCAGCTCCATGAAATTGGCCCCTGTCACACGTCACGCAAATTCTATCCAATCAGCCAGAGCGTAAATTCATCAGCCCTTCCCAGCGTCCTCAGTGTTTGCGGGGGGGGGGGGGGGGGGTTACGGGGTACAAGCGAAGGCCAGGACTAGTCTGGCTCCAATACCCCATTGTCATCTGGATTTCAAAATTGGGACAATACTAAGGGACATACGTTATTTTCAACCTAGTTTCCAGGTAGTAGTGGGAGCATACTGCTGGACTACAGGCCACTTTGGTACAGGGATATAACACGTTGCCTGGATCGACATATCAGGATCAAGAATTATCTAGTCTGATTCAAGATAATATTTAATAACTGCACACTTCAAAATAAACTGTCACACCAAATTTCAAATTCTTTTCAAATACCAAGATTAATGCACAACGATAACCACACTGACAAAAGTAATATAACTTATAAGTGGGCTTATGAAGCCCAATAGGGAACTTGCATTTTAGGTACAATCACTGAAAATCTACCTTAACAAGTTCAAACTTCATTTTTTCTAAGCATTGGGGTAATTTTTTACGTGGCGGCTCAGCGCGCAAAAAGAAATGGTTTAATTTGATGATTTTATGTTTCTACTTTGCATTTGGACAGATTAACAATTGAGCTACATCATTAGCAAACACTTTTCAAGAATTTGCATCATTCAGGGTGGGGCTACTCTTTCGAAAAAGTTGGGGAGGCAAACGACAAAAACAAACCAAGAAACCAGCTGTGACGGTGATATCGAATTAGCCGAGGTAGGCAGAACATGTCAAAATCAAATTGTAATAATTCCCTTCGGGAGGAAAACTGTTCTCTAAAAAAAAAGGTGGTAAATCTCTCCAACTGAAATTAGCAAACAAATAGCTTGATTGTGTTCCGTTGAAATTTCAGCTTATATAAATATGTCTTTTAAGAGGCGAATAACGACTTAAATATACGTGCATAGACCTAAATGGTTTCGTTTTTGGAGGGATTAATTGAGGTACCGTGGCGATTTCTAAGTTTTTTCCCCCCTTCTTTTTCTGTGGACGCATAAATTGTGAGTTTTATACAAGGTATTACAAACAAAATCTTGTCCTTTTTGGTACATTCTTCAGATCAGATTGTGGTTCAGTCCACTGTCGAAAGTCCTGTTGAATTTATTGGGAGCGCTATTTTTTTAAGCTCTTAAACAAAAAATAAGGAGCGCGGTAGGAGCACCTGCGCGATCGCGCTCCTCAAAAAGAATAGTCTGCTTATTTCATGGTCTGCAAATTAATACCAAATGGAGTGATTTTCATAGAAGACTAATTTTGCGTCTCATTTGTAGACAGTTTTGACGTTTAAAAAAGTTAGCACACAATACGTGCTGTTTGTACGTGTGCGTGTACAATAAATCACTTGGTAACCGTTTTGCATTATAGTAATGGTAAAAATTGCAATTCTTTCATTAGGAAAACTAAAAACAATTAATGACAATCCGTCCATAACTTTTGGACTTGTTACCTATTCACAGACAATCAACCAACCAACCAACCAACCAACCAACCAACAAACAAACAAACAAACAAACAAACCAACGCCGATAAAAACATAACAACTGCACATCTTATGCAAAGTTGTACGTTTACTACGCCCCTTTACTGCAAAATGGTGCAATTAAAGCTTTTGTATAGTTTAATCTCCGAATTTCTGAACTATGTAACTACATTTGGACAATTGAAAAGTTAAAAGATAACCTTAAAATAGGTATTTCTTTGTTTCTCATCATAAATTTACTACTTGCCAAAAATACTCTTTGGTGTGATAAAAATCCTATAAGAAGGGTTTTCAAAGATTGTACCTGAAATTGCATATGAAAGATGACTTAAGACAGTAAGCCCACTGACCACAACAAGCACTACTAATACTGCTATTTAATAAAGTAATACATAAGCACAATTTCATACTATACATTTATCTTGGTGTATTTCTTAAGAAGGTACAAGATAGTGATCTGTCAATTATGGGAACAGGAACTGAGATTTATCAAATAAGGAGAAAATATCATTCCCATGTTGAATTACAATCAGATACACTTGTCTGGATTATCAAAAAGCAATATGATATTAGGGATAACGTAGACCTGAAACTGATGCCATAATGATGTGACCGATCTGTTGGTGTATATGTAAGACCTCAAAGTCTCAAGTCAGTGTAAAAGAATTGAAGGAGCAGGTATTGGTCAATTATCAAGCATTCATGTCGGTAGGCTGACAAAATTACATACAACCACACATATTACCTAAAATGGGTCATAAAGTTCACAAAAATAGCATATCACACTGGTCATCATTGGCAGCATCAAGGTACAGAGTCATGTGCAATATACACGAAGAAAGCTCACTATAAAATACATAAATATTCATGTATAGTGCTTTTACTTTAAACTTTTGCTTTTTTATTTAATTCAAAATTATTGCTTTTACATTATGTTACTATTTACACTTACTACATGTAGGTTTGTGTTCAACAGATGTTTCATGTGACATGCTGAGGTTTATAGAAATCTTTAATGTGATTTCTAATAATGAACATGCAGTTTTCTCAATATGTAAATGTTGAACTTACTACGCTGAACATCAGTTGGGTAGTTCATAAACAAAAATGTGACGTTCCTTTTGCTCTTGGCCAGTTTCTGGCAGATTGTGTGGCTACAACGGTGACTTGGATGATCTAATTAAACAGAAAGCAGTTTAATGTGTGCACATGTCGGCCACAGAATTTAAACCGGATTTTTGCAAATACTGTTTCCATTAATGTCCATCAATCCATTTCATTAATTGGGTTATCCCATCCTTGCCATAATTTACTCATATTTCTGTGACTCTCTGCTTATGACGATCACCTTCACAAGTCTGTTTCAGACCGATACCTTTAAGAGCCCATAGGTCAAAGTCTAATCCACATCCGTCAAACTGGATCCTTTCCCCTTTGTAATTCGCCCATGTGCTGTGCTGGATGACTTCTTGTCCTGTAGAGATGAAGCCAATATGCAACATGTTAACCTTTCAAACTAATTCAGCCAGAGCCAGGCCAAAATGATCTGAATGGTCAAAGTGTGAATAAATCGGTCTGAGCAAAATTGGCTAATACATGTACAATGTACTTCAAAACTTAAAAGAAGATGCTTTTTCAGTCTAAACAGGTCGGGGGGGGGGGGGGGAGGGGGCCAAGGGCGGATCCAGAACACCATTTTTTTGGGGGGGCCAAAAATATGTTGGTCCCCCCAAAAAGTGGGTCAAAAACTTACGGCGTGGGGTTCAGGGCCCGCTTAAGGGCCCCGAAATTTGTTTGGATTCTAGATGCTCTGTGGTGCGATCTGAGGCAATTTCTGACCACTTTAACCAATGTTTTTTGAGGAAAAGATGGTGGTGTACTCATTGCCTGCCTTTATTGCGAAGTCACATAAAAAATAAAAAAAATTGGTTTCGTTTTGGGGGGGGGGGGGGGGCCATGGCCCCCTTTAGCCCCCCCCCCCTGGATCCGCCCTTGGAGGGGGCAGGTATCATAGGTCAGTGGCGGCGTTGTTCAAAACCGACGATTATGCACACCAACGGCTAATACATGGTGCTTTTCAGGGCGATACAGGTGCGCAATTCAGAAAAAGGCACCCAAAACGGCAGATGCCACAAAAAAGGGCAACACTTCTTTTCAAAAAAGGGCACTTGTTCAGGAAAAAAGGGCACTTCTTAAAAAAAAGGGCACTCTTTACAAATTATTACAGGGGGGGGGGGTAAGCCCGTAAAAAAAGGGCATTTGCATGGAAAAAGGCAGTCTTTACAAAATATTTGGGGTAAATACCCCCCCCCCCCCCCCCCCCCCCCCCGGCTACGCCTATGAAATGCACATGGTTCATCTCAGAGCCACCTGTCTTTAGATAGTAATTATACTCCACATGGTGATTCCACACACTTCCAGATCCGTAAATGCTGCACTTGTTTATTCCGGCCTGTTTTGTTAATAGACCATCTTGCATGAGCACAGTTGTATTTAAAGGGTGAAGATATTGCACTATTACCGTATTGCTTGTGCTGGATGTCACATCCACAGTCCCTGTGTATTTGCCCAGCTGCTTCTTGATGGACAGGTGGAAGGCGTGGCGCACTTCCCCATTCAAAAGACAACACACGATCACTAACCACAAGCCCTGAAAAATACAAAGGAAGCAAACTCCTCTTAAGATAGAGGCAGTGATTTATTCATTAAGCAGTAAATTGTATGCAGTAAAATAACAACATTTAAGGAAATATATAGTTACCAAAAAAAAAAGACTGTTCAGGAAATTTAATAAACCTAACAAACTGTTGCAAAATATCCTTAAAGGTGAAGTAGATCATTTGCAGCTACCCAAAAAGTGTTTGATGAAATTATTGTTGAAACGCTTAAAAACATAGCAATGGCAAAAAACTCACTATGAAATTATTCTTTCTGACAGAAACGCCTGTGTGGTTGCTATTATTCGTAGGTTCTGTGCATAACATCGCGTATTTACCATCAGCTGAATGAGAACGTGTCCTAGATACTGATTTCGAGCCCAATTCAAAACATCACTCTGCAAGTTTTGAAATGAAATTGAGATCCCAGAATATTGTTTCTCGGAATATACAACATTCTCCAAGCTAATATTTCATCAGGTTAGTTGTTAGGCACCTGTCTTAAGATTTTGAGCACTTTTGTTGCTTCAAACAAACAAAATTTCACAACTTACAAATGATCTACCCTACCTTTAAATAAACTGCCAAATGCCCAGTGGTTTAGTTTGTAAAGATACTTTTTCCCCTACAAAAGAACAACTGATCAAAAAGTATATTACAAGAATTATGGGTTTTGTGCAAAGGTAATTACCTCTAGCGGTCAAAATGAAGCGAAAAATAAATAATATTTTTTAAAAAAAAGGAGAAAGAGAGAGTAATTCATCCTGGTCATTTGGTGTTGTGAATGTTTGGTGTTGTGAATGTTTGGTGTTGTGAATGTTGTGAACGTTTACCAGTGTTCTAGTACATTAAATACCGTCTCGACATGGGCAATTGCAATTAACAAACCACCAAATTACCCTCCTTTGGCTTAGTGATTGACATAATGATGTCCTTAAAAGCTATTGTTGCGGTATAAAGTGATTTAAGTTAATTCTATTTGTAATCAACAGTACACAGACACTGTAGCTTGGACTGAGCTTGAAGAAACAGAGAGTGTGAAATCATTGCATAAATTATCAATTAATAAAAGAGAGGAGAAAGCCCCTCACTGATTTCTAGGGAAAATCAGTGGAATCAAGGCAGAGATGGAAAACTTGATCCACTTAAGCAAAGTTGTGTTCTTTTTACCCAGTTCCTAACAACGGAATACCACAAAAGCAGTTGAGTCATTTTGTTCTTTGGCAAAATGCTATGATGATGACAGTGTAAGTTTTGAAACGCTTTAAAAGAATGATGATTATACCTGAAAGCTGTTCATGATAACAAAGATGTACTCAAAGATAGTGTGGATGTGAGTGATGACACCGATGGTCCAAGTGATTCCAAGCATGGGTAGCAACACAAGGGAGCTACGCAATCCAGTCCTAAGAAAACAATCATACATCAAAGATCAACAGTTTGTGTTATCACATGGTCAATTGCATGTGTATATGTACTGCTTGTGGAAATGTTAACTAACTGCGTGGCCGTGTATCTGCCTGCACTTAACCTGCTGGAATTCCATTTTAACCTGAGATATGTTTGGATATCTAGAGAGATTTCTACTGTTGCACAGAAATTAACACCAATATTCAACACTTTGAATGTTTTCCATGTTTCTGGTATTCAGATGATTCAAACAATTCAAGTATGATTCAAGAAAAGCATGATATGACTTGACATGTTCATTAATAAACATCTGTCAATCATACGTATATTTGGCCAATCAGGAAAAGACTCAGGAGGTATTTTAAATGGTCAAACTAGACCGAGTTAGCCCACAATTATATTCCTCAGCATTTGGACTTACTTAACTTTGGTCAAACTATCCTGACTGCACACCTTGGAGGCCATCACTGTCGTCTTGATTACCAATGCCAACACCACAAAATTCACCTTCAAAAGAACAAAACAACTTGTTATAATGGTCAATAATAGATCAATGCTGTTGACTAATCATAGCCGTGATTGTGCAGCCAATGTCCGACATCAAACTGACATGTATGTACTTTACACTGCTGAAACAGATGGAGATGCACATATTGTTGCACTCATGTGCACTAGGAGGGGCTAGTTCATTGGAGTAGATCGAGGCTTGAACCTTGCCTTGAAATCGTTCTGTTCAAACGTCTATATACTACAAGTACTTTAGAGCAGACCACTTTTGGAAAAGCAGTACAACGTTCATATCCTCAATAGCCTGGAAAAACTGCACCAGATGTAGGAAAAGAGGCCCTATCTATGAACATCTTCATCCCTTAAAAATTCATTAAAAGTCCATTTCTCTGTGAAAAGAATCTTTAAGAGATGTTTCATGGACATTTACATGGGGCTTATATAGGACTAATCCTGTAAGGGAATTTTCACTTTTTTTAATGACCCTGGCCACTGAGGATTATCATTGGTTATACATAACGGTGCACTGGGTCTATTTCCATGGGTAAACAAAGGACTTCTTAAGGGTGTTTTCACAGACTCCTAATCTTGCTTAATATGTTGAAAAATCCGTGAAAATTTAGTTAAATGTCATTTCAAGGGAAAATGGCTCTTTAATGAATTTTTAAGGGATGAAGATGCAGACACTTGTTCATGCCCCTCACTATGACCTCTGTGCATGAACATTGGATGGTCCTTCATCATCAATCTGCAGCCGATTTTACAAACCTTTACACAATGGTGTAACTCCACTTGCACCACAGTTTATTGCGTAAGTTGTGCAACATTTTAATTAACACACATTTCACGAAAGATTAATAGTGAGTAAGGGGGAGGGAAGACCGGACACCATCTTCCAATAGGAGACGCTGGTCGCAGGGGATGATCATGGACACTAGAGGATAATAGGAGGCACTACACCTCATACCAACAAATTTGCCAACAGATGTAGGATTTTGCCGACAGACAGACAAGTTTGCCAACAAAATTTAATAGTGGGGGGATATGCCACACCCACATCCCCTATAGCAATGCATGTGACTCGACCCTAATCAACCACACTAATCCTTATCTGTGAAATAAGAACAAGTATACCCCATGAGCTTATAAAACAAATGGATCCAGGAAAATGCTCTTACCAGCATGATAGCACAAGCTGGGCCAACAAATGCCCAAATTAAGCCATTCACAGGATTCAACCAACATCTGGAGAAGAAAAACAAAACAAACAAACACCTTATAGTTCAATGATATAAAAACATACATAGGGATTAAAAGGTATCCATCACGCTACACTAGTTATGAAGCAGACATTTATCAGTCTTATGTTGTCAAGTTAATTACATTATTAAGTTACAAATTTTAAATCACTAATCAATTCACAAGTCCAGTCATTGTGGAACAGGCCAGGAACAATAGCAAAGGAATGCTTTTGTAACAGAATAAACAGGGAACCCACAAAAGTAACCCACACACGAAGGGATAATATAAAAAAACCATTAATAAACAAACCATTAACTTACTGATCTTTATTAAGGTTTTATGAATAACTTAAAGAGGTTGTGGAATGCTCGAAGACATTTCCGTCATTTTTCGGGTATATGTAGCCTAAGGTGTGATGAAATAAAACCACTATTGTTTCTGTCATGAAATGAATACAAAAGGTACTTTTGAGAGCTGTTTTTCAGGTCCTGTTTCCACCTGAACGTGCAATTGTGTAAAAGTCATCGTTGGGAGCAGCAAACAAAACATAGTAAATCGTGACGTAATAAACAGGACTCCCTATGCAGCATAGTATAGACGAGTCCTGTTTATTACGTCACAATTTTTCTGATTTTACGAAGAACCCGACGACTGTTGATTTCAATTATGCGCTCGCTGACCAACAAATTACTCGATGAATTTCAGTTTAATAAACATATAAACGCACATTACAAAAGAATGGGAGTTTGTCATTATGATATATATGGGTCTACTCCACAATAAAAAAAATATAAAAAACAAAACCACTTTCAGCATTCCACAACCTCTTTAAGCTTTCCATTGATATCTTGGATGCACTGCTTTGTACCTGCCAATGATGTGGAAGATACATGTTCCATTGATTGATGTTTGAAATGCAACTGGCGCTGCAGCTCAAGATCATCAATTGATGGAAATTATGTTTTGTTCATGTTTTTGTTGAATACCTTGTGAAGCGATACCCCAGTTTATGTTAAAATTAATAGCGGTGGTCATTAAGTACATAGCTTGTTAATATAATCTCTTTGTTTGGGGTTACCTTTTTGGGGGGGGGGTAGACACCCTGCATTTTTTTACTTGACTTGAGACTGGGTGACTTGTGATTGACCTGTGATGGATTGTTGAAAATTTGTGGAAACTTTACAACACTGCTCATACGTAAATGTATGGAAGTGTAGATAGGACATGGTTAAAAATAAATCTAATTCGTACGAACGAATTACTAAACCGTACGTACGAATTACTAATTCGTACGTACGAATCACTAATTCGTACGTACAAATTACTAATTCGTACGTACGAATTACTAAACCGTACGTACGAATTACTAATTCGTACGTACGAATTACTAAACCGTACGTACGAATTACTAAATCGTATGTACAAATTAATAAACCGTACGTACGAATTAATAAACAGTACGTACGAAATACCAATCCGTACGTACGAAATACCAATTCGGCGCTGTCGTCATGTAGTTACTCCTGGACCATATTAGTAACAGTGCTTCTGACTTAAAGGGAAAATACAACAATTGTAAACATAAAAAAAACACGAAATGATCAAATTATCACGAAATACCTTACAGAATTATTAGGGACTGACAGTCAAAAGCATCCTTTTAAATCGTGGCTCCTGGTGTGCTGACATTTTCAAGAAAAAATGTATTTTTCCAACGCTGGTCGGCCGACCAGCGTTGGAGAAAATGGGCTTTTTTTCAGAAACTGTTCTTAATAATTTTTCAAATTTAGTTATTCTGACTTTTTTTGCAATTGATCACACACCTGTGAAGGGGTGCAAGCCTGCTAGACTGATTCTCTGACCTTAAAATTCCCCAAAGTGTATTAATTGCATCGTTTCATGTTAAGTGGGGTCAGGAAACCAGACTTCAAGAACATGATAGGTTTTCTTGGTTTTTCCAGCATCTACAAGCCCAAAACATGAAACAAGTCAGTTTAACAATATTTTATATAACATACTAGTCCTCCAAATCAATTAATTTCTGAAAATTGCAGCAAAAGCAAATGATGTACATTCACTTTAAGTTAGACCGATATGAAAGTTAGTCCTCAGATTTATCAAAAATCGGCCAAATTTCCCAGAAGTGCTAAAAATACACTATAAACACTTAAAATCAAATGCAGATTGGTAGTATTTCCTTAATCATTATTATGTAATTCAATTTACATAATAATCAATCTAGTCACATAAACATGTGAAATTATTGTTAAATTTCGAGCAAAACGCGGATCCGGCCACGATGAAGTCTGTTTCCCAGTGAACCTCAGCACCTAGACCAGCCAACCTGTCCCATTATGCAAGGGTTTGTTTTTAAAACAAATGTACACTTTTTGGTTCAAATTTGCCGTTTTTCTGTCAAATAACCATTTTTGCAGAATTCTGTCAGAAATCTGCCAAAAAATCCATTCTGTCAAATTTTAGTAATCCGTACGTACTAAGTAGTATTTCGTACGTACGGTTTATTAATTCGTACGTACGATTTATTAATTCGTACGTACGATTTATTAATTCGTACGTACAGTTTATTAATTCGTACGTACGATTTAGTAATTCGTACGTACGGTTGAGTAATTCGTACGTACGAATTAGATTTATTTTTAACCATGTCCTATCTACACTTCCATATAAATGGCTGGCAAGTTCAGATACACTTTGGCTTTGTCTGACTTACACTTGATCAGGCACTCCGTAATCTGTCCATTTGACACCTGCAGATATTGCCACAATCACCATCGGCAACACTGCAAACAAATTGAAATACTATATAGTCGAATAAAGCATTGAAAGAGCAAATGGCACATACATAGCAAAACTCAGTCTAACTTTGAGTGCGTTCAAACTCATGCAAGTGCGACAGCATTCGATTTACCTCTCATGTGACTTCTCGCGCTTACTCGAGTCTGGCCCAAGTAACCGACTTGCCGAGCCGGTTACTTGGGTAAGTATCCCATAAGGCCAAACATGGCTGCCAACGTCACGTCCGGCGGGCGCCTCATTGAGCCCGTATCCAAAGCGGGCTTCCAGAGCTACAGCTACATCTATTGCCAGCGCGTCCCCGCGTATTTTTAATGGGCCTGGCCCTAGACCTAGCTCTAGAGATGTGATGCAGCCTGTGTCATGTCAAAGTCCAACTTTCCAGCCCTTGCACGAAAACTTTACCCAAAACCGTTTGTTTATTTAGCTCCACTGCGCATGTCTGTCATCACGCGAGGAGCCAGGCGCGAGTATAAAGCTGGGGGAAGTAATCAAACGCACTCAACATAAGTGCGACAGACTTTAAAAAGACTCTTATAAACCAGCCCGGGCACGCTATGAATTCCATCATGAAGGTCCCTTTCAATAGAAAAAGAATTGTGCTAGCTATTGGTCAGATAATCAGCTAAGAGGCAGTTGCTATGTATAATAGCATGCACAGTTGTTTCTCCACTGCTATTTAAGAGGTTCCTAAGGCCCTAGCTTACGCCTCCCTTTATTGGTCAATTTACCAGAACCCACCGTACCACGAAATAAGGGCCTCGTTGATGGGTCACTGATAAATGATGACATGATTAACTACTTAGCGTTTTTGAAACCAACAACAGAGAAAACCCAACCATTGAAAGTGCAATTTTAGTGAAAACTGATCCACCCATTCACTGTGGATTTTTATTGTGAGTTTTCAAACATGATAATCTCCAAGGCTTTTTGGTCCACTTGTAATGTCATATAATATGTAAGAGGGTGGAAATATTCATCACAACCAGCCATGTTTGTGTTCAGATTTGACCCATGAAATGTTTAATTCCCTGGTCCCTTAAAGCCAGAGTCCATCATTTGCAGCTATCCAAAAGTGACTGGCGTAATTATTGATGAAAAAGATACTTGGTTGAAAGATAGTAAGGAGACTAAACTCCCTGTAAAATAACTCCTTCTGGCAAGCTGTTAATTTGAAGAAATCAACGAAAGAAGGCCTTTCCAACGGTGCGTCCTAAGAAGCACCGTTGGAAATTTCCGATAGTAGTTCCTTTTTTTATTCAGCGAAGCGCGCAAGCGGTGACACGACGCACACGCGCACCCGGTTGATATCGCGTAGCTGCAATCGGCTCAGTGAGAAAGTGTCTAGGACGCTGAATTCAGGCCCAATTCAAAACATGATTCAGCAACTTTTGATTTGAAATCGCGATCTTAGAATGTTGTTTTTCTCGAAATATATAGCTGAAGCTGAGCTGAAACTTCATCGGGTTAGTTGTTCAGCACCCTTCTTTAGATTTTGAGCACTTTTGTTGCTTCAAACGAACAAAATGCACAAATTACAAATGATGGACTATACCTTTAATTGAAAGCTTACTGATTAAACACACAATATGTTGTTGATGGCATGTAACGTATACAAGTGTGAGTGTGTCTGTGCAATATACATTTATGGTAGTATGTACGGTCATGCATGAGTCTGAAACATGAGTCTGGGAACAATCAGAAAGGGGGGAGGGGCACATTATTCCAAGAAAGTTAACCACAAAAAATGAGCAAAACATGGAAAACACAATCTAGTTATTTCTAACATTATAAAGGCGGAGTAATATAAAACAAAATTACATTTCTAACATTTGATTGCAGATACCCCTTTAAAACAGTATAAAATAGACGTATAAAATACGGACTGAGCATTTGCAAAGGTAATATTTGACAATTTCCTCACCCCATCCTATGCAGTAGTAGACCTTGGCCATTTGTTTCTCACTGCCATATACGGTGACAATAAGGCGGTACAGATGAATGCCCTCCACTAGCATCCAACAAAACACAGCCAGGTACAGATAATGCTGTAACACTGCAACTATTTTGCATGGTATCTACAGTAACAGCATAACAACAAGAGGAAAGAAATTCATGTATCATACACTTTAGATTTTGTAACTTTCCTTTCAAGATCTAGCACAATGAATAAGCCTAAATGTTGGACAACATGCCAATGGCTCTTGAAGCAAGCTCTCAATAACTGTCTATCTTCATCAGATAGTCAGGATATGAACAAAGCTGTGCCCAGTTCAGTTTTTGATGTTGATGCCAACATTTCTTGTTTATTAATGTATGTACAGTGTAGAGTTTGTCTTGAATGACATTTGTTTACAGAACAATTCTTGATCTGCATAAACATGACAAATTGATACCTCCTGAAATATGGGTGGTTTAAAGGTGTTGACATTAGAACTGTGAGTATAACATGAGAACGATGCTTATTAGGATTGTTTTGCCCGCCAACTGCCCATGTAGTTGATATATGGTCTAAAAGAATGAAGTCAGACGTTACAAGTGCTCTGAACAAAGCTGTTTCCAGTTCAGGTTTTTTTTTCAAACTAACTGTGGCATCATTGGTTAAAATGTTTGGTTCAGAATGCACGGTGTAAGTAAAAATGTAGCAATCAAAATACTTTATTTTTATTTGTTGCACTTAGTTGGCATCACAGGTCATGGTTGCTCGAATACAAACACGCAAAATAATCTATCCTGCTAGACATAAAGTAGCAATATATTTGGTCCAAGTATTTGTATGGTTTGGATACATATTCATCATTGTATAAATGGAGAATGCTGAGTATATATGAAAGCAAACTATGGCTGAAGACCTGTGTTGATGATATAACTTTTTTCTCACCAGTTCATTGGTCAGGTACAAACCAATCATAAATGTCACCATGGCAACCAGGAGAGCTCCCATCAGATTGCGGTGAATAAGAATACGCTCAGTATCCAAGGTGTTGTGCCTGTAGGGAACCATTCATGAATTGACATGTGAAACGTTAAAATATAGAAATCATGTATTTGGATACTGAAGTTGTAGTCTCTTTTAATTCTAAATAAACTCTACACTCTACACCAGTACAGGAGTCAACCCCACTGGTGACTGGGAAATAATTCAACACTCTATAAATCAGCAAGCTTTACCGGATTTGTTATGTTATGCAACTTGAAACAGGTCCTTCAATGTTTTGAAACATTTGCCTGAAGGAACATTATAGAAGCAAAATTAGTTGAAGCATGGTAATATCATACAGTACACAAGACACCAGGAATATTGACTGAATATGAATGATTTGGATCACATTCAGATTGGAAAGAAGCTTGAGTGCAGAGTCTGCAGACACCGACCATCACATGAGGACCAGTTCACTCATACCTGACGAATTGTAATCAAAGTATTCTGTTTTTTATCTTATCCACACTGGTTTCATATATTCTTTCAATGATATCAGGAATAAAAAAAAACATATCTTTTCTGTTTCATTGTCAACTTTCTGTCTTCTTCTGACTTTTTTAGGAGTTAGAAATGTTTGGAAAGATTTGGTGTGTTTTCTGAACTTTCAGGGACTTACATATTATTTTCAACATGTAGTGAATTTGTTTTAATGTAATAAAAAAATTGTATGCAAATTCTGGACCCTTTTTTTGTGTGTAGCAGGTACTTGCAACCCTGACTGTACTTTACTTCCTTTAATGGGAGAGCCCATTATTACTGCATGCCGCATAGTTTAATCATGGTGCTATCAGGCCCGCATTAAGTGTTTTGTTAGTCCAGATTCTGGACGTTTTTGTTTTGTTTTGGGGTGTTTTTTTTGTCACAGACCCAGTAGGGCACCCTCTCCACAAACACACGCCTGGAGAAAAAACTGTTTTCGGGTGTGAGAGTCTGCTGTATGTATGCGCGTGCAGTGGCTCGGGTCGGGCGCATGTGGGGGCGCACGCTCGATTGATCGCACGAGAACAGTCCAGGCAGTGGACTAGTGTTTTGTAGGCCCTAGGCACCATTGTACAAAGCGCTGTGCAAATCAAGCCAGGCCAAACTGGTATAGGTCCTAGCTCTCCCTAAAAGGCTGTCGGCACCAAGGGCGTCAATCACTTCTCAAAAAAAAATCACCTGCATGATCGTGCCCATGACAAAATGATGGCCCTGGCTAGAACATAACACTGCTGATCTGGGCAAATAAAGTGTATCAGTTCACCAGTTAAGTCAAGAATTGAACTGTGCTGTCATTTCCTTATTGAAGAATTACTGTATTTTTTCATTGAGATTGCTATAGAGACTGTGGTTGGACAAATGCAGCCTTGATGGTGGTAATAGTAATCACCCTGGATTGGACATTTGGGAGACATCCCCATAGATTTGTGCACAACTTTTTCAAACTTAAATGTGCCATAACCCATCGTGCGAAGATATTATGATAACATGTCTCCTTAATGGTACCTTTACACGTATTATTATTATTATAGTAATAATAATGACCTATATGTCCACCTGTCTGCAACACTCGGACACAGAGAAGTAGTCAGCGTGGGTGAAGAGGGTAATTTGCACAGTAACATACGACAGTGTGCATGATCATCAGATCTGAAAAGCGCCCCCATTGAAAGATGGTACCAGAGCCCCCCCCCCCCCCCCCCCCCCCCCCCACTTTTTGATTTTACGGAGGCCAAGCGTCTGGATAAAAAAAATATGTCTACATTTTCAGCATTGATTCGCTGATTTTAAAGAATGAAATGGGCCTGCCCCCCCCCCCCCAGTAAATTAAAAGACTCTTTGTTAACCAATGTCAATTCTGCTAAAAACAAAATTGCAGGCCCATCATGGTGACATTCATGGTGACATTCATTCACCAATAGTCCCACAACAAACCCTCCTCTCAAGAGGTGCATACCTATGTTACCCAATACCGATGTTCCCCGAAATCCTTACCATATATCCCTAGCCCTAACCCTAACCCTAACCCTAAGGATTTCGGGGAACATCGGTATTGGGGAACATAGGTATTGGGGAACATCGGGTACATCCCCCTCTCAAGGGCGGACCCAGGACCCAATTATTGTAATATTAAAACTACATGTAAAAGATATGTGTAGCTGATAATGTGCAAGGGAGATATTCAACGATGTAATTTACTTCCGGAAACTGTAACAATTTTCAGGGGGGGGGGGCAATTGCCCACTTTACCATGAACCCCCTTCTCCCCTCGATAAAAACAAACTGTCTTACATTTTGGAAAACGCAATGAACGTGCAGGCTGTGTCTTATTTTAACTTTCTATTAAGGCATTTAGTTGAGTACAGTCTGTGGTTTCCATTGTGAGTACATTTTTTTGCATAATAAAGAAGTATTTTTGGCCCAACTCAAGCTTGCTAGATGTATATTCCTTCACTAATTCACACAAATAAATATCACAAAATACACTTACTTAAAGAAAATGAAGAATGCAAGAGCCATGAGCAGAGCCATTATGGATATGATGCAACCAATTATGGTCAGGACATCCAGAATCTTGTTGGACACGTTGGACACAGTGTCAGTTGGCTGTATGCAATCAAGAAAAAAAAAGGAGTAATCTTTTTACCAATGATGGACTGAAAATTTAGAAAGGAACTACAACATATATAAGAAACTGAACTCTTCTGAGAATCTGATTTCACATTTTATTTATACTTTGAAAGAGTCACGGGCAAACAATGTCCTGCGGTGAACTCTATGCAACTGAACTGTGACAAGGCATTTTAAGGCACTAGTAAATCACCTATTATCAAAACTGACTTGGAATGGGGTACGTAGACATTCAAAGAAATTATGTAAACCTTTCAGTATAGGCTGTAACAAATTCTATATTGATTAGTTTATAAACCAGTAAACATGCCTATTCAAATATGTGGCATATCATTTGCTAGAAGCGAAAGAGTTGAAAATGTATACTGGCCATTTTCCTTCAAATTGAAAAACAATCTGCAATCTGGCAGGGGAAAAACATGTTCCCACCCTTAATACTTTGATAATTAATCAAAAGTTGTACACAAACTATATACATGTAACATATGCATGCCCAAAACCACAAAACATTTCGACCCTATGCACAGATTTGTCTGGGATCACAAATATATGGAACAGTGGTGCACCCCGGAATTGTCATTTGTAGGGGCTCAAAAGTGTTTTTTCAAACAGCCATGCCTCGGCGGAGGAAGAAGTGGGGAATGGATCTACCTTTAAGCTGGGGGTGCTACTCAGGTATATGTACTTTTAACTCCCTTTCTAACAGTTTTATGCAAATGTTTAATTTAAAATGTTTGATTTCACCAACTGATGCTGCACATCATTTTGGCGTCATGTAGGCCCTACATATACTAGCTTAAGGCCTCTTTTCTTTTTGTTAATCCTTTTTTACCCACCCCTTTTTGTTTTAGTTTTGGTATTGGGGGGCCAGGGGCTCAAGTCCCCCGAGCCACACACCACCCCTGCCCATTGAGTGCCCGATACATGTGTCTGTTGGCATGGAAAACAAATATGAAATAATTTAATAAATGAAAGTGAAAGATTCAGTAAATTAACATTTATGGGTGTTTGTGTGGTGACAGCTCAATTGTTCAAAGGTTCGATTGCCTGAAAGTTGGTTAGTCCAAGGGTTCATTAGTCCAAAGGTTCGATAATCTGAAGGGCTAATTAATTAAAAAGAAGCATAAGGTACAATAATCTGAAGGTTTGATAGTCCGAATAGACGATTAAGTTCAATAGTCTGAATCGACTATAAGGTGCATACAGTCCGAATTAACAGCATTGAACATTATTGTAAATTTGGACTATTGAACCCAGTGTGGTTTCAGATTAATCATGGAGCTACAAGGATTAATGAACCTTAGGACTATTGAACCTTGTTTTCGTTTCTGACTATTGAACCTTCGGACTATTGCATTAAATACTCAGATTAACAAACCTGATTTCATTTTTGGACTAATGGGCAATTTATATGTTCCAATTATCGAACCATCGGATCAATAAACCTTTAGATTGTCTAGCTTCAGACTTTCGGGCAAACCCCGTCTGTGTGACATAAAAGCTTGCGAAAGGCATTTCAGAAGTTGCAAAAGTGCACAGAGTGTGGCAGATTAACTCTTAAGTTTAAGTTCAGGTTTGGTTTGGCAGGGTTCAGTCTGTGCATAAATGGGGTGAAGAAGATTGTGGGGTGAACTTTGTTACATAAAACGTGTATTTACAAATACATTTTGCAGTGTTGTAGTCGAGACCGGATAGTCCGAGACCGAGACCAAGACCGAGACCTGAAGTTGCGAGACCGAGACCGAGACCGAGACCAGCCCCTTCAAGGCGGACCGAGACCGAGACCGAGACCGAGACCGAGACCGAGACCGCGGATAATAAATAACAATAATCTAAATAAACAACAAGACACTAATTACAGCTGAACAGTCTGTCCTTGAGATGTTGATGTTCATGGGGATGTGAAGGAAGTGGTTGAAAGTTAGGAATCACTTGTACCTGCTTAATTGTGTCATGCGAGTGCTCTTCGTGTTTGCTTCATGCCATAAATTACAACATGGCAACAGAATTTGTTATTGTCACAATCAATTAAAAAAATTGGAAACAACCTAATTTAAAGAAGGGGAAAACCTTATTTGATGAACTCCATATATGTTTGCCACTTTAAAAAAATTTTTTTTTTTTAAATTGTTTAACTACTATAAAGTGTAAATCTGATGAAGAAACTCTAACTTAGGAGTACGACAATTTGTACTAGTTTTTGCAAAACTTGAACATGTTGAAACTTGACAAAAGTAAAAAGTTAAAGGTGGATGTTTCATCTGTTATAGGAACTTGGACCCTAAACTCCATAGCCACCCCTTGGTTTCAGCAATGACCACTAACGGATATTTAAATGCAACTTTAATTTTACATTGGACCTCCTTGTAAACCCGATTCGAAAAAAATTTGGAGCAAGAAAATATTGATTTATTTTTTAAAATTTCAGTCATGGAATATAGATTTGTACATGTAGACCAACAAATTGAGAGATGGTAGCCAGATATGGATTGGTCTGCCCCCCCCCATCCCTCTTTGTGATTCTCCTTCCAACCCTGCATGTTTGTGTGTCCCCTACATGTTTGTTTCTTGTTCCTCTGTCATTTACCTCTGAAGAAGGCCTGGCTAAGGCTGAAATGTAATGCCACTTTATATTTGTTTAATGTCAATAACGTTACATATACTATAGAAGATTGATGAACCATATTTGCCTGATCTATCTTCTGTTTATCTGCCCGCCGTCATCATCGTCATTAGCCTAATTGAGAATATGGCCGACACAATAGAAGGGCGCTGTCACAAACTGAATGTGGTGGGCGAGATGTACTTTTAGGATTCATGGCTCAGTGCGCACGCCTCTCTGTGTTTTGTACCGTGCCATCGTATCGCCCGCATCAGCTACTTTGCTGGGCAATTTACTTGAATATTTTAGTGATAAACAAGTACGACATATTGCCAATATATTAATAGTTTATTGTGATGGCCGTAAACAGCATATAGCGATTAATGGAACACAGTTCTTTTCGACTCATGCAAATGCAATTGACATTTAGGAAGGAGACAAGGCAGGCAATTAGACTTTATTTTTGTGTGACTATGGCAGTAGCTCAATTTGTGTTTATCACAGATGAAAAGATGAATACATGGCGAGTCAAAAAGAAAGTGACAGTATGATAAAAAAATATATGGCATGCTCCATTTCGTAAAAAATATAATTGGGATAAAGAACATGTCAGTATTGAGTAGTAACTGTGAACATTTCACGTAATTTGCATACTCTATTCCCAAGTCGTGTCTATTTTAATAAAGAGATCACAAAATTCAGCTGTCCACCACTAATACCAATTTAACAGTCTACGAATTGATAAATATCTATTAATAAATATAATGGAAAAAAAACAACGTTTTTCCGCCTCCACTAATAAAGGAAAAATTCTAGGGAAAAAGAGTTGAATTGTTCCCATATTCAAAATACAAAATCTGACGGTAAAAATAATGTTTCAGTCTTGATTCATAAGATTTAAATCTCAGTTGTATTTGGAATCAATGAGGATGGCTATAAAGTGCTTGTTTCAACAGATCATCCCACAATAAAAACGAGAAATAAGAAGAGGAGCAATGGTTATTGGACTATGCCTCACTCACTAGAAAGTGGAGAGAGACATGTCCATTAGCATCACACTGCTGTCACATTTGCCCTCAACTGATTCTTTACTTAACCCTAAAAGGGCCGGGGGCGGAATCCGCCCCCCTCACTTTTTGGCTGGTCTCGACTCGAGACAAGCCAAAATATCGAGACCAAAGGGGACCGAGACCGAGACCAAGACCGAGACCACAGCTCCCGAGACCGAGACCGAGACCGAGACCGGCAAAAAGTGGTCTCGAGACCACCCCGAGACCGAGACCGGTCTCGAGACCTACAACGCTGACATTTTGAGGTGCAGCAGGTTTGCTTCCGTTAAAACTTGTTTTGAAGTACTTGTGCACCACAGATTTATCATTACCAAATAGTTGTGCATAGCTGGTGTAGTGCGTCTAGTAAAAGTTTGTGATGTATATTTAGTGCACATCATCTTTTAAAATAAATATTCTATGGAGTTCATTAAAAGTGTGTGCATGGGCATTGTTGTCACTACAAGGCCCTCTGAACAAAAGAAGTTCACATGATGCAGGAGCATAAGACATTATATGGACTTTTAGGTCCTCATCACAATCTCACAGGCATTTTTGGATTAGGACTACGGTATGTGTTGCAAAATGAAGTAGAACATTCACAAAAACACTGTCAAAAATGCAATTTCAAGGAGTGTTTACATAGCAAGTATATTTGGGACAATCCCAACTACAGTTGGGACCACTGCTACAGTTTATGGAGCGCCAAAAGTCAACAACTGCATTTCCCCATTATAATCTGCTAGCAGGATTTTAGGTTTTTAGAAATAGCAACACCAGTTTTAACAAAACCTCCAGTTTCTGCTAGCAGAAATTTGGATTTTAGTTTGACAACATCTCAGCACGTCAAAAATGGACAATTAAAAATCTAAAAATTTTAATAGCAAAAATTATGATGCTCCAAAAGCGAAAACCCCCTTTCCCAATTCCTACTTGCAGAAATTTAGATTTAGATTTAGACTTTCTTCATGCCAAAACTAAAAATCCATGATTTCTGTTTACAAATATTCAGATTGAATTTTTGTAGCAACCAAAATCTCTGATTGTTTGCTAGCAGAAATTTGTTTGTGAACCAAAAGTGAACTTAGGTGCAACTTTTTGGCAGATGTAACACCGCAACCCCTCCGTATAAAATTGAACAGTCTACCTTTGTAGCATACTAATCGCTATAGTTTCTGACTCAGCTTTACATGTATGTCACTATGAGCATCTTGATATTCTGTTGTGACTGGCCATTTCCTGAAATCTTAAGCACAACATTATGATAAAGGTTGCCTGAACAATTTCAAATATGTGTAGCAGAGTTGTAATGAGTCACTGATTTTTGTGACTCGAGTCGAGTCGAGTCATTTTAAAGAAGTGACTCGAGTCGAGTCGAGTCATTTTAAAGAAGTGACTGGAGTCGAGTCGAGTCATTAGGTCGAAAGGTCGAGTCAAGTCGAGTCAAATATTTAGCTCGAGTCAATTCGAGTCACGAATATTTGAACACTATATACCAAAATTTATAAAAGGAGGCCATAAGTTTAGCCAGCGTTCGAATCCAAGAGCTTTATAAGAAATCGCCTAAAGCCAATGATGAAACAGCGAAAAATCTATTATAAGATGGAATTTTGCGTCGGGGTGATATAAATCAAATTAGGTTTGCCCTTCTTGCGTTTATACGTCGGTGAAGGGCAAACTAATTTGATTTATATCACCCTGATGCAAAATTCCATCTTATAATAGTTTATGCCGTACAAGCTGCTATGTACATCAGATTCGAACCAGCCAACCGATCCCGTTAGCTCGGTGGTCGAGTGGTAAGACATCTGCACTAGAAAGCAGGAGGTCGTGGGTTCGAGTCCCACCCGAGTGATTTTTTCCAACTTTCACTCGGGAGGTAACACACTGAGTAAACAGTGTTTATACGTCGGTGAAGGGCAAACCTAATTTGATGAAGCGAAAAATCTGGTTCCTGCAGTGGATAGTATTTTGTGCGTTCTAGAACCATGAGGTGGGAGTCTGTGACACGTTGTATATTTATACATGACTAATTCGCAAAGCGAAGTGAGCATAAATTTTGCACCGTAAGTCATTGCAAATACTTTTCGCAAAGTTGTGCTTTTATTTTTGGGACTCGAGTCTTATTAGCCTTCGCTTGAGTCGAGTCGAGTCTTCTGATGAAGGACTCGAGTCGAGTCGAGTCATTTGCTCGCAGTGACTCAAGTCGAGTCGAGTCATTTACCCTTAGGGACTCGAGTCGAGTCGAGTCACCAAAAATTGTGACTCGAGTCGGACTCGAGTCGATTCATTGACTCGAGTCATAACAACTCTGATGTGTAGTCTTATAACTCTTTAATGAAGTGCCACGTGCATTTCGCAACATCCCCATGAACAAAATAATGTGCACTTGAACTTTTTGTTTCCTTTTGTTGGGTTAAATATTTTTAATTGTAGCATTTTGGACAGCTGCGGACCTACAACATTCGCCTTAAAAAGAGAGGTGGTCGGGTGACCTCCAGCAAATCATTGATATTTGTTAAACAAATATTATGTTCTATAATTGTCCCTAGATGTTGTCCAAAATGTTTGGGTTCTGTCACATTTTTTAAGCCCAAGGGTTGCTCACAAGCATTGTTACCATTGGCACACTGAATGGACAGGAACTTTAAGCCATTCGCGTGTATGGCCTGAAGTAGGGGTGCCCCACTCGTGTATGTCGGGGAGGTGTCACTTAAATTTTACCCTAGGGGTGGGAATTTGGTTGTATCAAAAAAGTGACAATCTCCACATCTTGGGTGGGTCAGCCCGAACCAGCTGAACCAGCTTTCTCTGATCGAAATCATCCACACTTTTCAGGGGTTAGGTGCACTGAGAACGTGACAACGTGAACAGCCCAAACACTTATTTCAAACTGAGGGTTGCGGTGTTACATCTGGCAAAAAGGTTTGATCACTTTCGGTTCACGACCAAATTCCTGCCAGAAAAAAAGAGATTAAAGTTCAACCCGAATATTTACTAACAAAAATTATGGATACTTGGGTCACCATTTTTGGGAAGTCAAGAAAAGACATCAAAGTAAAACCTACATTTCTGCTTTAATACAGAAAATTTATTTATTTAAAAACTGGTGTTGCTATTTCTAAAAACCTTAAATTGTACTAGCAGAAAATGGGAAAATGCGGTGGTCCACTTTTAGCACTCCAGAATAATATGGCTATACATGTCCACACAAACAAAGCAGAATTAGAGTAAAAAAGATTGGAACATATTTTTTTAGAAAGCAGAATGTATTTTTGAAAATCGAACGTTTTTTAAAATCAAATGCGTTTTAAAAACAGAACATGTTTTGAAACATCCAACGTGCATTTTTACCACCTGAATGCATTGTTCAATTCAAATCAATGCTGTAGTACGGAATACCTAACACTGCTGCCTCATGTATTTCACCTCTTGTATGGGAGCAAGGCTTTATCGCTGTTCTGGAGCGGAGACTATTTGTGTATACTTTGGCAAAAACCAAGCCGAACATGGCCAAAAAAGATCAAATGCTTTTTCAGATCAGAATTTTTTTCAATTCGGATGCATTTTAAATTCAGATGACTGAGAAAAAAAACGGGCGGATGTTTCATGTCACAAAAAATGCATTTGATGCATAAAGATATTTTAGGTTTGTAAAATTTCATTCGATTTCGGGAAATGCATTCGAATCGTAAAGACGTTTAGGTTTGTCAAATTTTGTTTGGTTTTGAAATGCATTCAAATGGCAAAGATGTTCGGTCTGTAAAATTTCATTTGGTTTTGGAAAATGTATTGGATTGATAAAATACACGTTCGATCGCATTAGATTTAAAAACATGTTCGACTTTCAAAAAAATACATTCCATTTTTTCAAAATATATGTTCCAATCTTCTTTACTCTAATTCTGCTTCATATATACAGGGTATGTAACACAAGTCTAAGTGTGTGCAAGTAATTCAGCGGTAAGCCATCTTTGTCAGTATGACTTTTACGCAACATACTGCTGTGTTGATTAAACAAATTTTCCTCAACCAAGTTCAAAGGAAATTTAACCACGAGCTTGAGAGCCATTCATCTCAATAAAGCTCTGATATTTGCCAAGCAGCTAATGTACTATCTATATGACTAAATTAGACTTTGCTGACAGCCTCGGGACCCATAAATATGCTGATGGCTATATACATATATACATGTATGGTTAACTTCTGAATGGCTGACTTCTGAATTATGGTGACAACTATTTGAACATGGTAAAAACATCAGTTTTTGCCACTTTTTAACTGATGTTTTCACTTAAAACAACTACTTAAAAGTAGCTGTACCATGTGAAATCTATACCTATGACATAGATGGCAAACCACACCTTGAGATGAGACATATTTGTGAATAGAATTTAAGCAGGAATATACAGGATATTAGTGGAGCTGCTGCAGTGTTCTGACTTTCAAAGAATCACCTTGGAGGTTGATTGGTTGAAAACCTGTTTGATTTCCACAACAGTTGAATTAATCACCAAAGTCCTTATAGACGGGCTAGTTATTAGGACTTCCTAAATCGGAAAAAAAAGCATTCATGATACATATATTTTGTAAAAACAAGAAAGTAAAAGATTTTATTAATACTTTCACTTTTAATCATTTTGTTAAGATGGCCTGTGGAGAGAAGAAGTGGTGTCATTTGTTAATTAAATAATAATAACAAAATTGCAATGCTTATAACATTTTGCATCATATCAACAATCTTAGCACTTTACAATTACTCCCCCATTCATCAGGCCATGGGACCACGTGGCAGCCGATATCAGCACTCAATTGGTCCTCGACCCTCACAGGTACCCATTCATACTCCTGGCTGGAGAGAGGCAATTGTAGTTAAGTGTCTTGCCCAAGGGCACAAACCATGGGCGTCGCCAGGATTTTTTTCTGGAGGGGGCAAACATATTTTTCCCCAAAATTGTTGTATTTCTCAACATATTCTCGATTTATCAGTGTTAGAGGGGGGCAGGGACATTTTGCCCCACCCCCAACCCATTAAATTTACACCACTATGACCTCAACCCCCCCCCCCCCCTCGCGACGCCCATGGCACAAACACCATGTTCCTCGCAGGGTTCAAACCCACGCACCATCATACATGAGTCAAACGCCATACATCATACATGAGTCAAAGTATTTCTCAGCAAAACCATTTTATGTGTAAATACAAATCATTATCATTAAAACATATGCTCTAGGTCTCTAGTGCTTCCTGGTCAAGCTATTAAGAAACTTACTACTGAATCAGCGATGACTCAAATGAACATCCCATGTACAAAGACTTCACTCAAGTACCATCCCATGTACATGAACATCCCACGTACAAAGACTTCACTCAAGTACCATCCCATGTACATGAACATCCCACGTACAAAGACTTCACTCAAGTACCATCCCATGCACATGAACATCCCACGTACAAAGACTTCACTCAAGTACCATCCCATGTACATGAACATCCCACGTACAAAGACTTCACTCAAGTACCATCCCATGTACATGAACATCCCACGTACAAAGACTTCACTCAAGTACCATCCCATGTACATGAACATCCCACGTACAAAGACTTCACTCAAGTACCATCCCATGTACATGAACATCCCACGTACAAAGACTTCACTCAAGTACCATCCCATGTACATGAACATCCCACGTACAAAGACTTCACTCAAGTACCATCCCATGTACATGAACATCCCACGTACAAAGACTTCACTCAAGTACCATCCCATGTACATGAACATCCCACGTACAAAGACTTCACTCAAGTACCATCCCATGTACATGAACATCCCACGTACAAAGACTTCACTCAAGTACCATCCCATGTACATGAACATCCCACGTACAAAGACTTCACTCAAGTACCATCCCATGTACATGAACATCCCACGTACAAAGACTTCACTCAAGTACCATCCCATGTACATGAACATCCCACGTACAAAGACTTCACTCAAGTACCATCCCATGTACATGAACATCCCACGTACAAAGACTTCACTCAAGTACCATCCCATGTACATGAACATCCCACGTACAAAGACTTCACTCAAGTACCATCCCATGTACATGAACATCCCACGTACAAAGACTTCACTCAAGTACCATCCCATGCACATGAACATCCCACGTACAAAGACTTCACTCAAGTACCATCCCATGTACATGAACATCCCACGTACAAAGACTTCACTCAAGTACCATCCCATGTACATGAACATCCCACGTACAAAGACTTCACTCAAATACCATCCCATGTACATGAACATCCCACGTACAAAGACTTCACTCAAGTACCATCCCATGTACATGAACATCCCATGTACAAAGACTTCACTCAAGTACCATCCCATGTACATGAACATCCCACGTACAAAGACTTCACTCAAGTACCATCCCATGTACATGAACATCCCACGTACAAAGACTTCACTCAAGTACCATCCCATGTACATGAACATCCCACGTACAAAGACTTCACTCAAGTACCATCCCATGTACATGAACATCCCACGTACAAAGACTTCACTCAAGTACCATCCCATGTACATGAACATCCCACGTACAAAGACTTCACTCAAACCATCCCATGTACATGAACATCCCACGTACAAAGACTTCACTCAAGTACCATCCCATGTACATGAACATCCCACGTACAAAGACTTCACTCAAGTACCATCCCATGTACATGAACATCCCATGTACAAAGACTTCACTCAAGTACCATCCCATGTACATGAACATCCCACGTACAAAGACTTCACTCAAGTACCATCCCATGTACATGAACATCCCATGTACAAAGACTTCACTCAAGTACCATCACACCTGCCATCACACCTGCCTTTCCAGAGTCAACTCATAGTTGACCCAAGAAGACTTTGGTTTCAACAGTTGACTGAAGTGACATCTGAACTCAACAGCCTCTGAAGTCCTTCCATACAACTACAGTTGTCTATCTGTTGATGTCTTTTTCAAATGTCTCACTTCTCATGTACTTCATTTAAATTTGATCAACCAAAAACACACCCTTTCTGATATGATAATCTTGTCAATATGCATGGTGCCATACTACACTCAACCAAAACAGAAAGTCCCCCCCCCCCTCTGATACTTTTTTATCTAACTCAAAAACTACTGAGCACCTCTCGCTCAAATAATGACTAATCAGTAGAGAAATTCCTTAGCAATCCAGCCATAGTCTTTATTTGGCAACTTGCAAATTGTGGTTCACACTCACCTGGCGTGTATACAAAAGTGCAACTTTTTTTTGGTACCATTTGTCATAAATTGCACAATTTTGTACACATTATCACTGTTTCGGGCCAAACAAAGAGTATGGCTGGATTGCTAAGGAATTTCTGTACTGATCAGTCATAATTTGAGTAAGATGTGCGCAGTAGTTTTTGAGTTAGACAAAAAAGTATTAAGAGGGAACTTTCTTTTTGGGTTGAGTGTATCATAGCCCTTTTTTGATTGGTACTGTAATTGGCAGGCATGCAACTGGAATTTTTGGGAAAAAAAACAAGGAAATTCCAAACCACACAAGACTTTGTACAGTATATTTTGTAATGCCATTCATGAGAAGTAAAAAACAAGGATATCAGCACATCCGAGGAAAACTTGCATACCAGGATCATTCTGTAAATTAAGGGTCCAAATTAAGACATTTGAACTTTGTAAATTGCTATTCATTAGAAATGACCTCAAAGTATTCTTTATTTGTTGTGAAGATGAGAAAGAATGCATTGAGAAGCCCATCCAGAATTTTGAAATTGTTAGTCATAACACGTACAGGAAAAAATTGCCCCTTAATTCATAGAATGACCCACTTTATAGATATTGCAGCTGAATGTGTGTGTACAGATTTATTATGCACTTGAATGAGTACACCAATATCATGAGCACCCAGGATCAGGACAGGGCTGCACACCATACCTTTGCTGGTTTATTCTCCAGTGGAACAATGCGCATCAAGATAGCGTAGTTGGTGGTATGATTGCAGTAGCATGTGACATAATCACCCTCAAATGCTTCAGCATAGGGATTGCCATCCTCTGTGATCCTGCTACAACCCCAGGTTGACCAACCTCCTGCAACATGACCCCTTGTACAGGGAGGGAAAATAGTCTCTATTAAAAAAAGTTTCATATCATTTCAATATCAATTGCTGAAGTACGAAGCATATCTCATATCTATATCTTATCAGATCGTGGAAGTCCTGGATGAAGGCCAATAACACTTATGAAACACAAACAGTAGCGTATCCAGCTTTGGATGTAAGGGGGGGGGGGCAACCACACATCCGCGCCGAAATGTAGACATGTTTTTTTCTCCGGACACTTGGCCTCCGTAAAATCAAAAAAAAGGGGGGGGGGGGGGTGTCTGGTACCCACCTCCCAAATGGGGTCGCTCTTCAAAAATGACCATTATTATGCATACTGCAAATTATATATCCATTTTCACGGTGCATTGTAATGTCGTTTTTGGGATTGATGTCTAAACTCTTTAACCATTTATTGAAATAATTGCTGAACAAAAACAATTGTGACAAACATCCGCCAGGGGGGACAGACTGCCCCCTCTGCCCCCCCCCCCCCCATTGATATGCCACTGAACACAAACCATCAAAAAGGTGTAGTTCTTGGTAAAAAAAAAAAAAGGTTTTTCAAAAGTTTTGGTCTCCTTGATGTCACAGATTTTTCAGAAAATGTAAAATAGGCAAATATCGGCTGAAATTCCATGCGAAGAAAAAAAGCTAATGCACCTTATATTAATAAAATAAAACAAATTAAATAACCTTATTTCAAAAACTTTTTTTTGTCCTGGATTCTTCTGCATTTTCATTAATAGTAACAGTAAGCCAGTTCGGAATCTCGATGAAGTAGTCCAGGTCAAAGGTCATTTGGGATAAAATTGCTGAAGTGTGTTGTACACGAACGCTCAATCTGCTCGTAATTAACACGCGAGGGCCGTGCGACTGTCTCCTTTTTTGTTCATGCGCCTTCCATGAGCATTCAATTATCCCAAATGACCTTTGACCTATGCAGTGGCGTAGCCACGGGGGGCGTGGGGGGGGCGACAGCCCCCCATGAAACCTTGTCGGCCCCCCCAGTCGCCCCCCCCCAACTGAGATTTTGAGTTTCTAAAAAAAATTTTCATTGATCTACATGACGCCCCCCCCCCCCCCCCATGAAATGTTCCAGCTTCCCAGCGCCCCCCACTGAAAAATTCCTGGCTACGCCTCTGGACCTATGACACACCAAATTGGCTTATTGCAAATAATCAACCCCTAATTATAGCAACTATAACAATATTGCAATATTCCTTTTGCCTCTCAAAAAGCCACTGATCAACTAAGACTTACTCTAAATGCACATTCCAGAACACACACACAGGAGCTCTAGACTCTGAAGAATTATGTTCCTAAAGGGAAAAAAATAAACACCATTCCAGATCAATGATAAATATGCAGAGCAGAAAATATTCCATAACAAATAAATGTGCTCAGAACCACTCAATGAGAATTATACATCACGCAATATTTCATTATTTAAGCCTGTTTTAAGGGATTGTTTTGGTGTTTTTTATGTGCTCAGCAACATTCAGTGATTAGCAGGTGAGTGACATTTGCCTAGTTTTGTACCATTTCAGAAATGGCTGGGAACATAGGAAGAGGCATATGAATGGACGGACTTAGAGGTAAGGCAAATATCAGCAGTCATGATAAACCTAACCTGACCAATGTTCATTTTGAATGAGCATGTTAAAGCCATGTACCAATTGCGAGGAATGTACATGTTGCCGAGCATGCACACATGACGAAAATGCTGACCAAGTTTCCTTCAATAACTGTGGCATATTACATTGTTACACCTCAGAGCATAACTATGCATAGTATAGCTATCTATGCTATAAAACATTAAATTCATTTTTGCTACCTTGCATGTTACTTCACCATAATTTTAAAACAGCACCAATTTTGAAGTTAGTTCACCAAGGTATTCAACTGCAGAGTCTTGATGTGAGAATAAAGCAACTGAGTATGCATAGAGAGCAGAATGACATTTAAATGCCTCCTTCTATAGCTGTGTTCTTTCAACATTGTCAACATTGAGGAGTTCCTAGGAAGAGTCCAAAAGATATATGAAGGCATGCTGGTGAGGTTCATTTCGGTTGTATGTTATTGTTTTTAGTCTTGTGCATTGATTTTCTAAGACCCTGTCACACATACTCACCGTAATTGGACCAAGTCTTCTGGAGAATGTTACTGGCACTACCAGCTGTCCTTCAGGTCCAAAGACTGTAGCAGATATGACATCAGCCACAATGAATTCCTCTGTGCCTTCCTGATTATAATTGATGAGATCTGTGATATTGGTGTAAGCTGCTCCAAACAAGGAGAACTTTATTTCAGAGTCTGTCAGAAAGTAAAGTGGAATTTGAAGAAATGTAATGAAATGGGTCAGTAAGATTACAATGAGTATATCTCATTTCCAAACTGTCAAAAAACAGAGCAAGCACAAATTCCACATTGGAAAAGGTTTCTAAAGTTGAAAGGTGGCTTTTTCTATGGGTGTATCAATTCATTAATGTGTATGATACTAGAATTCTGTGATACATCACCAAACAATTTGTTTGTGTCTGCTTTATTTGGCTGTGATTAAACTTGGCAAAGATTATTCGTGTAGCTTAAGTTAACATTTGTGGACAATGTTTCATACCATGAAAAGTCTATAATACAGGGTGGTTAAAAAAGCAATTTTCACCTACTTAATGCACTTATTTTAAATATTTGTTCACATAGTAGTAAAGTATAGGCCTTTAACCATGCATGGTGAAAAAAGCTTAGTAAAAGTGATATTATGCTAATTTGAATACAAGTCACCAAAATCAGTCTTGTCCACAGGTTATTCTATGTAAATTGGACGTTTTCGTAGTTCATAAAAATTAAAAAAACCTTCCCACCAAAATATATTTTGCCCTGGTAACTTTTATTGAAGCTGTCCAATTATTCATGTCAGTGTTAAGATCATCTTCTCAATGAGCTGTCGGCTTAAGTTCATTGCTCCATAACATGACCTAACATAACTATCAAATGCCATGCCCTTTCAAATAAAGCTCCGATAGCTGAGCTCCGTCAAGCGAAGGGAAGGTATACCTCCATGGACATACAGGTTTCGCACATGAAATGTTCAAATTAGCATAGCCCAATGACAAAATGTGCAAATGCAACGATTTTTTTTGGTCACATTTGCTTAAAGGCCAGTACTTTAATAGCTACTACTCGACAGTTAAAAATAATTTTTAAAAATAGGTGAAAATTACTGTCAAATGTGGGCGTCCTTTTTTTTTAACCACCCTGTATTAAGTGTTCCCTTATCCATACAACTTTTTTCAAAAGAGAAAACTTGATGAATATGCATGCAATGCATTACTGCTTACCATTAAATCCCACCTCAGTGAGGTCAACTCCCTTGATAGTTATCATATCTTCTTCTTCTCCAAAGGGCTTGAAAGTCCAATCTTTCTGGATGAATGCACCAAGAGTATTGGATTCCAGAGAACAACCTGCTCACAAAAAGTACACAAATAGTCTAAACTACATAGTCCACGACCATATGAACGTCAATGGTTGATGAATGAAATTTTGTAGTGTGTGACACTTAATTTTATTAAGAAAAATTCACCATTGTCAGAAGGTGATGTCTATGGAGAGTGCCCATGCAGAGGCACTAACACTTGCCCACAGACACACTGCGAGGTGACTTTTATTGGCCAAAAAGGAAAAGCAACCTTATGGACTCAGAGGTGTAGCTACATGGGAGGGAGGGGGGGGGACCACATTGTTTCCCCACTCCAGTCCCCCCCCCCACTAGAAACTTGGCAATCTGAGAAAAGCACAGTCCTATAAGTTATCATGAATAGCGGGTTTAACAAAAATGCCTTTTTCCACATTTTATTTCCCTGACAACCTTTTTTTGTGTGCAATTTCCTAAGTTTTGTTTTAACGTCCTGTGGAAAGAGAATAGCGCCACTTATATAACCGACATACAGATCCTTGTCATGTAATTGGTGGAACTCACAAGGGCGGATCCAGGGGGGGGGGGGGCCAAAGGGGGCCATTGAGTACACCACCATCTTTTCCTCAAAAAACATTAACAATTATAAAGTGGTCAGAAATTGCCTCAGATCGCACCACAGAGCATCTTAAATGGGCCCCGAGCCCCACGCCGTAATTTTTTTGGACACACTTTTTGGGCCCCCCCAAAAAAATTGTGTTCTGGATCCGCCTTTGGGAACTCACATCATGTGATGACATTCGTTATTGCTCCCATTCACGCCGGGGCTCAAAAAGTCCCATTTGCCCATGGGAATGGGAAATACTATTGAACAGTTAGGATTATTCTTGTTCCATGACGAGATATTTGTGTGCAAATGCATGCTGGTGTGTGCGTTCAGTGTTGCGCGTACCGGTAGCGTGTATTGTTTCAAAGAGCCAGCGCTACAGTGTTGGGTTCAAACATTTTTGTGAAGGGGTGGTTTGGAAGAGAGAAATACATATTCCACCAATTTTGTATTGAAACAAAAGTTCAAATATCAAATAACAAGGATCTATATGTCAGTTATATAAAACAAATATTGAGTGGCTTTAAATTGTGAAATGGGAGGAATATTATCGCTGGGTAAAATCTGGACTTTTCCAGTTCACTTGGCTTCGCCTCGTGAAATGGAAAAGTACAGATTTCACCTTGCAATTATATTCCTCCCATTCCACGCTGAGCCACTCAATATTTGTATACTATTGTCAGACATTTACTATGAGTTCGGTTTTGAACAGCACCCCATGGGAACATGGTGTCCAGCCCCCCTCCCCCACCCCCTTTTTTTTTATTTTACAGAGGCTGGGTACGCCGTGAAAAAAACCTGTCTACCTTTCAGCACGGATGAAATTTAGCGCCCTCCACTTTATAACCACTGAAGGAGTACTTGTGCACAGAGTTCATGCTGTTATTAGAAGGATAATACAATGCCAAATGCTTTTGTAACACTGTAAAAGCATAAACTGTGATCATAAGCACAGGATTCTATAAAGCGAGTCATGACATTGAGTGTTGATTGGTCCAAGGTGGTAACAAGGTTTGCTTATGAACTCACTGATTGTTGGTGTCTCTGCCTCAATTGTTTTCCCAAGTTGGAGACGATTTCCAAGGACCTGTGCTATGTCATCCAATCTGTCCGTAAGGCTCAATGGTCCACTAGGACTGATCTGTAAAGTGGACAGGAATCGGCATGGTGTTATGTCATGGAAAGAAGGGAACGTCAGACGTAAAATTATCAGAACACACTCTTTAATGCAACATGGCGGAACTCTTTAATCATACCGATAGAGGGCGCACTATCAGGACACAACACATGGTCTCAATATATCACAGATATGTTGAGCAATGGAGTTATATCAAGTTCAATTACTAGGACACTGCCTTAGGTTGAATCCTTGCCCCCTCCTGAAAAATACTGGTGATGCCAATGACCATGGGAACCACTTGCAATTCATTTTGAGGCATGTTGTTGTGGTTACAGAATAGTGTTCTGGCAACAGGGTAAACATCTGAATGCACATAACTTGTTCCTCATGACCAAGTTATTAAATAAAGTAGAGGTTGTCCACTCCCCCAATAACACTTAAATATTGTTAAAGATCGTGAACATTGTGCAGCATTTGTATCAGGCCAAACACAAAAATACCTTTGGTTCGGGTCACCTGACCGCGACCCCGTTTATACGATACCGACTTCCGATCAAAATTGGTCAAAATCGCTGCCCGCCAGAACAATTTATAGGCATTTACCAGCAAGTGATTTTTTTCTTTCTGGTATTATCCGAAAAAAACCCATTGTGGTCAAACATACAAATGTTGTACCACTTGGGTCCTTCGTCACGTAATCGTTATTGCAACGCATTCCAAAAAGTCTGGTCTGTGTGTCTCATGTTCCTCTGTACGAGTGTACGTACACACGTGTGTGCGAGCAGCGCAGTATTGCGTGCCAGGGGAAATCCCCACGGCAATGTCTGTGCCCAACAAGCAATTCTATTGGTTGACCGCAAGTTACACAGCCGCACAGACCTTCGACAGACAAACTTTGTTTGAAATTGTGGGAGAAATCATGGAAGCAAAGTGTCCTAACGATCTTTTTTTAAACTAAATGCTTTTAGGTTGCTGAAAGCAAGTCTTTGTTGACATCGCGTTAGCCAATAGGAAAATTCATTATGCGATATCATTCCACCAATTGCCATGTGCATTGTAAACTTTACATCGGATCGGACGCCGGCTGCACGTCTTTTGTGGCTTTCATGCGGCTCTCATGCAGGTGCTAGAAGACTCCAATTTGCTCCAGACATCGGAGAATGTGAACATTTTCCAAAAACAAAAAGGAAATTTCTTCCAGTGAAATTTTTAAATGATATTCAGGGAATTCTTTGTGAAAAACCATGGGGAATTTGACGAGGATTTTTCAATTGCTATCACCACAAGCGCACAAACCTGACAAACCACGGAGAAGCGTAGAAAACATCGACACGACAGTGGTTGAACCATGTTTCTTGCTCTTTGTTCTAACCATGTGACCTGAACCAAAGGTAATTTTTTTGTTTGACCTCATTTAATTCAGCAAAGCATCAGACCTGGCAAGGAAAGCTACCCTACCTTACGGGAAAGGTACCCTACAAAATATATTTTATATTATTTATACATAATTCCTATTATTTTTTTCTTTCTTTTCGCACCTCATTCACATGACTCCAGCTTGCGTTACCATCCCATGCAAAGAGTTGAGTGTTGATTTCTGCTGCCAACTGAAATGTAAAAAAAATAAAACAAATAGGCTAAGCTTCAATAAAAGGTCAACTGAGTGTCCGCTGAATGTCATTGATTTCTGGCACTGGCCAGTATACTGTCTGATCCATGCTCCCTACCAAGTTAGTGGAGACACAGGGGGAAGGCCATACAGCTCTGTATTGTTTGAAACCCACTGAGGTTCCCCTTCAGCTATGAACATCTTCATCCCTTCAAAATTCGTTAAAGAGCCATTTTCCCTTGAAATTACAGTTAACAAAATTTTCACAGATTTTTCAACATATTAAGCCAGATTAGGTGTTCGTGAAAACATCCTTAAGAAAGTCCTTTGTTTACCCATGGAGATAGACCCAGTGTACTGTTATGTATAACCAATGATAATCCTCAGTGGCCAGGGTCATTAAAAAAAAACGTGAAAATAGCCTTACAGGATTAGTCCTATATGAGCTTCATGTAAATGTCCGTGAAACATCTCTTAAAGATTCTTTTCACGGAGAAGTGGATTTTTAATGAAAATTTAAGGGATCAGATGTTCATAGTATGAGGTACCCCAATTTCAAATGTACCGCTCCCCCCCCCCCCCCTCCTTGCAAATTGGACACAGGTACAGCACTGAATGATAGAATAAAAAAAACTCGTAGAGAAATTCTCTCCACAAATCATATCCCTACCTGAAGGATATCTTTGTTTTTTCTATCGTCTATATTTTTGATGAGTCCCTCCAAACAACAAAACTGTTCTGCCATTTCCTCCAAGGAAGTATAAACATCATCAGACAGGGTCATGGGGCTGGCTGTCATAGTGACGGGGTTAGCAGTGCTAGTGTACATGCTGTGTTCCTTTGAGAAGAGGTAGCAGACCAGATCATCGCACAAGCTCCTCTGAACTGGCTGGCTGCATTTGGTGGTCACCTACAGGTATTAAGCAATTGTCAAACACTGGCTGTAACTGTCTCCTGCCATCAACAAGCAGTATATTTCTATGTAAAGTCTGGTTCATGCTTCACATGACTGTGAATGGCCAAATTTACCTCATGAAATAGTTAAAAGCAAAATTGCAGAGATGAATAAGTTCAAATTTTGTATTGCAAATCATGAAGTGAGGCCACAGAATCAAATTGTTTGTAGTTTGCAATGATGATAAACTCACCTTTAAGGATGGTTCATACTTCATGCAGATGTTGATGTAAAGTGAATTTGTTAAGGTAACAGAGAACGTCCCAATGAAACGTGAATGGTTGACGTCATGAAATTCAAATTGAAGTATGACACAGCCTTTAGATTTGAAGATATGCAGATTTGCAACAAATTGTGTAAATCAGAAGAATGACATGAAGTAAAAACTAACAATATGAAGAAATAATACTGTTTTTGCCATTTGGCTTTTATCATGTATATTTCAGACTTAAAAATGTTTTCCTTTTTCAAAACCACATCCTTTAAAAAATACAAGCATAGCAATGGCCTTGGCAGCTGCCACATTTAAATAATGATGAATTTTGATAACACAAGCATCACCCATACATGTAATGTACATGTATACACACTCAAATATTGGACCTTAAACAACAGAGGACAATAGGATCCACAATTGAAGGTGTTTACACACATTGTTTTGTGAACCTGTGCAATCAGACCACAAATACAAGGCAATTACGATTGAACAATGTAGACATTTACACGTACCTCACTGGAACTGGTTGGAGCTGGGAGCAGGTCCAGATTAAACTTAGTCCAGCAAAGGTCCACCGTGCCAGGACTGGCCATGATTCGCACCACATCAAATTGGGGCAGTGTACCAGTTGTTGCTCTGTGCAGGAATGTGAACTTATCATATCCATTCACTTGAACCTGTTGTAAATCATAGTTATGCAATTACTTCACACCTTGAATTTCTTTTAGAAAGAGAGGGTGAATTTCATGGTGCTACTTAGCACACAAATTTCTGCTCAAGCAGCCCATATATGTGTATGTCCATTCTAGAACATGAATGTTGTGTGAATTCACTTATGATGACTTGATTTTACAAAGCACATGTAACTCTCTTTTACGCAAAAAAACCAACAAAAACATCAAAGAAACTAGAGCTATGTAGTTCGATAACAGAACATTGGGTTCTTCCATGTGTTACATTTGTGAAAATTTTGAAGCTTTATGGTCCAAGTTTTTTAGACCATATGTGATGGCAAGTCTTGTAGTTGTACATGTATAGTTATAAGACATTACCTTTTAAAATTAAAAATGCAAACATTTGAGAGAAAAAATAGATGTGGAACTTTAAATTATTAAAATTTCAGATAACATATTATGACTCAGGATGACGTCATCATTATGTCACTTACTTAGGACCAACTTACATGTAAGCTTAGGATCTTTGTATTTTGCCTTGTTTAAAGGGAAAATACAACATTTGCAAACATCAAAAAATAAAACTACCAAATCATTTTGAAATACCTTGCTGGACTGTTAGTGAATGACAGTGTAAAGCATCCTGTAAAATCATGGCACCTGGTATACTGTCATTTTCAAGAAAAGTGGTATTTTTGTATTAATTTCCAACGCTGATTGGCCGATCAGCGTTGGAAACAACTGGCTTTTTTTTTTCAAATACTGGCCCCAATTGACCATCGCACTTGTTTGCAATCGATTACAAACCTATGAACGGGTACGAGCCAGCTAGACTGGTTCCCTGACCTTACAATTCCCCAATGTATGTAAACTGCTCTGTTTTTTTCTTATATGGAGTCAGGGAACCAGACTACAGGAAAATGATCATTTTTCTTGGTTTTTATAGCATTTTCGAACCCAAAACCTCAAAAAAGTCAGTGTAACTATATTTGCTATATATTTCCAACCCCCCAATTCCATCCATTTCTGAAAATTACAGCAAAAGCAAATGATGTATATTCCCTTTAAAGTCAACGTGATTGCATTTCATGTCAAATATTGCTAGTAGAAAAATATGTCAAGAGTTTGAAACTTAATAGAAATTAAGTTGACGAAGTCATCTTGACGTCACTTTGGATAATTGTAATAGTATCTCCCTACCCACCAAGGTTCATGACAATCAACATTTTTTTAATTTTTAAATCACAAATTTTGATGAGATCATGATAACATCACACCAAATGCCAAACATAATACAATAAGAATTTTGAAGTAGCATGTTTTGTTCATGAAATATGCAGATGAAATGAAAATCCAAAAAAATCAATATAAATTCACATGATGACATCATCATGTCACCTCAATTTTCATCAATAACACGTCCCTGACTATATACATACAAAGTTTCAACCCAATAGGACTTGTAGTTCTGAAGACATAGGACTTTGAAAATTGCACCTTAAGATGATGTCACATGACACACGATGACGTCAACCTGACATCCATCTTTGCAGATCTGAACATGTTAAATGTCCAAAAAGCCACAAAGAAAATTAATGAACACAGTCTTTGGGATTTGGGTTGGAACAAGAAGAACGAAGATGAAAAAACAAATCAGAAGTAAAAAATAAGGCTTTTCCGCAAAGAAATTGAAGAAAGGTCAAATATAATCCTAAAAAAAATGTTCTTAAAGATGCCAATCAATGCAAGTAACCCACTAGCGCACCATTAAAGGATGTTTGCATACATGTAGCCTGACCATATTATCACATGGATAGCACCCTCAACAGCTACTGTCCCAATGAGCTCCATGGACAAGTACCGCTTCAACGGCCAGAAAAGGAGAGTTTGGGGAGACCTAGACTGGTTCCTGTTCATCCATGGCTTAGCTTTGGCACATTCAGGATAATCAAGTTGTGTGTACTTCGCATGCGAAACAATACAATACAGTGCGCGCACGCGGTGTGTCTTGTCCACAGGGCTCTCAAAAGTGCTCAAAAAGCTCCCTCTTTTGTTGGCGCACAGAGCCCATACTGACATAACTGACTGGATCCATACCTCATAATGGCTGAGACTGCACAGCAGGGTGAATTCAAACACATAGTCTGCATAGAATGGGAATTCCCCATAGATGGCCTTCTCTGGTGGATCTAGCTGGCTAACTCCAGAGGCATCAAGCCAGTTGCGTTCAATGGTACCGATGGAGCTATACATAGGGTTGATGTTTACCCGTATTGATATGGCCACTTCAGTGTGATTCAAGACAGGGTTGCCTGGGGTGTCTTGTAAGTTGACGCGAAACCTGAATACATGCACAAAAATAAATTAACACTGAATGCAGTAGTACATATATCTCAACAAATCTAAACTAATCTTATTTTGTAATTTCACTTACAGCCAGTTGCGTATGCACGGTCATTTTTATTGGGGGGGTAAACATTTTTGAAAAGGGCACTTGCACATCCATGGTGAAATGTCCTCCGTAAAATGGGGGGAACTGTTAAAAAACGATGATTATACACACAAACGGCCAATAAATGGTGCTTTTCAGGGCGATACATGTGCAAAATTCTATAAAAGGCATCCAAAACGGCAGAGGCCACAAAAAAAGGGCACCACTTCTGTTTCAAAAAGGGCACTTGTTAAAAAAAGAAAGAAGGGCACTTCTTAAACAAAAAGGGCACTCTTTACAAATTATTGGGGGGTATGCCCGTTGAAAAAAAGGGCATTTTAATGGAAAAAGGCAGTCTTTACAAAATATTGGGGGGTAAATACCCCCCCCCCCCCCTGGCTACGCCTATGCTTACAGCAGTGGGGGGCAATATAGCAATGACTCAAAGTTAGCGCAGTTTTCCTGATCTAGGATATTAATTTCTGGGATAATAGGTACAACAACTTCAACCATATTACACATCAATGGTGAGTTCACAGATTACGATGTCAGTGCTATCACACTGATTTCAGTGATTTTAATATTGATTTCAGTCCATGTATTACAAAGATCTGACTCACCATTTGATCCCCGGGTATAGATACACCTTGGTGCGAAACACATTGCCAGGGTAGAGACCAGTTTCTAAGGTCTCTTCATAGATCACTTGGTTCATTTCTGCTTCATCTGAGGTCAATATAAATACAAGATAATAATAATATTACAATAATACATCTGAAGTTAATACAAGAAATAAAGCTCACAAGCTGAAACAGTAGCCAGAACCAATAACCTCAAAGTGGAGTGGCTAATTATAGACACGAGACCTGTACACATAACATGTATACATGTATAAGGACAGGCAACACCTTCAAAAGCTTCTGAAGTTGTAGTTGTACTGTTGTATCAAGTTACTTAAGCAGTCCAAGGCAGTCCATCCTGCTTTATGTGGGTTGAGAATGCTAACAGGTTGTAAACAGTCACTTGATTGATTTTGACTGCAAGGACTACTTGGCACAGAATGTGTGTCTTCAACCCAATACCTGCTAAAGACGTCAAACTTCAGTTTAATTGGGTTTATGGAAGCATGGATACCTCAAGGATTTTGAGAAGATCCCTAATGTGGTTGGTCACGACCACGTCACACGCTAAATGTCTAAACGGCTAGCAGTCATTGGTGGAAAGTTCTCACATTGCAATAGCACTGAGATAGCACGCAGTGGGTTAGCATCGCGTCATTCTTGATTCCACCACTGAAGGGAGAAACGGCAACATTTTGCCACTGAAATTTAACATCATTTTTTTACAAAAATGTACAATCATTCTGCTGTCTTCTGTGAAGTTTTCTCCTCAAATAGTTTATTGCGGCTTGGATAGTACCAAGATTGGTGGATTTGAGCTGAGGATTTTCCAATAATAACCTGTATTTTGGGCAAGTTTTGCTCATGAGTGCCAGCATGTTATTTGAGTTAGCAACGCTAGTGATTTTAAATGGCATGGCACAAGACACACAAGATTTTGATAGAAATGTGCCAAAAACAAGGTTAAAAGTATCTTTATCTTACTTTGTTGTCAGTGAACCAGAATGTTAGTTATTTGTTCTTTGTGCAATTTTTCTGGCAGATATCTTATAAATCAGAAATCCGCCCATTTCAACAGAGAAATTGTTTAATATCAGCGAGAAAATTGGTGACGGCAGAGGCCCATCTATTTCAAGCTCCTTCTATGAAGTTCTAACAATGATAAACTTTGAATGCTTCTGGGGTTTGATGAAATTTTTGTGTCTCCACTAATGTTTTTTCTTTGGTTCTCACCTTTCCTGGGAGCAATTACAGCTTATTGACGGTATTATGTTCTTGTTACCCATGTACCTTGTAATACACTCAACCAAAAGTATGGCTGGATTGCTAAGGAATTTCTCTACTGATCAGTTGTAGTTTGAGCAAGATGTGCCCAGTAGTTTTTGAGCTAGGCAAAAAAGTATAGAGGGGGACTTTCTTTTTGGTTGAGTGTATGACATAATTATTGTCACTTACATTTGGTGCTTGAATTTTGATAACCTGTAAAATTGTGCTCTTTAATACACTGTAGGGATTTTGTTTCTTTGTGGGCCCATAGCGTTTGTTCTCATTACCACAAAAAAATAAGATTACCAGCTCCTTGTTTAAATTGCAAACAAATTAATGAACTATCAAAACTGCTCTTGATTTCACAGTGGCAAACACTTTTAAACTAGTTGGCTGCTATGACGTGAAGCTGGGAGTCACCCTGATTTCTATTTTTAAAACATCTGTACATGTAGGGCCAAGTTCAGCATGTAACAATATGACCTTTTGGTTTTGACTCTGAATTTTGTCATTTGCCACTTGACCAATCTACATGTAGACTATGCTGGATAATGTTTCATGGTATGGTTTACTTTAAGTTTATAACAATTACTTGTAACTAACTGTTAATTTGCATCCACGACAGTCAGCGAAAACCAAAATTTGCATAGGCTACACTGTGCTGCAGGTTAAGAGATAATAACTAAAGAGATAAATGTTGACACAGAAATTCCTTGGCTTTTCATATCTTGTATTTATAAACAAGGGCGGATCCAGAACACAATTTTTGGGGGGCCAAAAAAAATGTTTGGTCCCCCAAAAAAGTGGGTCAAAAAAAATACGGCTTCGGGGCCCGCTTAAGGACCCCGAAAATTTTTTGGATTCTAGATGCTCTGTAGTGCGATCTGAGGCAATTTCTGACCACTTTAACCAAATTAGGCTAATTCCCTGGTAAAAACATCCTTTTATAAACAAGGGCGGATCCAGGGGGGGGGGGGCCATGGCCCCCTTTGCCCCCCCCCCCCCCCCCCCCGGATCCGCCCTTGTTTATAAAAGGATGTTTTTACCAGGGAATTGGCCTAATGTACTACGACAAGTCATTTTTAAGACTTATTAAGGATTTAGTAATGACGCATAACCATTCCTCTTCGATTCAAATTTAACTTTCTTGACATGCTCAAATCTTCATTTATGATTTTGTTTTGTAGACAGTGTTAGTTTAAAAATCATGTAAATTGTTTTCTCGCACTACACCTTTACATTTCATCGTATCATTCCTTTCAAGTCGTATAATTTGAATATTTAAGTAAACTCAGCCTGGCCATCTTATAGTCTGCAACATCTGAATCAATTTGTTTAAAAGAACATTATGATAAACTGAACAGATATCTTGGAATGGAAGATAACTGTTTCCGTGCTGTACTCAGCCAAGGAACTACTCAGAACGATTTAAAGATCCAGTGTAGGGAAGCATTACCATCTTTAGTGTTTCTAATACCATTTACTGTACTACATCAAAACACTTTGTGTATCATTCCACAGTGACTCTGAATCCATTTAAATATCATTGAACTACTTAAGTAATAGTTATCAGGATGAATGATCTATGTCCCCAACACCCCTATGTTCCGACACCATTTCATGGAAGTGTTGGGTGATTTATTAGCATACAGATACTGGAAAAATCTTTGGCTGCAAACATATTACTAACGAAATGAGGGAGTTCGAAAGGAAAGAATTGGGCTCTTGATTATTTAGTTATTTGCCCAATATTCTTTTATCTTTTCAGATACTTCATAAAACCATTTTTCTCTAAGCTTTAGTTCTGTTTAAGGCTTTACAATAAAGATGGTTTATTATACATGATAGCATCCATTGTGTTGTCACGATCCATCGTTATTGGGATATTTCTGGCGCAATTGCTTGCACCGCTTTTCCTGTTTTTCAGTTTTGGTTAAAGTGTTCTGTTTAATGTGGATTTATGGCCTTTTTTGCTGACACAACTAAATTGAAGGAGAGTAAAGTAATGAATGCTTGTCAGATTTGGAAATTTTGCACTGAAGTACAGTTTAGGAAATATCTTCCAACTGAGCCAGCAAAGAGTGAAGTTCATATCCCTATTGATTATTTGCCATTACCTTGCCTCATTCTTGATTTGCAAATATGTACCACACAATATGAGGCCGATAGGTAAATATACAATGTACACTCTACATGTAGTGGACGTTATATATGGATTTTGAGAGAACAGCCAGGCCTGAAAGAAAATTGCATTTTCACTTGAGACAGACTTCTGTCTGATAACAAACAATAGACTGTAGTATGGATAAAAAAATTACATGTTGAACATTTTAATGTTTAATAATATCAAAACCCAGTGTTACTCAGAGAGATTGGCAAAGAACAAAAGTTGCAATTAATGCACATAATATGTCCCTTCTATAACAACGAGTTGATAAATCAATTAATAGGTTGTCATATGAAAACCTCATGTTAACATGTTAATAATACATGTGCTATCACTTATTGATACTGATTTCTATACATGTAGATGCACATTAGCTGACACTGTTAGTCATTTCCGATGCTGTACCATTAGCTGCCATTCCCACTGGAAAATACCAAGAATATTACTGACATCATTGTTCCAAAAAACATTAATTAATATATGTTTCACTTTTGTTTTCATCAAGACTTTTTAGCAGCATAAAGCTGAAATAGCTACACATGAATAAGTAGTTAAAAAAAAAACTAATTAATCTAGACATTCTTGAAACTTGTTAAAGTCAGAGTTATTGTTTTGGCAATGTAATCACCCTTACAACCAACCTCGTCCCCAGGGTGTCGAGCAGTACACGCCCACCACTACCTGCTCTCTCACCCTGGTATTGGATCATTTGCATGTGCATAATTTTTGAACACGTATGCAACTGAGGAATAGTCTGGTGCCTGCCTGTGCGTTACATTAGCATTTGTTGTTGTATGCGGTGTCGGGGGTAAACACAGAATCCATTCGTTGCGACGTGATACAAAAACATGATTGTTTTCGAAATTAAAATGTTACAATGTTATCCCGCCAATATGCAGTATCACATTTCATATTAATATGAGCAAATTGGAAAGGATCGGAGTATTTTTAATAAGTCGTGGACATTATAAAATACATGTAATTATAATGATTGTGAAAATAAGTAATGCATGTTGGAAATAACAACACCAAGTAAACGATATAAATCCATTACTAGCCAATTGCGGTATCGAAACAGGATACAGGAAAAAAGTTTCCTATCCAGGGCTTACTATTGGAAACGAAGTTGGAAATATAGAGTGAGCACTAGGGACGAGGTTGCCCTTATCATATGTACATCATCATGATATGTTATCAAAATGCAATTTTGTTTGTTACACACATAAAAGTTTAACAGATTTTTAAACCATTAAAATTCTCAGAAATGGTCAAGTGATTGGGTAATATCAATACGCATACCGTACTAGAAAAAAAACAAGTAGCTGCGTTTGTCCGCAAACATTTCTCTCTTTTTTTTTTACACTTTTATTCAAAGTTTCATTCTGTCATCATACTGCTACGTATATGTAAGTTTTATACTAATATTGGCAAACCATGACAAATCTGGCGCAAGTAAGAAAAACATAGCATGTTCGAGTTTGTTAAAGGTGTACATACCATTTGCAGATACTGCAAGGATGCCATGAAATACCTGCAATAAATAGGGAGGGAAACAGTTCAATCAACTGACAGCAATTGTGATATTGTCATAGTACAGGGTGAGTAAAAAAATGTCCCTTTGGATAACTGTTTGTCTCCCACAAAAACGGGAAAGGTTACCAGTTTTCTCTTCAGCCAACGTTTGGTCTGGGTATTGACCACAGTCAGTACAAGTTTGACTGATATTCAGTCATGCATGCCAAGGATACAAGCCTTTCTTTGAGACTTCCCCACAACACTACCAACACAATGTTTAGAATAAGCCCTTTGCTATCAACATAATGGCAACAATGGGCCTCAGGATGGGGCCGTATCATAAGTCCGAAGCCTCATAGATCCGACGCCTCCATAAGTCCGAAATTTCGGACTTATTAGGCGTTGGACTTATGAGACATACAATTTATTTATTCTGCCTCATAGGTTCCACGCCTCATAAGTCTAATGCCCCATCAGTCCGACGTCGGAAAAACGAAGCACACGAGGCTTCGGACCTATGAGGCGTCGGACCCATGAGGCGTCGGACTTATTGGCCTTTATTTGGTTGGGGGATGCGATTTCGGACGAATGAGCGGACCCCCTCCGGACAATGAAGGAAATAAATGGAATTACAGAACAGGACATCAAGTAAATGCAATTACATTTACTTAACCTGAAACTGAGGAACATATAAGGTTCACATTTTCATTCTCCACATGTCCGTCATTCAAATCAATGCATACTTGTGCCCAATTTCAAAAGTAATTCGTTGGCGAAGTTCCTACAAGGTGTTTGGCACAATGCTGTACACCCAGTCCTTGAGGTACCCCCCCCCAAAAAAAAATCAAAGGTGGATAAAATCTGGAGATCTTGGTGCCCATTGCTGGTTCCAGGAATTTTAGCAAGGGGGGGTTTATCAGCAACATTTTTTGAAATGTAGACAGGTTTTTTTCTCAGGACACTTGGTCTCCGAAAATCAATTGGGGGGGGGGGGGGGCTGGGGCTGGTACATATACTTTTAATGGGGGCGCTGTTCAAATCCCATGATTATTCACACTATATTACAGAATAGTGAACAAATACCCCCAACAAAGCTGGCTCTGTACGTATTTTGTGCACAGGCGGAAATTATTACCAGTATTATTACCAGTATACGTCTGGTTATTTCCCTTAACAAATATTAGGAAACATGTTGGTGGTGTTTTTTGGTAGTTAGTCACAAAGAAAGGCCTGTATGCTTTGCATACAGGCTGAACATCAGTGTGAAGCTTGTACTGACCAAACTTTGGCTGAAGAAAAAAACTGGTAACTTTTCCCGTTTTTGTGGGAGACAAATACTTATCCAAAGGGAGCCATTTTTTCTCACCCTGCACAAGTAGCACTCAAAAAGAGCTTGATTTGTGCAACATACATGTATATTCAATCAGTCTATTGCCACACCCGAACCAGAAATTGGAAAATATAATCTAAGGGAAAACTCATATGGGAGAGCAAAATGGGCAGTTGCATCATTAAGGATGTTACATTCAGAGCCTATATACTGACCAATCTGAAACAAACTACATGTATTTGCAGTGAAAGCAAAATTGTTACAACTCTAGTGTAGGCATTAAAGTATAACATGACATGGTTAATGTAGTGTATTTAAAGGGAATGTACAACATTTGCTCTTGCTGCAATTTTCAGTAGTAAATGGATTTGGGGGAGTTATGCTGAAAATGCTTGAAGATGCTGGAAAAACCAGGAAAAACATCATGTTCTTAGAGTCTGATTCCCCGACCCCAAATAAGATGAAATGGAGCAGTTTGTCAACTTTGGGGAAGTGTAAGGTCAGAGAATCAGTCCAGCAGGCTTGTACCCCTTAACAGGTGTGTGATAAAATGTGGAAAAAAAATAATTATGTAAAACAACGAGCAGATTTTGAGAAAAGCCAGTTTTCTCCAATGCTGGTCGGCCGACCAGCGTTGGAAAAATAAAAATTTTCTTGAAATTGTCAGCACACCAGGAGCCACGATTTTACAGGGTGCTTTAGAATGTCATTCCCTAACCATCCAGTAAGATATTTTGTTATAATTAGATCATTTCATTTTTTGATGTTTGCAAATGTATCTTCCCTTTAATGAGATATAATGAGATATCCGTATTTTTTCCCCAAAATCCATTTTTTTTTTCACAAACAAATACGTTATACCGCAGTCCACCTCACTGGCACACCATTCAAATAAAATGTCTTGTCCCCTTTTATTTGATATCACATTTGAGGTTGTGATGCTTTTAGTTAATATGAAGATTTCATAATTTGTTTCACCTTTCAGTCATATCCACTTTTGCTTGAAATTGCCCATATACAATACATGTTAATGTAAGCACATTGTGAAAGTTTGGGTTAAGGATCTGGTGTTTCAATTTGATTGGATATTAGAGAAATGTGCTATCAAGGTTTCAACCTGTGGACAAAAAAAATTGGCTGATGTGCCAAATGCATGAACAAACTAGTCAACTTGTTTCAAATGAAGCATCAACTATTAACCCATGTTTTAAAGGAATAAATGTGTGCTTGGCCGGTTTTAAACATTATGTTTAAGACCGATTGGAGTCTGGATGCTGAGAATTACCCAAACCGAAAACAAATTATCAGCATCCAAATTCAAACTGGTCTTAACTGAACATAGTGTTTAATAGCGGCCAAGCACATATATATTCTCTTTCATAAATAACTTTTCGGTCAAAAAAAATCAAAACTTTTTGGTACACAAAGTCAAAACAAGTCAAAAATTTAAAATTTCCAACGATTTTGTCCAATATTATTTCAGTGTATTGTGAATTTAGGGCTCTGAAATACTGACTCACTGGCAGTACCACATGCCTACGTTATGATTGTGAATGTCCATCAAAAGGTACCGGATTTCATAGGAGTCCAAATTTCATGAGACACTGGAAAAGTGTTTAAGACCAGCAAGCCATGTCTTTATCAACCGTTTAAATCTGGCCATGTGATGGGTTGTCGACCAATAGGAATGTGTCAACTGTCTGAGGTATTTATGAATATTGATTCAATGGGGATGACAAATGATAACTTCTAAGTGCGATTGCATACTGTAAAAGAGCAGCATAGTAAGCAAAATAACTGTTGAGCACACAAAAGAACAACATATTAGAAACGTCAGAACCTATTTGAGACTGGCGTTCTGGCATGTCTAAAATAAAAATCTAATGATGATGCCTCAAGTCCACCCAAACAGAATTTGGTTTAAGACAGGTAAACTTTATGTACTTTTTATGTATATTCTTGAGTGGTTGTGAACCACCACGACAGCCAATCTTTACATGTAGCTGTGTAGTCACTTCATATTAATTTAAACATCAAATCTATTTCCTAAGTAATTGAATTTCACATGATTATGGAACAGATCTAAACTTTCTCAAATTGACTGATTCTTCCCAACCCTCCCCTGATAAAATTGTACAACTCAAGTGTGTTGAGCATTCAAATACTTGGGGCATAAGAAATGTGGAACCTTTGTCAAGATGTTAATGCATCAAATATTTTTAAGTGCATCCCATACTTGCACAGTGAATTTGCACTTATTGAAATGATTTCCTTTTGACTAAACATCAATCAATATTAATTTGTGTTTATAACACAAAGGTGTTCCAGCTTACCCTGATCAAAATGTTCCAACTAGCGGCAACCCATATGAATTTTGTAAGTGTACTCCCCAAACTCAGGACTACAACACATCCATTTAGCCTTATTTTGTATCTTAGTACACAAGTCTAAAATACTCAAAAACTTGTCAGCTTAATTTGCATGCATCAAAAAGATAATTACAAAATTTCTAAATGGTGAACATTTAATTCAGAAAATCAAAGAAATGAAGATTCCCTTCCTAACTAACCCCCATCTCCCCCACATGTGCAGGCACAAATAATCAACAACAACAAATGAATGCTCTTCTCAAAGTTGGTATGACTAGCTTTGGATTGAGAGTGGAGCAATTAGAATGGATTGATGAGGATTTGTGATGGATTTTGCACACTGACATACATGAGACATCTGATATACATGTAGGCCTATACCCACTGAACCTCCTTCTTGAAACTCAAATATTCTTCATTGGAGTTAGCACAAATCTTCCATGTAACATTCAAATCTATTAAAAACCCTTCACATGGTGAAAATCTTGATATTTGTGTTTGTTTTGGTATTTTTTGTGTTTTTCTTTTTTTTACAATCTTACCAAGCCAGCAATGAATTAAGAACTTCTGAAATGGCTCTCACAAAGAAACACAAAACTTACAGGCAATAATCTTCATGTTCCGGTAATATTATCACCATGTTATGGCTTTTTTTAAGATCACATCCCAAATCTGTCTTGATCCTTTGCTCTCCTGAGGATTATTTCCCCCAGTTAAGGATTTTGAGGAGTCACATACATGTACATCTAGTAAGGAGTACATTGAGGTGCAAAGCTGATCAGCAAAGATGAAAATAAAAACAGAGCAAGTTTAAAGATGCATCATGAGATGATAGCAGGGGATCTCATTTGCTTGTAGGATTATTATTTTGCTATTGGAATCTTTGGTTTTTTTTGTTGAAGTGGCAAGGCACCGCATCCAGGTTTTACTGTTGCAGACATTAAAGGTCCATGCAATGAATATATTATTTCAAAATACTGCATTGGAGAGTCAGGTAGGGCTAAGATGTTAAAGTTGGAACTACAACTCACCAGCACAAGGCCCACTAGTTGTCCAAAGGATGCCATCATGCAACAGCTTGGTAGCCACAACCTTCCTCGCTGGAAAGCTCACTGGATCTAGTTGAAGCCAGCAAGGGTGTAGGCCGTCACAGAATTCAAAGTCATCAGGCAGTGTGTTTTACCTCTCCCATCACGTGATTAAAAACGTCTGTCATTGGTCGGTAACGCTGCCTCGGCCTTTGTAGGAGTGCTTACCAAAGACTATTAAACTATTTAGCAGAAACTGGCAGTGTTGCACATGCATGGAATCTGAATTATTAAGGCCCAATAGGAAAACTTGCTTCATTTTGTGTGTGCTTTTTTGTTGTTGTTCATCTTGCCCCGTGGCAACTGTTGCCAAGGCAATCACTGCATAATGGATGGCATATGGAAATAAGGTCAGACTGCTTGGTTCACTGATACATATTAATATCTCCATCAAGGACCATTTTATAATCACTGCATAGGTGAAGATGATTGACAGGTAAATCAATGACAACAATGGTGAGGGGAATACTGATAAATTGCGTGTTTGGCAGACAAATTGTCAAGTGTAGAGATTCAATATTGGGTTTTACCCTTCACCGACATACTTTTATAAATTTATAAACAATGCATACTCAGTGTTGCCTCCCCCCCCCCCCCCCAGTGATTGTAATAAAAAATTCACCCGGTTGGACTCAAACCCATGACCTCCTGCTTACTGGTGCAGATGTTTAACCACTGACCTTGCCGGGGTCGTCTGGCTCATGGGCGTCACAAGGGGGGGGGGGAAGCAAGAAGGGGGGGGGGTGGTTGTAAGTTGATATAGCATACATCCATAAGTATTTTGTTGCCATAGACTGGATGAAATTAATCATTCAATGGAAAAAATGATGGGTTACATTTGTGTGACACATTCTGGCCCTTGGCAAACCTGACAGATCCACAAAATACAACTGCCCAAGGTTGAATACCGGTACCTAGCCCACTTTTGAGGGTGTGATCTTGCTGCTCTCTTTAGCTCATTCAAACCCACATTAATTTGTCAGTTAAAAAAATCATGCACTATGAAACAGTGCACGTTCCAAATGAAATATGGAAATATTTTTAGAAACAATTTAGTACTCAGAAAACTTGTTACTGGTTATGTACATAGGAAACCATGAACTTCTTTTAAAGTGTGAATGATCAAAACTGAAAATGTTTCTCATTTCTTCAATTCAATTCAATTTTTTTCAATTCAATTCACTTTATTTTCCACATAAAAAAGACAATCAGAGTTAAATATATACAAAATATGTGAATGGGGATCCCTTAAAAGCAATGCTTGTCAAGTAGAGATCCCCAGTTACAATCATACAAAAATATACAAGTTACATACAAACAACACATAAGGACATAACACCCGACATGAATATTGGAATAACATGCAGCTGCAACCCCGTGAAAAAAAAAAAAAACAATTAAGTACTTCAATAGTTTTCCAATAATTTATTTTTGTATTTGTGCTTAAAGAGCGAGAGACTGGAGATATTTTTTAGGGAAAAATCAACCGAGCTCCACAGCTTGGGACCCTCATGCTTTACAGTTGCCCTAGAGATTGCAGTACGTGCATGAGACCGATGAAATTCATTAAACTGTCTTGTAAAATAAAGGTGTGTATCATAATTTTTTGAAAACATAGAACAAATCGAAATGGGTAAACTGTTAGTGTTAAGTTGATGCATGAAGAAGCCCAGCTGAAGAGAATTAATGTCATGAACTTTTAGAGTATTGCAATTATAAAAAAGTGGATTACTATGCTCATGAAAGTCAACGTTGTTAATGATACGTAATACTTTTTTCTGTAATTTGAGGATTCTATTAATTTGACCAGTACCACTATTGCCCCATGCAAGTATTCCATATGTAATATAAGGTACAATAAGGGTATTATACAACATTATTAAGATATCCTGGGGAAAAGTACATTTTAGCTTGGATATAATACCTATGTTTCTAGAAATAACAGTAGAAATGTGATTAATATGTTTGTTCCAAGAAAGAGTGTCATCAATATACATACCTAAGAACTTTAAATAATCCGTTTTTATAATATTAGTATCATCAATACGGATTGGAAACGGCTGACAGTACTTCCTATTACTGAATAACATATAGTTGTTTTTTTTTAATATTAAGAGACAACTTGTTTGCTTTGATCCAGGCAGATACTTTTTTCAACTCATAATTAGTCGTATCAAACAGTACATTTACATCATTGTGGCTATAGAATAAATTACTGTCATCAGCAAAAAGAATAAAAGAAAATACATCTGAGGATTTATGAAAATCATTAATGTATATAGAGAATAAAAGGGGACCCAAGATAGAACCCTGTGCGACTCCACAAGATATTTCACAATAAGTAGACTGGGTTCCATTGATAGATACAAATTACTGACGGTTAGAAAGATAACTCCTGAACCAGTCCAAGGCAACTCCTCTAATTCCATAATATTCCAATTTAGATAAAAGGATGTCATGATCAACCGTGTCGAAGGCCTTGGACAGGTCCAGGAAGATACCAATTGTAGCAAGGGATGCATCTAAGCCAGTTGTTATTTTGTCAATTAATTTGATAATAGCATGTGTAGTGGAATGTTGTGCTCGAAATCCATATTGATTATCCGAAATTATACAGTGTTTGTCAAAGAATTCTATGGTACGTTTATAAACAACACGTTCTACATTGTATAATCTTAAAATGAAGAAAGAACTGAAATTGGTCGATAATTACTTGCCATTGTGGGATTGCCACTTTTAAAAATGGGAGTGATTCTGGCAATCTTCATTTTCTCAGGCACAACACCAGTTGAAATAGAAAAGTTGATAATGAAGGTCAGAGGACAGAAGACTGCCAGAATCACTTGTTTAATCAATGTACTGCTAATTATATCAAAGCCGGCACTTGTTTTGTTGGGCAAATTACTTACAATATCAACTATTTCTTCTTCTGTAACAGGAGATAAAAAAATAGAGTTACAGTTTGGATTTGATAAGTAATCAGTAAAGTTCAGGCCACTAGAATTAATTACACTAGAAAGGTTTTTCCCGATATTTATGAAGTAATTGTTAAAGTGGTCGGCAATAAACTGAGGATTATTGACGTTAGCACCATCAATATGAATGGTATTTATTTTGGATTGCTGCTTATTATGAATTACACTATTGATAATTTTCCATGTGTTTTTAATATTACCTTTAACTTTTTGAAACTGTTTATTATAATAGTTGTGCTTAGCAATACGAAGAACGTTAGTAAGTATGTTCTTATAGCGTACGTACCTGGAACGATTAAAATTGGAGGGACTGGCAATGTATCTACGATAAAGCTTATTCTTGTGGCAAATTGATTTGCATAAACTGACAGTGATCCAAGGGCACTTAGGAGTTAATTTAGATGATTTAGATTTATACGGTTTAGAAGTTATATGTCTGTCTAAACCACCACTAAAAATATCTATAAAATTGTTGAAATCTGAATTCGCTTCCCTGGCATTTAAAACTAAACTCCAATCACATGAGGAAGGTTCATGTGTAAAGTTAGCGAGATTTTCACTTGAATAATCACGAGTCGTTATATGCCGGGGGTTAAAGCGTTTTAGTTTAAATGGAAAAGATGTAAATATTGGAAAATGATCAGACAGATCAGTGATAATAATTCCAGATTTTGGTTGGGGTAAGATGTTTGAAAAGATGTTGTCAATGAGTGTGGCAGATGTGGTTGTTACCCTAGTGGGTTTGTGGATAAATGGTAAGTAAGAAGAAAAGTAAATTATATCCAGAAATTCTTGCGGTTGTCTACTATTGTCTGAACTAAGTAAAATTAAATTAAAGTCACCGGTAATAAAACAGTGTTTATTTGCATTAGTAAGTTGGTTAAATAAGGTTTGAGAACATGTTAAGAAATTTTCAGCGTTGGCATTCGGGGCTTTGTAAACAACTCCAATAATTATGTTCTTGGTATTGCATGAAGTAATAATCTCAGCAAATATACATTCAAAAGAATCATTCCCTATATCATTCAAATCCGATCTGGGAATATAGTGTAAATCTGTGGATAAGTACATTGCGACCCCACCACCGATCCTAGCGTCTCTGTTTTGGCATATTAACGAATAACCAGGTATATTACATTGATTCATACATGATCTTTCGTTTAACCAGGTTTCAGTCAATCCAATAACAGAAAAATTATGATTTAAGGGATGGAGAAAAGTCTTAAGTTGATCAATGTGTTTAGTTAAACTTCGAATATTTAGATGCAAAAGTGAGAAATTATCTGTAGGGTCATGATTAAAATGATTAATAAAATTATCAAGTGAATAATAGCACGAATTTCTGATAATAGGGTTGTCCGGTTCTTTATCGATTGGTAATTCAAGTGAATCAAGATCAAGGTCGATCAAGGTCTCGAAGCTCATTGAATAATTTGTACTTGAATTCAAGTCAGTGATCACTGAATCAAATTCATGAGAATCAAGCCAATTGAATGGGAGGGCAGTGCTGAGACACTGGGGACAAAACCAATTTCCATCATCCTGGGCTAAATTAAAGTGATCAATAAGATCAAGACTAGTACATTTCAGGTGAGTCCAAAGAGTACAACAATCACAATAAATACTATTTTGGTTGTTTTTCACGGGGTTACAGCAAACACTACAGGGAAATTTAATAGGCATAATACATCAAACAACAATCAAACTTAATAACGAAAAACATGGACCAACATACAACGTGAACTAGTGAAGTCCGCAGGCAATGAAGATAAGATGTCAATAAGTTAGGGAGTTGATTACAAAAACAAACTGTATCTGCAGGAAATGACTGACTTTCAAGTATTATTGTCATTCTTTCAAGTAAACAAGCAGCATCACGGAAGTGCTGTCCTTCAACTTTTCTAAAAGTGGTCTTCCCTCTGTGCCCACAGTGCTGGATGAAGATCAGTGTACATGTATGTGTAATCATGTGGCTAGAAAAACCTTAAAAAGGTCATTGTGCATGATTGTTTATTTCAGGCATGCAACTGTGAATTTAGGAAAAAACAAGGAAAATCCAAACCACACAAGACTTTGTACAGTGTTTTTCAATTTGTAATGGCATTCATGAGAAGTAAAAAAACGAGGAAATCAGCGGATCCAAGGAAAAGTTGAATGCCTTTAAAAAATAAAGAACCGCAAAAGTAAGAACATCATTATCCACTGGTCAAAACAACAGGTTAGGGTTTCTGCAAAGTCATTATTGGATGAAAAATGCAAATCAGTTATTTTAATTATTTTAGACAATGGTAAATCGCACTGATGACATCTCAAGTGCAATTTTTTGTGTTTCAATATTTTTAACCATTTCAAATTGCTCTTTTCCAGCGAATTTCTTTATATAATGAAAACTGGAGAATGCCTCCCCCCTTCTACACAA